AACACAACATTCGTCTGTTAATTACTCGGTATACAACAGGTCAGGAACAAAACCATCCCAGGAAAAAGTAGTGTTTTTAGGCAATCACTTTTGTTTTTCCATAATCTACAACAGCAGCAGTTAACTGCTTCACTTCGTAACAAAACTAGTACTTAAATTATGCAAAAGCAGCCAGAACTTTATCGATTCAATCTTTCTGCTTTCTGATTACTAAGTAACTATAGCGAAGGCATAGCGAAGGCTCACAGTTTTATTGTGAAAATTGCTAATGATCCACTATTCATGCAGAAGTTTTTAAAATTATTTAGCTAAGTTTTCATAGCTTAATTGCTTTTTTTTACATTGAACTGCGCATGCGGACGTTTTGCTGTATAAAAAAATCTAGCACTTTCAAATTTTTACGGAGAAAAATGTTTTCTCGTAAATGCGCGGCATCACAACAAGCATGACGTCGGAAATGTTGGAAATTTTATTGTATCATATATTTCCTTAAGTTAAATACGCCCATACAGTATAATACTGGCCTTCTTGAATGAAACCGCGAGTATTGCACTGCTTCATAAACGAACAACCAATAAGACAACAAATACTTTTATAAGAAAAGACAATGATATGAAAAATTTCATGTTTTATGGATAATTGGCTACCAGATTAAAAGGCTTGAGGCAGTAATAAGCTATGTGAAAGTAAGAGAGCACAATACACTTAAAAAGAAGAGGAAATGAGGAAGAGAGCGAATCCCCCATACATTCCCGTCTGAAATCTATTTTTAATTGTATTTCATGCCTCGTGGCATTTTAATGACGACATCCGATTGGTATGTCAGAATGACGTTAGGTAATATTTTCATTCTATTTTCTCTTGTTAACAATGAAAACGTTTTAGTATTGGCGTTTTTCTAACCTCAATTGCTGCACATTGTTTAGACGTCTACATTACATGATCTCTAACAGACAAGTGCGAAGTTTAACTACAACGTGAGAGGTTATATATCGGATAGGCTAGCGTTACGATCTTATTGTGAAACAATTACCCCCATGTTTTTGTTTTGCTCAGTCTGCAAAATCTAGTGAACTATTGTCTATGCACTTTTAAGTCTGTCTATTTTAGAAAAAGGAAAGAGCTGATGCAGAAGCTTTTAAACTTCCAACATTGAAATAACCCTTGATTTTCAGCCTTTTTGTAAGCGAAAATTGTAAAATATACCTTAAAAATTTTAACATATACCTTAAAAGTCCCTTTTAAGGTATATGTAGATAAAGTTTAGGTTGAAATTGTTTTTTTGGTAGATTTCCCGTACGTTCTCTCCCTCACGCATCAGATTTAGCCCTCTCAAAGCAGGGGCGGATCTAGGGGGAGGGTGCAGGGGTTGCGCACCCCCCTCCCCGAGATGACCTGCGGTTTTCTAATACAAATGGTGTTCTGCAACAACAACAAAAAAAACAAACAAACTATGTGGTTTATTGGTGTTGAAGTAGAGCAAGAGACGAGTGCACCCCATCCTAAAAAAATCCTGGATCCGCCCCTGCAACGACACTCCTATATCTCAGGCTTCGCGCGGTTTAGGAAATAATGGATGTTTACTGCTTAAAAACTGAATGTCAAGCAGCCCATTTCATTGTAACACTTTTTGGCACCATTCTCATCCTTATCACGGCACTAACAGATTCAACCAGCCTTTTACAGCCGCATGCAATTCAAAATGAAATTCGATTTCGCTTGGACAAAACGACCAAGGGGAAGTCTCAGACAACCTGTAAGAAACAGAAGAAATTTTTCCACGCTGACTGATTGTCTTAATTATGCATAATGTATCTTTTAATGGATGAATAAAAATGTGTGTTGATCCCGACAAAGGCACAATACCAGTGTTATGCCTCGGAAAACAATATCGCCCTCAAAATATTGATAAAACAAGCGCCGGGGTGTCCGAAAGCGACAAGACCATACAAAGCTGAATAACAATTTGGCATTCCAGGATTGCATTGTTTGCTTTGATAAGTTGTTACATAGTAGGTTGTTAATTACGATTGCAACTTAGCTTTGACAGTTGTTTTGGCTTGTGAAGGAGTGATTGTCCACTTCTGCAAACACTGTTCAGTCCGAGCTTGCTTCTGCTCGTTTTGTTTGTTCATTTCTGCTTCAAGTGCACGTTCTTCAAACTTTTCTGTGATCACATTGCGTTTGTCCAAAAGGCAAAAATGAAAGCTATCTGGCTGTTAGTTATATTTTTGAGCATCAAGAATTGCAACGGACGCCATTTTATGGACAGCTTCTTCCACCGTTACAAACCTCGTAAGTAAAGGATGTTGGCGCTTGTTCTTTGCTGTCATTTCTCACAAAATTATTTTGTGCTATACTGTTTTTAAGCTGAAAACTTAAACTTTTCTTTAAACTAAAACCTTACCATTGTTTTACACTGCTTGTACAGGTATGCCTTTCGTGGAGTCCAAACTATCTGATCAAGGTAAATTTTTTTTAAACTCTATAATTCTTACTTTTATATACATTAACGAAAAGTAATAATATATTGCAAACATTTTAGACTTAAAAATAGACCCTAAAATCGTAATAACTTTCTTAGCAAGTTCTCCTAAGTTATCAATTTGCATAAGAGAGGAATCACTTGCAAATTTCCCGCCAAATTAACAATCTAGTAGTGATGCTTAGCCGGGCCTCATCACAAGCTCTACTAGAAGTTTATACTTATGTTACGGATGTTTATTGAAATTTATTTTAATGACTAAAAAGTTACAGCATGGAGTTCCTTAAAAGTTTATGAGACAACTAGATTATATAAGTAAAAAAAATTTATCCACATATAAGCTTGAGTAAGCTCGCCAGTTAGGCCCCAATAATGGAATATTCAACTAAGCTGCCCGCCAATTTTATGAAAAGAAGTATGATGATTGTAACATGTCTTTTTCTCTTGAAGAAAGATTGAGATAAATGTGCATATTTAAGTTTATTATATGCAATGCTTGTTTTTTTTTTTACTTATTTCAGGGACTTCTTGCTCAGTGAAAAGGAATTAAGTTATAAGACAAGCTATAAATATGCGACTTGTTTTTAAGCTTGAGTGAGCAATGACCGAGAATGCAGAATTAATTAGAATAATTTTACAAAATTACATTAACTACTTTGCGCCCAAAACGTGTACGGTCTGGGTGTTTTGTACCGCAAAGCTATATGCCACATTCACTTCATAGTTCTAGAGGTACCGCCAGTTTTTTTAATCAATTAGATTTATGTTATCAGGTTATCGCTCTAATTTGTCAAAAACTTTTTTTAAAAATACAGCATTACGAATGCTTGTTAATTCAATTTGGGCTTGTAGCGACTAATTCACTATTATTTGATTGGCACACAATGAAATAATTAAATACGGTTCACTGAAAATCAATAGTTGAAAACAACAATATTTTGCTGTCAAGGCTTTATAACTTGCTCATCTTGTATTCTATATATTATACTACCACATGAGAAATTTCTGCAATTTGATTGGCTTAGAGCAGTGGTATTTCAGCTTAATTTGAAATACCCACATGTGAAAATTACAAACCTTTTGCGGGTAGTAGTATAAACAAATACTAGCATGATTCGTATATGATATTTGGCATAAATACCACTCGTGATATTTCAAAACTGGCTCAAATTTCACTCGCCTAAAGGCTCTTGAAATTACGTATAACAATTTCGGAATATCACTAGTGGTATTTATGACAAATATCACTACAAATCATGCTATTACCTATGCAAATTACTGCTTTTCGTGTTGTAATTTTGGTAGTTTTCTTAGTAAACACTTTTACATTACCGTGCACTGATTATTAATCATTTTCTTGCAGCTGTTAATGGCCTGTTGTTAATTTAATCTACAATCGACAACAAAATTAGTTAAGACACTTTCCTTTAAACCGGCGGTCTTTCTGAAGTTTTTGCCAAATGTAAATTAATAAGTAAAATAAATTCTTTCTCTCTCCCAACCCCTTCATGCAATGTTGCACCGCTGTTCGAGCTTCCTGAAGGAAACAACAAAGACCCCAACTTGGAATGGAGGGGAGGGGAGAGGTGTGGCATGTTTTCCTCTCCGAAGACCCCATTTGAGGACAATGTCTCGACAATTTTGTCTCCGATTGTAAAGGTTTCTTAAAATGAATAACGGTTGCCATTTTCGTTGATTTCTGGTACATATTCAATGGGATTGTGTCTATTAAAGTACTTTTTCTCGCTGTTTTCTACCTATGAGTTATATTTTGAAATTTACGTTTAATCCGTTATTACATTATTTTACAATATCTTTTTTCCGTTTAGTTGGCAATTTTACATAAACTAATAGGATTAAAGAAACCTTTACAGACTTTTACAAACTTAACTCTCTCTTCCCTTTCACAGTTTTGTGGGTCAGGTTTTGCAGTCTGTCGGTATTTAAATAAATGCCATTAATAGTTAATACCCAGTAAGATAACAATTAGTCTTATACAAACTGCTTACGATTCAAAATATATATTTAGCAAACGTTGAAGTTGAGAATGGAGGGCAACATTTGGACTGGATTTTTTGCTGCCTTAACATTTCGATGAAATTACATTTTATTTATAAAACAAACAAACGAACAAAAAAACTTAATCAGCCTATAAAGGCTCTACAAAACCAGAAGTATTCTGTTGGACAGAGGCCTGTGACGTCACATAGACTGGCATCTTGGATATTACTCAATAAAAAATCTGATTTATTATACTTGTAGGTTATAAACTATATAAATTTAATTGCCGAAGGTCGACTAGAAAAAAACTATTATATATTAAATATTTAGCCTCATTTGGCGCTGATTTCTGTATTTGTACGTTTATTGTACTGACTCAGTTATTTTAGCGGTTTTAACTACAGTATTTTTTTTGCCTTTTCTCACTTCATTTAATATCTTTTATCCAGACATTAGCACCATTACTTGTGAACTAACGTAGACTTAACTCTTCTTAAAAATTTTTGACCTAGGATGTAAAGATGACCCTAACTACGCCGACAAGTGTCCCGAGATGGCCGCACTTAACAACTACTGTCAGGACCAGGAAACATTTATGAAAAAAAATTGTCCCAAGAGTTGTGGATTCTGCTCGGAAGGTGATTTGTTGGTTTTAATTGTACATCATCTATGTTGATTGTTATAAAGTCAAAATGTAATCACATAGTTACATGAAGAAACCAAACTTCATTTCTGTGACTGACTTCCTCAAGGACATGTATCTGAGACATCAAAACAGCCGTAGCATGCACTTATAACAGGACCTACTACGCATCTGCAATTACAACATTTTTAGTTGATAATTTAACGTATTTATACTCTTTACTGGAGAAAGCATGTGATGTCTTTTTAAAATTCCCTTTTGATACGACAATGTTCTCATCAGTTCCTGGCCTATTCCCTATACAAGTTTAGGTGTAGTAGCTTTAATTATAACAACTAATTAAGCATTTTCTATTTCCAGCATCCGCCGTACTCACTATATTCCATCCCTTAATTTCTAGTATATGATTTTTATTTCAGGTACAAAAGCTCCTGCTCCTGTTGGTAAGTTAATGTTCATTATCAATCTGACTTTGCCCTAGTTCTCATTAAAAAAGAAATTAAAAAATACGAAACACACAAACAAACCTAAACACAATGGGCCGGTTATTTAAACGGAGTTTAACAAGTGTTTAACAAATCCTTGTTCTAAGTCATTTTCAGTTTGCCCACCTCTTTTATCTAAAGCACCATCCATTTGTCGTGAACAGTTTCATAAAAGCATATAGTGTAGACTAGAAAAGCATTTATCTTCATAAATGAACCCACTAAAGAAGAGATCTGGAAGTCCAAAGATTTCTTAAACCGCGGTCTGAGTTAGACCTCGTTTAATAACCGACCCAATGAATTTTTTTAAGTTGTGTTCGAAAACAACGTACCTTTGATAAAAGTACAGCAAATTTTTTTTAGCCAGATTCGATGAATTACCGTATCTTACGAGATCTACAACAGTCTGATTCTAGACTGGGTAACTTTCATTGAACCCTCGCACGTACACTGAGTCAATCAAAACATCACTGTGAGTGAAGCGTAGAGGGAATGGTGGGGTGTAGTGTGGGAAGGGGGTTTGAGTGGGGGAGTTGGACCTTTCATTGGGTCTTTGCTGTGTCATGATAGTTTGTAAATACCTGACTGTTGTGTAAAAATGTAAAACTCGATCGGCCAGTAACGAGCTCTACAAGCCTCAGAAGCCATATGGAGAGGTAACTTGTTTAAACAACTAAGTATTTTAATTGCTAGTCTAGTGCATGTTGTTCTTAAACATTTAGCCTCTATTAGTGTTGATGTTTGAAGGCTCATTTTGCACAAAAAGAGCAAAAGACTCAATTTTGGCTTTAATAATAATCGCGTCTCTTTGATTATTACGTCATTCTTCATCACCATAGCATTAACTGTCCGCAAATTTCGCCAAATTCTTTCCAACTAGATATTCAAGAGCAACTTCTCTCCTGTCAAGAGTCGCTACTCCCTTTTATTTATGTTTTAGAGGTCTAAACGAAAACGTTTCCTGTTGTTGTCTCAGTTTGTGAAGATGACCCTAACTATGCTGATGGGTGTGGCGAGAAAGCCGCCATTGAAGATTACTGCAAGGACCACGAGCAATTTATGAGGAAGAACTGTCCCAAGAGCTGTGGGTTCTGCTCGCCAGGTAAGTCACAGTGGTTCTCAAAAATACAACACAATTCCCTTTCCCTTTTAAACAACTGATTGTACCAAGAGAACATATAAAAGGTCCTTTTATCATTTGTTCAGAGTCGCTTAATACCACACCATGAAATTTTTTATATCGTACTCATAAAGGTCTCACTATTTTCTACTTTTCGGCGTTAATAAGAAGTGAGGCCTCTTGGCAGAGAGACGGAGCTGTACTGTATACTTACGGTGAAGCAAAAAAATCACGGCAATTACAATTTGCTCAAAGCAATTTAATTTCAATTTGCTCCCGACAATTTTTATTTGCGAAGACAATTTCACTACAATTTTAATATGCTAACGACAAGTTTAAGTTGCTCACGGCAACTTTAATTTATTCTCGACAATTTTAATGTACTCACGTCAATTTTGATTTACCCTGGCAATTTCAACTTGCTCACGGTCAATTTAAATTTCCCGGATACTTTTGGGCCACGGTAGTGTTACTCGAACTCTAGTGTATTAAAAAGAAACAGTTTTCTCCACCGTGTGTGCACATGTTTCGTTCTAGCCGAGTGAGACAATTTCTTCTTTATTTTGCGTCTGCTAAAAGGTAACTGTTAAGGGGCCGACCATTTTACTCTTGAGGGGGATTCGCGATTTCAGAAAATATCCTGCAGACCGATTTCGGGGAAAAAAAAAATCTTGTAAGGAATTACCCTGCGAAAAGTATCCTGCACTAAAAAGAAATGTTTCGCATGGTGTCTAATGCTGGAAAAAAATTACCTTCAGAGGTTTGGAAAAAAAAGTCTTGTACCAAAACCACCCCATATCCCCCCCCCCCCTTAAAAAAACAATAGTCGACCGCTAAACCCCTCTTTACCCTTTTATCACGCCAGTCCTCAGACGTATTCCCATATTGTTGGTTTTCACGTGACGTCACTAAAATTCAAACTAAAAAACTATCGATCCTACCGAGAGTTTACTTTCACGGTGCATTAGAGCAACTGAAAACTAGTTTTCATACAAATTTTCGCGTCAAAAGGGTTCTTGGTTTTGTGATAGAGTACCCTTGAATTTCTCAGCTTTTGAGTGACGCGGTATTTACATGACAGCCAAGAGAGCTTTCATGTAGGCTAAAAAATGACTTATTTCAGGAAATTTTGCTATCTAAACAGTTCATGTATTAGAAAAAGTATTACTTTAATGTTTAAGAGTTTTCGAAGAATAAATTCACGCTTTTGTAGCAAAACTCGGTAACAGATGTTTCTGTTGGTTTCCGTCCGCCATGTTGGAGCTCATCTAGGTGAGCACCAGCATGGCGTCTCCATAAAAATCTCTATAAGTTTGGGTAAAACATTTCTTCGGATATCTCGTATACGAAATATTCCTCTGACCTGAATCTTGGCGAGGGTCTTTGTATATGTACCTCTTTTTATTTCCCAGATTCTGGACTTTATCTGTTGAACAGTTTTGATTTTTATATTGATCTATTTTGAATTGCGTGACACTGAAAACCGGCAATAACTCGTAATTAAACAAATCGGACTCCCGCTACGCGGTCGTCCGATTTTGTTAATCACTCGTATGATTACAGACCGAATTGGACTCCACTCTGTCCTGTTACCATTACGAATATTTTCTTGTCAGTTTCTTTTCTGTCCTTATCCTTTTGTCTGTTTTTGGTGTATACTCTCAGGGAAGCCTGTACCTGGCCTTTATTATTAGTACAGTAGCTCCCTGCGGGTAACTTTTCCTATTTCCCTTTGAACTTGACCCAGTCGTTAGTTAACTCGAAAGAAAGAACAGGAAAAGGCCGCTGTAACTGAACCGCAAGTAACGATGTTCGTGGGTCTCAGAAATTTGCGTTATTTTTCTTTTGACACTATCTTTCTAAAAAACTGTTCTTCCTGTTTAAAAAAATCCAATATTTTGTGCCAGAACGCAGGAGTACCTATTGGTACCATAAGTAAGTGGGTCCGGGGGCTGGCCTCCCCCATTATTGTTAGACAAAACTGAGGCCTGAAGGACCGAAAAAAATTTCTCGTAGAGACTGGGCCCCCTATATCTAAGGTTCTGGATGACCTAGCCCCCCAATCACCCTTATCTCAAGGTCTCAGGGATCCGGAACTGCATCCTTCACTTCTGAAAGATTGCCGGTACTCTGAAGCAGGTATGGCCCTCATCTCTGAATGCACAGCTTTACCAAGGTCTTGGATCCTTGAAAAAGGCTTCCCAGCAAAAGCTGATTTGATTTTTGGAAAGAGCCAGAAATCGAACGGAGCCAACTCGGGCGAGTGTGGTGGAAGTTCCATCAAACTGATACAATTGTCATGTGATCAAGGTACGTCTGTATGATGCGAGCTTTGTGAGGGGCTGCATTGTCGTGATGCAACTGGATTCAAGACCGACCTCGAGTCCGTGCCGTTGACTGAATATGCGGAAGACCGTTTGGCAAAACTGAAGTTGTGTAATATGTGGCAGTGATTATAGCTTTGTCGGGTGTTATGTCGACAGTAACAAGCCCCTGAGTATCAAAGAAATTTGTCAACATTCTCTTTGTTTAACGGAAACCTGTTCTCAGGACCTTTGGGCGTGGTTCATCTTCGGCCAGCCATACCATGTTAGAACGTTTGCCTTTCATAATGAAGAAGGAAATCCAACACTCGTCATCCGTAACAACACCAGAAAACCTCTTAGGGCCAATTGCTTCAAATACTTCCAACCAATTGTGGCAGGCTGTAACCCTTTGTTCCTGAATTCTTTTCTGTTGTCAGCTGGTGGGGGAACCATCTTAAGCACCTCTTGGACCGACCAAGCTGCTCATGGACGATAACATGTGCACTTCCGCAGCTTACACCAAGCTCCAAGGCTAAGAATCTGACTGTTATAGTTGGGTCTTCCACTGTTAATGCTTCGGCTCTATCCAAGGAACTGTTGGTCACAGACGTCCGTGGCCTCCCAGCATGGGCTTCATCTTCAACGCTCTCTCTGCCATCAGTAAAATGCTGCATCCATCTGGAAACTGAGCGAAAAGAAGGTGACAGGTCACCATAAACCATCACAAGCTCTTCATGGACAAGCATTGCTCTACTTGCTCCTAAACTTAATTTATAACGAGTGTAAATGTAAAAACGAATATACTCCCTTGAAGGCTCCTTGTCACAACCAAATTTAGCATGTAAATAAAAGGATCTGGCAATTTACATGGGCACTAAATTTCCACAACAATCAGCTATTACTGTGGTCTTGCGTTTAAGATATGAATAAAGGCCTATTGTGGCTTGGAGCACTTAGGACTTTTCTTGGTGACAGAACTTCTTTATCGGCCCTCGTAATATCTGCAGCCTTGAGATTTATTCACTTTACAACGTCAGTGACAGCTTTTTTATATCGCCCGTGCCTTCTTTCAGTTCCAGCGCGGGCAATCATTGTATCACATAACAATATCAGCCTGGTATATGTAAATTGTTGATAGTTGTTTTTTTTAAATACTTATTATTGTCTTTTATTACAGGTACACAAAAACCTCCTGCTCCTGCTGGTAAGTTATGTTCAATATCAGTCTGGCTCTGCCCTACTTATCAGTTACAAAGAAAATATGAATTAGAACGAGTAAACAAACAAACAAACTTGCGTTCAAAGTTGCATTCGAACAGAACCTAGCCTACTATTACCAAATCTTCAATAGTCTTTGAATTCTAGAGCTGTAGAACATATAACTTCTATTTAGCCTTTGGACGTATAACACACCGCATATGGTAAAGTGGCGCAGTAGTGACGGGGGATTTAAATCCTGGCGAGGTATAAATTTTGTTATATCAATTAAAACATTTAGCACCTTTTGGTACTTATTTTATTTTAAGTGTTTTACACAAAAAGTGTCCAAATTGAAATAGCTTGACTTCATGTCATTTATGAGGTCATATCTGGTAACCATAGTAATCAATTTTCATCAAATTTAGAAAAGTGTACATTTCTCCTTCCCATACCCCCTAAGGGCTAAAACTTCTTCGACTTCTTTCTACTTCTTCTTGTTCGCGACCCAAACTAAATTATCGTTCTCCTTTGTTATTTCAGTTTGCGAAGACGACCCTAACTACGCAGATAAGTGTGCCGAGAAAGCCGCCATTAAAGATTACTGCGTGGACCAAAAGAAATTTATGGAGAAAGAATGTCCCAAGAGCTGTGGGTTTTGTCCCTAAGGTAAGTAAAATAAAAAAACCTGGCTCAACTTATATAATGACATGATTCCCTCTAGCATCTTATAATTTATTACATGAGTACTGGTCGTTACACTAAACAAAGCTGTCAAATAAAATAAACATGGTCTGTCAAAAACTAGTCAAGAAAAAATATGGGTGGTCATGTGATTTTTCCTCACAGGTCCATGCAGATATCGTGGAGATAAAATATGCACGGTCCATGTAGAAATCTCTACTGCTCTAAATTCTCATTTTACTCATAATGAACCTCGGCTAGCCAGTAATATTCCCCAAACTAACGACTGTTTTGAAGGTAACATTATGCCATCGGACTCTTCAATCGGCAACGAAATTGTTGAGATATGCTTTCTACTCTGGTCACGTGTCAGTCCCTACCGAGCTTGTACGTGGCGTTTGGCTTGTCAACACTTTGACTTCAACAGCACCAATATATTGGCTCTCCGACAATCTGCGCTTGAGCTTCAGCTGGTATTTGCGAACAACGGGAAAGGATTTTTTAAAACCGCTCTTTTTAGCAGACGTTCGTGGGGTAGGGACGCGTGACGAACCCCCAAGAGCGTCTACTTGTGAAGCTAATTCGCTTGTACGAATTTTGTTCACTTGTTGTAAATAATCACTTGCTCACTCGTTCGTTTGTCGGACTCTTGAGGAATTATCGGTAAGTTCGAACGCGCTCACCAACCTTATTGCTGCCTCGCGAGCAAGTCTGAAGCGAGCGAGCAAGGCAGCAAACCTATTACGCACAGGGACAAAAATTTTCGATTTGTACCCACGATGCATCTGGATTCTTACCACAATTCCTTGCACGCCCATTGCTTTTATACACCGACCTCTGCTTGCGTTTTATTGCATGAACTGTTCGTTGAGGTTAGTTGATATCCTCGCTTTTAGTGTGTCTGTGATTTCTCGGCTTTCGTTTCTTTTAGGGGACCGTCAGCTTTTATAGAGGAAAAACCTTACTGAATGCAATACATGCAAGTTTATGCGAGAATGTGACGAATGTATACGCCAAACGTAGAATGTATAACGCAGAAAAATGAATCTATTTTAGCTATTATTGTATTATTCTCGCTTGAATCTACGGTAAATTGCCTAAAATCCAAGAAAATCACAAAGAAATGTCCCGACTGCGAGATTCATGGTTCGTGGCTAAAAGATACTTTTAGAAATGACATGTATTTGCGCTTTATTCATTCTTGTCTTTCTTTGTTGTTGAACATACACTATTTTTTTAGCCCTGATTTTTTTCGTCCTTAAACTTTTCATTTTGCCTGCGCACAAGTTGTTTTCCTCTTCTGAGCGACGCTCCCCTTAAAGTAGCGGGCTATTGCACTCTCGAAAACTCTCGAAGAATGTACAGTGGAACCCCGCCTTACGGCCATCTCGATGCGGTCACCTCGTTTTTTCGGCCACCGGCAAAACGGCCGTACATTTTCTTACAAAAAGCCGTCGCTAATACAGTCACCCGTTCATACGAGTAGATTCTTTTACAATTTCACCCCGTTAATACGGCGACTCGTCAGAAATGTCGAAAACTAAAATGCCCGTGACATGTGAATTTCATTGACCTTGTAAGCAGAGCTTGTTTTTGCACTGTTTTTAGGCCAATAAGAAATAACGATGCATTAATGTGAGGGTCTAACACCGACTTTTAAAAGTCTTTTACATGTATGTACTAAAGGAAAGCGATATCTACTTTCCAGCAACCTCGTCCCCAGGGCTTTTCCCTTTTCCCGCCCCACCCATTTTTTAAGGGAAAAGCCCTGGGGACGAGGTTGACTTTCCAGTTGTTTATTAAAGATAACACAGTTGTACACGAAGTGTGATGTATGCATATGGTGTATATGAAATTTGACCCTGCCCCGGTAATACGGCCAAATTTATTGGACCCATTTTTTCATTGGTGACGGTATAAACGGTGTTCCACTGCAATGTGTTTCTTTCGAAATTTTTTGAACATCGACTTAAGCACTTTTGATTATCTTCTACTCTCCTGGTTTTTACAACAATTATAGAAGATAATGCTCTTACTAATAACCAGAGTAAAATTTCTGACGACTTGGCTAACAAATTGCGTCACAAACGTTACACATGAACTATTCTAATTACGCGCCAGCTGAAAGCAAATTTAATGCAAACCTAATTTGGTGATAAACAAATCGACATCCTCCTGATCAGGGCAGCACTCTTTTAGCTATTAGGTACACTAGTCTAATCTATAATCTATGCCGGCATTCGACTCCTGTTATATTATGTGTTCAGTTTAGCTATAATCACCATCCATAAAGAGATATATTTCATTGTCTTTTTATCCTGCGCATTGTTCGCTGATTGTTTCTCTCTTCATGGAAAGATTATTGCTGGCTTATGCATTTGGGTATTTTCAGTTACGAATGGAATAATTTATACCAGAGGATATATGTCAGGGTTTTCACATGACGTTTTCAAAAATTCAAACGAGAGAATTATCGCTCCTCCTGCGTTTTTCCTTTCATGAAGTACTCGAGCAGCTAAAACTAAATATATTCACACAAATTTTCACTTTGAAAGGATTCTTCTTTAGTTTGATACATTACGCTTGAATTTCTAAGCTTTTCCGTGATGTAGAATTTACATGGCGGCCGAGAGACCGGTCGACCGTTCAGGTTAAAAAAGTGACTTATATTGGGGTGATTGTGATATCTGAACAGTCATTGTATTAGGAAAAGTATTACTTTAATGCTTATTATGAGTTCCCTGAGAAATGAAATCACGCTTTCGTAGCAAAACTCAATGACAGATTTTTCTGTTGGTTTCTGGCCGCCATCCGGATGGGCGCTAACATGGCGTCTCCACACAAAGCTCTATAAACAAAGTGAGCAAATTATTTTTCCTAATATCTCGCCGATATAAAAAATGGCACTGACCTGAATTTTGGCGAGGATCTTAAGATATTTATTTCCTTTCATTTACCAGAATCTTGACTATATCTATTGGACGGTTTTGACCATGATTTTTGATGGCTTGACCGTGAAAACCAGCAATAACTGATTTTTCTTGCTTGTTTTAATTTTTTCTCAGAACCTTGGGTCCTGATCAGTGTCATGCAATGCAGTGATGTGTGGCAGGATGCAGGAAAAGAAGAGTTTATTTTTCCCGTTTGCAAGTAATTGAATAGAAAGAGCCTATATTTAATTAAGACCGTTACACTGCTCTTAGACCGTTTTAAGACCGTTGCACTGGCTCTGTGTTTTTCATGTTATTGACTGGGATGAAGCGCGTAACAACAGAAAAGCGAGGACTAACAAACATGCAATTATTAAAACTTCTGTAAAAGCACTTACTGGTAATTACTGAAGCAAAATAAAATTCGGTGCAAACAAATTGTTGCTGTTTAATCCTTACTGGAATGCTTTTAGTCTTTCATTGTAGGAAAGGGTTGCCATCTTAAGAAACAGACCATTATAAGTTTGGACGGAGGAGTTCAGTCATTAAATTTATTTATCATTCAATACTTTAATTTCCAAACCGTTTACTTCAAGTCATACGTTTCTTCTCAAAATATATCAGTTTCACTTTCTGTTTGGCTTCGTTCGTTACCTTGTTGTTACCCTCAATTTTTTGTATGTAAGGGACTGGTCAAAAAGTATGGGGGGGCCGGAGCATAAACTTGATAAAAAGCACATGGTCCCTTTTTTGACTGAACCCCTAAAGCAAGGTTGGAAATTGTTGGCCAATTTGTTATCAATTTTTAAAACTCAGATCCTTTTTTTTAACCTCCAACGCCCCTCGATCGTTCGCAAACGCCCCTGATGTGCCATTTCAGACATTTTATTTAATATATCATTTTTCAAAGAAATTTTTGCCGGACCAACACTCAGGATCTTTAAATGACTGAGAAGAAACGTCCCGAGCGGCGAGCATCGAGGAGAAACGGCTGTTCAGTCGCCGTCTATGATACGAACGTTTTGAGAATAGCGGGTGGCTCATTAAGATAAGAGGAGTACTGGAGCTCTTGTGACGGAGCAAGAGAAATTAGATCACATAGATACGAAAACGAAGGCTCCCTGAGCTACAACCGTGGGGAGTTTGGCACGTATAGTACTAAAAAGTAAAGTCTTTAAAATAGGAACGCGTTCTCTGATAGGTAACATAGTGTGGTCTGCATAGTAATGGAATTAATTTGTGATACCTAACTTTGGACCCCAATAAAAAAAGCTGGTCTAACATGCATTTCAAGTTCTTAAATTTGAAGGAGGTTACGATAATTGACTCGGATTAAGTTATGATGCATGCAAAATTGTCATTTTAGTTCTTGGATAGACTCTTCTAAGACCTCGTACATTGTATACAACAGTAAATAACTTTCAAGCCAGTTCCGTAAAGCTGTTATAACAGGTGAATCATCACACAACAAGATAAGTTCCATTTAGACCAATAGTCTTGTTGCTTAACATCCAAGATCTGATTAGCACAGAGAGCTCCACTGCAGCAAAGGTACGAATCTGCTTAGCTGAGTCATCAGAAGGAAATAAAATACAAACAACTGAGTGTTATCAACTCAATCATGGACATCAGACAGGTGAAAATCGATGCCTATTTTAAAAACTTCACGGCAATAAAGGGTTAATCAGTAGTTTTGATATTGTTTTATTTTGAGTTGCACCGCTTTGATTTATAATGTTATAATTTCAAAAAAATTCTCGAGGACTTAGGGGTCACCTTTGTTTGAAGATTAATATGACACAGTCGCCTAACGTTGGAAATGCTGGACATTTTATATGTAGTTATACATTTCCTGTAAACACTTACTGAGGCGCTATACTGGACTGTTATGAATATAGTGTCTTTTCATGAATATTACAGTGCTTTATAAACAAAACAAAGTAATCAGCAACTTGACATTAAAAAAAAAAAAAAAATTCTAAAACTCCATGTAATTTTAAATGATGCGTAACCTACAGTCAGCTCTAAAAGCCTTTCGAAGTAGGAAACGTTTTCAAGCCGAGGGCATTATCCGTGACATAAACGAAGCTTATTCATAACGCGAGATCAGTAAGAAAACTGGTTTCACCATTTTGCCTTAAACATCTTTTCAGACAATATTTGATTAAAATCTATCTCATCAGAGACTGAGAGAGGAGATGAGCGATGAGTAAAGTTACCCAAATCCTAGATTTCACTTCCAACAGTCGACTAACCTTTAAAGCCACTGGTCGATATAAGTCTGCAAAAATGTGACGTTTTGGCACTATATACGGCGCTTTTTTGGGTGGACGTCCTTAGGGTCCAATACAAAGCTTTGGCAATCCCTTTTAATAATTTCAGCATGTCGTTCTTACTCTCGCCTACAAACATCGTACCAGACTAAACGATAGAGTCCTTACTCCTAAAAACGATTTAGGACTGAATCAACATCAGCTTAGTTCAAGGAAATATCTTTTGCAGCATAGACTGTGAGCAGTGTCTTATTCTTCTTTGCAAAGTTACTGCATGCGAAACCAAAGCATGCGAGCCGAGCCTCGATAAACTAGGGCAATAATAAGAGGAAAAAATAAGAGACTGCTGACTCTTTAAGCTGAATTCCTTGCCTTGAATTCCTTTTTACAGCAGTTTCCTTCTGTAAGATATCCTTAAACGTTTTAGTTTACGAGCAATTACCGCTTGGTTCGTTATTGTTCGTAGTTAGTTGTGACGCTTGACTAAATAACAGTTTTTAAACTTTATGAATTTTCTTCAGAAGCTGACTTGCTTATACTGAGATTTAGTTACTAAAGTTGGTTTTTTTACTGATGACCAACCTAATGTGCTTTATATATATGACAATAAGCCACTTGCACCAAGAGGTCATGTGACCAATGCTTCCTTTAAACAATGAGTTGGAATCTTGCTGATGCCAAAAATTAACAGAGCACATAAAAATTATCTTACACCCGAAATTTGAGAGGAAACGCATTTAAGGAAGAATGTTTTATGGCACCTTGATTTTTCAACAAACTAGTATGATTTGTATTGGCCGCCATGTTGGAGGGCATACTCTTGCCCTCCAACATGGCGGCCAAAACTACTTTTTACTTATATGTTGTTAAACGTTTGATAGTTACGTTCAGATGTGCTGCTAGAAACGTTACCAAATCATCTTTTCAACATTTCCTTGAAGTTTAAGTGCAAAATTAGTGTTCAGAGAGAGGTAATTCATAATTTTAAAAATCACATTTGGTCACATGAAAAACCAAATCACTATTATTTGTTTAAGATATGACCCACTAATCATTTATCGAAGGCAAAACCATATAACTTTCATTTTCATAAAAACAATGTCACATGACCTCTTTAATAGTGCAAATGGCCTATAAAGCTAGCAGATTAAAAGCGCTTTTTAAAAAGCTTTGAATGCAGAAAACCTCATATCGCCGGTGAATAAAAATCAGCCTGTGCTACTGCTTTCAAACTGAAACGTACTTCCAGCACCTAAAACCATTTACAGGTCGAAACACATAAATGATGTGGAAAACCAAACGACCCGATTCCTCAGACTTCGAACCTGCATGCTACTAGGTGTATTTTGTATCTATTCCCACAACAGGGACAATTCTATACTTTACGACCCCTCCCTAGGGTAAATTCTTACCGGCTCCCAGATTTGTATCTATTGTACCATTCTGGTAACAGGGGCGACAACTAAGGACAGCTAGCGATCTTTGCTGGATTACCAGGCGCCCAGCATCTTTGCTGGATTACCAGGCGCCTTACAATTAAAATAGTTTGATTATCAAAAGCGTGTATTGATCGCGGCCAACGCACATGATTTAGCGATGAGATTCTGAAGCAATTTATAACACTTATAAAGTCGAGAGAGAAAGCGCCAGGTTGTCTTAAATCGACTGATATAAGACGACAAGGATGAAATTAATTCAACATTCTTGTCTGGAACCCTTCTATAAAGAAGTGTCCGGCTGTCTGCTCTTTGTTTTGTTTCTGCAGAAAACAAAACGGCGACTGAAATATTTTTTGATCACAGACAACTCACACTGCTGCTGCTCGTAACTGGGTTTGCCTAACGGTCGCGGGTTGCTGATCGCGGGTTTTATGTCGCAGGTGGGAAAAATGATTTTGCGTAAACTGAACAGAGTGGGAAACGTCAGTAGACTGGTAGCGTTGACAACTTTTCATGGCTGGGTGGAACTAAAGGGGTTGATATCAGTTGGGACGCTGGTCCTGTTTTCGATTCCGTGTTAATTTGCTTTGAAGAAATTCTATCATTTTATGTGTGGCTCAGCAAGGATTAAGAACTTCTGAAAAGGAGCTATGATAAAGAAATTATCAAAATTAAAAATATAGGAACTGACACCAAATAGAACGAAACATAAAAAAAGCCGCCGTCAAAACTCTAAAAGAAGGAATAAATAAAACAAAAAAAAACATAGTAAACACAAAAGGAAGCGCGAATGACAAACTTGAAGATGATTGAAACGTTTGATATATTGCTTGGGAGACATTGTTTTACACGAAGGTATAATGGTGGCATTCGCGAGTAATTTCTAACTGGCGTAATGCCCAATAAACATGAATAAACAAAATGAACGTTAACTACCAGCCGTGACGTTACAGCCACTTTATATTAACTGTTTTTCGTCTTTTACTTGTCTTTCAGTTCCCTGAGCGCTGAACGCGGGACCCCCCTATCGAACTCCAGCTTATGTGGCGATTCTGCAGTTGAGATAATTTAACCTCGTTAGGGCTGTTAAGGCTGTCAAAAAAGTTTGAAAATTCTTACTGTACGGTAATAGGCCCTTTGCAACTAGCCATTCCGTGGTACAAAACCACGGTGCTGGAGAGCAAAAGTCTCACCGGCACAAGACAAACAAAAGGCATGAATAATTTTAAATGGTAATCTCCTTTGTTTGTCTTGTCCCAGTGCGATTTTTGCTTTCCATCATGGCGGTTTTGTACCACGTGAATGGCTAGCTCCAAAGGGCCTATTGCTTTCAGGATCAGCTGTCATTTTCTAAGGTTTTTTTATAGAAGTAAGTGGGGTAAAGATGTAAGAGCAGTTGTTAATGGATCAATAAATGAGACCACAATAAAAGTAAATTGTAACGTATTGATGCTGGTGATCGTTTGTAAGGAAGGATCGGGAGATAAGCCTGTTTCACAGACCCAGGTGAAAACTTTGAAGCCCTCGATTAAGCTTATAGACTGAATTGCAGCCTGATGGAGCGACTCAGCTCACATCTCTTCTCTTGGAGAGCTCTTTGTCTTAGATTAACCTTAACTGCCGCTTATAACCCTTCTTACTTATGAGTCCTCCCAGTTATTATAAGCTCATGAACCTGTAAACAGAAAAAATACAATCCGATTATAAGCCCCATGAGATCTAAGCCCCTCCGTTTATATAAGCTCTCACGGCTAATTAACCCCTTACGAGGAAGTGTAATCTCACTGCAGGGCTTATAAGCAGCAATTTACGGTATTCAAACCAAACAAGCAACAAAACGAGGGAGGGTGTACTCGACCGATATTTGGGTATAGGTCATGATTAGAACCGTTGAAGGTGGCTAAATAAGCTTTATAACGAACCTCACTTATTCATGGTTGTCGGCTTTCCACCCAAGATTGGTTAATGTAAGAGATCTTCTCTCTCTGTGATGTTCATGAAACGCGAAATAAGTTGCTAATGCTACCAGTAAGAAAAAAAACCTTTCATGATTATTAGAATTTCAGGGGCACCCAACGGCAATTTTCGGGAAAATATCTGTTCGGAAGACGATTTGAGAACTAGAATTTTGGGAACATTTGTTGTAAAATTTCTTGCTTGCCTGCCTCTCCTAGGATTTTCGAACATCTACAAAATGGTATAATTACCCATTTTAAACGGATATTTACCCTAAAAAAGGCCACCTAGGATTTTCGGGAGCCTTTTTTCTGGCTGAAATTTTCGAAAAGGTAAGTTTTGATCCCTATAATTTTCGGATCACTAGACTTTCAGCTAGGAAATCCGAACAGATGAAAAGTTTTTAGGGGACAAAAATATGCCTATATCTACCGTTTAAATACTAAAATACGTTCAACAACGCTATGTTAAGTGGTTTTGAACTATATCCTCGTTGGGTGCCCCTGGAATTTCTATGCGTAAGTGTATAAAAGAGAACAGCAACAACAACAACAACAAAACAAGAAGAACCAGAAGCAGCCTTTTATCTTAAGTCTATTATACATTGCGAAATAAGAAGATCAAAAATTATCAAAAAGAATTTATCAGCAGTTGACTTTGAGACTTAAAGAGATCTACTACAACCGTTACAGTTAAAAAGAGGAAACATTGTCATTTCATAACTGAGTATAGTATAGAACACCATATCACTCTCAGTGCCAAACAGCGCAAAAGAACCTTAATTCTTCTATGCTTCAGCGTCCTTTAAATGCTATATAAAAAAAAAAAGAAAAGAAAAGAAAAGAACAAGAAATAAAAGGCCAGTAGGGCTACATACCTCGAGCGAAAAGATCAGAGAATGGGTACATGCAAATGCATGCAATTCAGAAATAGAATCAAAAACTAGATTCAGAGCCCGGACTTAGTTTGCAATAAAGGCGGCTTGTACTAAGATTTAAGAAAACCCTACGAAAAAATTTTGTTTCGAGTCGCCAAATTGTAACTTCTGATAGGATTAAGGCAAATGGTTTTTAGCAGGTTGATTAAGAGCTAATTTTGCACATGTGAACGCTTGATTCGTGAAGCGTGAGCGCCGCAGCTAATCCATACGTTTGGCCACTATAGACAAACATTCATTTCATTAGCCCAAAATTCATTGGAAAGGCACTCTTCCTCTGATCTTAGTAGTCGTCGTCCTCGAATCTAAAGGTTTCTAGGTTTTGTCAGAGAGCCAGTGGAAGTTTCCAGACCCTCCCTCGGGGCCCTCTAGTGAGTGCTCTTCCCGCTATGGCCCGAAGCTCTCGCAAGCTAATGAATCAACGATTTGTTAATATTCTTCTGATTCTTTCCTAACAGTTTACACACAGAATCCGTCTATTTGGTCTGAGGACAGAGCAAAGAATTTTCTAGATTTGTCAAACGGCTTTTACACTCACTTCGGTAATAGTTGAGCAAAACACAAATTAGCAAGTTGGTACGAAAATTGAAATAAGTTATTAAAACAATCTTGAAGCTGAGTTTAAGATCTCGTAAGTGATTCTTAAAACCGTCAGTATGCTAAAAGTATTCCCCTTATTTTTCCATTTATGCTGCATATAGTTTGATTAAATGAACTTTTAGATACAATTTTTATAAATAATAAAAAAAACTGATGCGCTTCTTTAATAAAAAAGTTGTAAATGATCAATGTGAACTTAGTATAATTTTTAAACTAAAATACGAAACAAATTCTACATGTATCGTAAAGTGCTGATTTCTTCAGTTAGCTTGCAAAAACATTTACTGAGTGGGTTTGACTTGGAAGCAGTTTTGACGTCTAAATTATAGACCGCCGGGCTTTACACTTCTGCTCACTGTGTCAACTAAGGTTATCTCTAAGTCGTAGACATAATCTGAAGAGGGCAAATTCACAACATTTTCAGTTAAATCTGACGTTAATGAATTGTTCTTAATTGAAGAAGACGAGTTCGATTTGTTTTGCATTGAGGAGGGACTTAACAGCTAAGACAACACCCAAACACAAATTTGAATTGAGCTTATGATTCGACATTAATTGCTGTTACCTTAAAAGAACCAAATTCGTTTTAATTTGTTTTAAGAAACAGCTGTTTAGCCAGAACTTTGTTCGTAGTAAAATATCACTCTTTTGCTCCATTAGGAAATTAGTTACGTTTACCTTTCACTTAAAGCCGCGGTATTCACATACACTAAGTTCTCAACAATGATTTCCATACATTTCCTTAGAAAGTTAAGTTAAGAGATAGATAAAGGATCAAAAGCATTTCACTTTGGCAATCATTTCATTGACTCTCGTTATAACTTTGTTTGTCCTCGAGTGCGAATTGATATTGTTGGGAAAATTGATGCATGTTGATCTACGGACTTAAAGGTCGCATTGCTCTGAGTATCCAGCTTCAATGCATCAATCGGTAAATAAAACTTAATTCTCTCACCCTTAATGCATCAATCAATTAACAAACATAACGTCAGGTACATCTATTCCAGATTCTGTATTTTAAATAGTCGTATTTGATTTGTTAATGGACCGGTTAAATTTTTTGGATTAAGAGCATATAAGAAAGTGTTTTTCTCAGACAATTTCGCATTCATTTTCGATACTGATCGAGATGATACTGCTGGTATTGCTACTTTCTGGAGCCAGTATCGTGAGAGGTAAGAGCACTTTTGTTTTTCAAAATGCAATAACTAAAATATATATCTCAAGAAATTGTTCATTTTACAATTTCAATTTTTTCACATTGCTTGTTTCTGTCTTGTTTCTTTTCTTTTTTCATTATATTGTCAAAGTTCAAAGGCTCATTATTCCATAGCGAAGGTTAGAAAAAAGGCATATTTTCACCCCGGGTTCTGATGATAATAAAATGTCGTTTATTGTTGTATTGCAAACATTTTTACTCCATTGTACAACATTTTGAGTAAAAATATCATTGAAAGTGTCTTTCTGTTATTAAAAATTCTTTCAGATAGTGAGGTGTAAAATTTGGCCCCTTTAATTTCGACTTCGTAGATAGAAGATCGCCCATTAATTTAATCTGTACTTTAAATGTCCTTTGCCTTGAAGCTTCTGGGAATCGGTAGTGTTATTATAAAGGGGTTGTGTCCCTGCTGTCGTCTAGTTCATACATTTTGCTTGTATTTGACAATTCTTCATTTCGAGTGCGCCTATCGCCATCTCATATTCAACGAGCGCGGATATATGAGATGACTATCTACCATCTCATATTCAACGAGCGCGAGTGGAATAATTGTTTTTATTAAAAACGCCCTCAAAATATCGAGAATTCTTCCCAACTTTATTTGTAAGAACAACCAATTTTCAGCTTGTTTTTAATTTTGAGCAGATGCGTACAGTTACCATATTTAGAGGGCATGTTATAATGGTTCATGATGGCTAAACCAATCGGAGCCCTAGAATTGCATTATCAAACGATTCGTGCCATTTGCACGTCCTTTTTCGCAACGGATCATAATTATTGACGAATTATTGGTAAATTACAAAATCACAGCTTCATGATCAAGTATTGTTAGTATCAAACAATACAGAGGTCAAAAATAAACTTTGATCAAAACTGTTAGGCTAACAAGTTTTCAAAACCGGCAGCTGCAATCCGTTTTAACCTTCTTCTATAGAGTAAAACAATAACAATTAACTGTACTGAAGTACACGTACCAACTTCGCGGTATTTTCTATAGAGTGCCCATCCAGACCTCCTTTTGTATTTGTATTTGTAATTGGCTATATACCTTCCTTTATTGTTTTGAACGATTATTTTTATGTTTCTCACAGTTTGGTTGCAGTTTCCATTGTTTGAATTTTGATGACTTTCGTGACACAGCTCTTTTAACCAAACGTTCTTGGGGCTTAATTCCTAGTAAGTAATTTCTTGAATATTTTTTTACTTCAGCTCAGGCATTGCCTTGTGGCAGTACTCCCATAGTTCAATCACGTGTCATTGGAGGCCAGAATGCTACGCCAGGAGCTTGGCCTTGGCAGGTATGGTTAAAGGTGAATCTATATCTTTCCCCTTAAGCTTATCTTTACGATTCTGAAAATGCTCGCTTTTTTTGACGTACCGTTATGAAATCTCAATTTGGTGAAGGTAAAGTACCCGTGAATGCACTGGCTTTTATGAAATTATCACCACGATGCTTATAAATGGCATAGTTAAAAGAGTGGAATGCTGTTGAAGGCCGCCAGACCCCTTTGTTATATGTTTTTGTGGACCCTGATGGTGCACGTTACGTTCAATAGCTTTCCAAATATGATTTTGATCTTATTGACCAATATATAGGGAACCCACACTCTTATTTGTAAACTGCAAATGGAAATCAAATAAGAGATAAAATTTTACCTGTTTTGTTCTATTCTTTATCCTGTTGTGGTGCGAAGTGAAATGTAAGTTGTTTTACGATGCGAACTGAATAGCCTGTTCCAGGCATTCAGAATGCTTTATCTGGTCACGCGCCGGTTGTTATTATTGTCTCGCGTTTCATCGTTGGTTATTAACAATTTGAATTACACTCTTTCTCGAATTGTTAATAAATTAATAACCAACAATGAAACGCGAGACGGTATTAACAACCGGCGCCTGACAGCATGAGTGAAATGAGAGCCAAACCACATAAAGCATTGTGAAATCAACAACGGTTAAAGAGTCGACTTGAACATAGTTTTCGCATCGTAAAACAACTTCCATTTCACTTCGCAGCACAGCAGATCCAAGAATAGAACAAAACAGGTAAGATTTTATCTCTTATTTAATTTCCATTTGCAGTTTACAGATAAGAGCGTGGGTTCCCTATGACCAATATAAACTGTTTTAGTATTAATTTATTTCGACACAATTTGTAAACAGAAAACAAAGGATTATGCACCGTCAGGGAGCATAAAATACAGCACCGCTGTTTTTATCTTTGATGTTTGCCATATCCCATAATTCCTAGCGTCAGTTATATTACCATCTTATTTCTTCTTATGCACATTTGTCAATTAACATCTGAGAGGGCGGTCAGCGACCCACCTTCCTATCCCCCAGGCATTACGCGGCGCACTGCGTCCAATGCATGTGAATGTACTGCTGTCTACTGCACCTGTGGAATAGCCTCCGTAGCAAGCGTTTCCGTGCGAGTTCGTCGAGAAAGTTGGAACGAGAGCAAAAACGAGACGACGTTCGCGCAATAACTCGATTGGAAACGCTTGCTACGCTAGCCTGCGTAGCTGGCGGTATTGTGTAGTAGTGGAGTGAACACGGCTCCGCCGCCAAAACTTTAATCTCGCACCCACACAATACCGCCAGCAACGCAGGCAAGCTACGCAGACTACCTGTGGACTGCAGCGACCATTTTCACTCCTCCATATCTCATGGTATATTCATGTGTATTGTAAATAGTTAGAATATGTTAATAGGGAAATGGCTACTTGGACGATCCCAGTGCGTACATCAATTGCCCTTTGATAGTCACTTCTGACGTCTATAGACTCCTTCTGTCCAACATTGTTTCAAAACTACCTCAACAGATTATTACGGAAACAAAATGATATATAAAAGCTGAGAAGCCCAACAGCCATTTAATAAGCAACATGTAGTAATTTTTGAATGTGTTCTTTTGCAGATCGCTTTAAAACGTTATGGCCGCTTCATTTGCGGAGGGTCGCTGATTTCTAGTCAGTGGGTGGTAACCGCTGCTCATTGTGTAGCAGGAAGTTCGTAAGTGTCTGCATTCTCAATCCATTTTTTACCCCATGTAAGGGAATCCGGATTCCAAAATCCGCGAAATTTTTGCCCTTGGAATCCAAAATCCTGGGCTTTGCAATCGCGAATACTGCTCAACGAAGTTGTAATCTGATTAATGATTGGAATCCAGAATCCAAGTTCCACTGACAAAGACCTGAATCCAGCACCTGGAATTCGGAATCCACGGCGTGGAATCCAGAATCTAAGACTGTCGTGGATTACCTTAGATGAGGCGACGTTTTTATATGCATCGATGACTACAAAATCTGAAACCTTGATCCATTCCAGTATATTTTTATCGCAATTTATGATGTTTTTAAAGTCTTCAGCTAAGTTTAAAGCTCTGGACATTTCTTTAAGGCAAACGACCTCCCTAGCAGCTTTTTAGCGAGGCTTACCTACAGCTGTACCTAAAGCAGCAAATTTTAATTCATACTTCTATCCTGAATCATAGAGCATTTTATATTGTATTCATACTTTTATCCTGTATTACAGCGCATTTTATATTGTAATATGTATTTTTTAGGCTATAATTTTTTTTTTATCAATAACTCAATATTTTTAGCTTATAGTTTATGTCTTACTGAAGAGGACCCCTCTACAAACCACTTAGTCAGTGAATCTGGTTTCCTCAATAAAGATTAAATTATTATTATTTATTTGGGAGGTTATAGGTTCGAATCCTGTTGGGGACTCAGTTTTTTTCTTTGTCCCACGCTCGTGACATGCTGATTATTTCATTTTCACGTAAATTATTATTATTATTATTATTATTATTATATTAAGTTAGTGACGGCAAATAAAGCTCGATTAGTTGTATGGTTTATCTCTTTTTATTGCCCTAAAACTAGACTTTCCGTATTATACTCGTTTGTTTGTTGTAGGAATCCCTTAAGTTATAAAATCGTGGTCGGCGATCATAACAGGAACATTAACGAGGGAACGGAAGAAGAAGTTGGCGCCAAAAAAGTAATCTCGCATCCAAATTATAACAGTCCACGTCTAAGCAGTGACATCGCGTTGATTCAGCTCTCCTCGCCCGTGAAGCTCTCTCAGCGAGTTAATCCTATCTGCCTGCCCAATCATGACTCGGATGTCCCCACAGGATCAAAATGCTACATCACAGGTATTTGAAACGAAGACCTTTTTCTAAGAGAAGTCTTCAGGGTTTTAACTGTTAAGTTTAAAAAAATAAAGTAAAATTAATTACATATTTTAACATTTTTTTGGTGCCCTCAAAAAGCAAAGCCATCTTACACGACATCGAGAGATGCATGGCGAAAATCATGTTTGACAACTTCGGAAGTCTTAAATTTTCGATGATGAATACAAATATGCGAACTTCATTGTCTCAGTCAGCCCTTCAACTTTCTGGATGGGTAAAAATAAAACAACAACAACAACAACAAAAAAAGTAATAGGGAACAAGGAAGAGAGGTCGTGATTTTGTTTGGCTGTTCAACGTGTGCGTAATGACGCGCATACTAGATCTTTTTCATAATCGCGAATGATTAATATATTATTCTATATGTGCGACAATTAGCCTTTCTGACCTCGTTTGAAAGCAAGGATTCTTTTACATTTTTCGCATGCTAACGAGGCCAGAAGGCTAATTATCACACATATAAAAGAATATATAAATAGGGCGCTATTATGAAAGAGGTCTATTCATCAGTCAAACAGCCTTTAGAGATTTACTAACGTTTTGTTTGAAAAAAACTTTTTTTTTTCTGACTTGTGCTGTTGTATAAGAGTAATAATTAGCAGATTAAATAGGCGTAAATTAAATATTGCAAAAGCAAATTAAGCAACTGTGAGAACATTCTTCGTATTTTCCAGGTTGGGGAAAGATCAAACATCCGGGAAGTTCACATCATATTTTACAACAAGCCATGATGCCTCCTATTGACAATGCAAAATGCAGACAAAAGATACAGAGTTCTGGAGGTATGTTCCAAAGCGTTGCATATTGTCCTACTCGTTCGAAAAAACTGAAGAGGAAAATCAGATAGGCCCTTCAAGTCCTGAACCGTGAACACTTCCCTTTGAAATCAAAGAGGTCATTAGCCTGAGTACCAGGCCTTCCTAAGGGGCTAGGGGAGAGGAGATTTGAGATGCGGGAGGGGGGAAGCTCTCTCCTTTTTTCGCTTCCATCTTTCCCCTTTTCCCCAGAAACGCCTGATACTCAGGCTAAGAAGTCATTTAACTCCAGGGCCCGATTCGGGAACAGGAATGATTCCTGAAAGGCTTTGCGCTAATCCGGGATTAAAATTTGTTTCACCCCTTGTATTTACCTTCCTATCTATTGCGTAGAGTATCATTTTGTGTTATCATCACTGGAGCTGCAGCTCGAGTTACATGTTCTTATAGAGAAGAAACCCTCGTTTAAATGTGGCTCCAATCTTGGGTTAAACTTAACCGTCTTCAGAGGGACTGAGGCCAGGAAACTTTCTTACAATTGTCAAGTTGGATGAGCTAAAATACTCGCAAAGAAGTTTGAAAACGTGCCGTTGTAGTTTACCACGAGCTCGTCAACTTCCTTATTATATCACAAAGCACCACTTGCATTTGCATGTATCCTAGAGGAGGAAAAATGTTTCTTGTCCACCGCAGAAAACAAAGCAATGACGCACACAAAACCCTAAATCTGTAGTCCGAAATTAAACAATCCGCGCCTATAACGCTAACTCGACTGAAATAGGGCAAATGGTGTTCATTTCTATTGCGTCTTTTTCTCAAGTTTCACCTACACTAGATATATCTTTAAGTAAATATAAAATACCTACCTCGCTATTTTTATATCTCGATAGTTGCTATAAGCCTGACTCCACAAATGCTGTGCGCCGGAGTGGAAAATACTATTTTAAGTGGTTGCCATGGTGACAGTGGAGGCCCATATGTGTGTCTAAATGCCGATGGGAAAACGTACACTCTTCACGGAGCAGTCAGTTGGGGATCTGCACGATGTGATGCCAAACAGTTGTTCTCTGTGTTTGCCCGAGTGACTCAATTCCGAGCTTGGATAAAAACTCACACCGGCCTTGGAGGCGGGGGCTCAGGTTTGCAGCTCTTAAGTCGCGATTATTTTAACCACAATGTACAGACAACTGCCTATTTTCAACGATAATCACGATAGATAAGCGAGTCCTGCACAGTCAGGGCTCGTGGTAACGTAGATTTGCAGGTTGTAACTTTGTAACTTTGAAATTAGGTGGAATTTGTGTTTTTTCTAATAGACCCTTCCACCTGTCCAGGGTTTTTTTCAACTTTTGACATGGACAAGTTAAGGAGAATCTAGAAAGAGCGCCTTAAAATTAGTAAAATTGCCAATTTTGAAAGTAATTTGTTGAAAACTAACGGAGATATTGCATCTCAAAGTCGCGAAATTTCACAGAGGTTTGTGTGGTGGGGGTACAAACTTGCCCCCCGCCCCCCTCCCACCATACGGACGTCTGTAAATTTTTCGCAACTTTCCGGAGCTATATCTTCGCAGGGGCGGATCTAGGGGGAGAGTGCAGGGGGTGTGCCCCACCCCCTTAGACGACGTTCGGTTTTCTAATACAACTGGTTTTCTGCACAAAAGAAAACTATGTGGTTTATTGGTGTTGAAGTAGAGCAGGAGACGAGTGCACCCCCTGCTTCGCTTGCTTAGGCCGTATCACTTTCAAATTTGTCAGTTTTACTATTTTTTGAGGCACTCTATCCAGTGGTGTTGACGGATTTTCCCAACTGGTCCATGTCAAAAGTTAAAAAAATCGTGGAAAGGTCTATTGTCTATCGATACCAAAAATAGGTGTACAAGGTGTACGCCATCCTCGTTTCTAGAATCCTGGGAACGTGGTTGGGTGGGCGAAATGGATCTTCCCTATCTTGCAAAATAATTTCCTTCTCGTGTCCGCCAATTAAGTTAATTGCTTATGTCAAAGGAAAAATCAAAGTAATGATTAATATTAATCTGATGATTTTAATAGGATCACCTCCACCTCCACACACACCTCCCGTTCCTACAACTCCAGCCGGGAATCTTGGTAAGAATTAATTATTTAATAAGCAAGCGCATAAATCAGTAATAGGCTTGGAGCATTCACTTTCGAATATCTTCGCTCTAGCTCCGCGACAAAAATCGTGCCGAAATCACCGTTCTTATATGTGATTAGAAGCCCTCTCCAGTATGGTTTTCGTGCCAGCGCCCGTAGCCTTAGTCGTAGTAATGCTTAGCTGCTGATATTTGCTCAGCGGATAATTAAATAAACAGGTGCCTAGCTAACTGTTCGCTGTTACGAATGTGAGTCAGGTGAGTACCCGAAAATTGTCAAAGACTGATAAAAACAACTGCAAAAATAGAAAGTTGCAGTAAAGAAACATTAAAGTAGAGCAAAATATTTAATGAGTAATTGACGACGAAAAAATGCAAACACCTAAGTAATGTAATTCTTCTCTATAGCTAGTGTTTTCCGCAATTTGGAAAAGCCGCAACTACTCCGTGTACAGACCATTGCCCTAAAATCAAAAGAGAGGTGATTACAGATAATAGAGTGTTGATTATTAAAACAAAAGCAAGTTAATAAAAAGACTTCGAACGAGACAATCTGACTTCAGAATAAGTCATTATTAGAAGTTTAGATAATGTAAAACATGAGTTGCAGCTACTAACGTTACGTTTTCTTGCCCCAGTTTTCAGTTGTGACTTTAACAAACTTAAAGATCTGTGCGGATTTGTTCAGTCAAAAAATGACAAATTTGATTGGACCCAGCGATCAGGATCAACTCCGTCTTCCAGTACCGGACCAAGCGCAGATGTCTCTAAGAGTGGTAATTGAATAATTTAAGTTAATAGCTCTTTAAAAGATCCCGGAAATACGAAAATGACAATAATTGCCAATCATGGAAAAAGCTACAATGGTTTAACAAGTTATTTTTGCTTGATGTCTCTTAAGCAAACTGTCGTCCATTGTAAACTGCCAGAATGTGGCACAAGGACGCAAAAACGATCGAAATGTTATATCGACCAGTTAGCTTATAGTAACAACCCTTGAAATCAACCAAATCAGATTTTCCGTTAGAAGTCTCCCTGGCAGCCCTTCTGGTGTCGTCACGCAACGCTCCTGCGTGACGACACTAAAAGCGACTGCGAGGGAGACAAATTTTCCGCTGGATTTCAACTCATGCAAAATATTCCAAACAGAACTTTACATATAAAAAAATAAAATTATATATTGTGCTTCCAATTTCGTCAGGGATATACGTATACATCGAGACGTCTTTCCCTAGAAATCAAGGAGATAACGCAATTCTGGTGAAGAGTGGTCTGTCATTCAGCTCCAAGAAATGTCTATCTTTCTATTATCACATGTATGGCAGCTCAATGGGAACACTTAATGTCCGCGTTGGTAACAGTACGATATTTACAAAGTCTGGTAATCAAGGAAATAAGTGGATTAAAGCCTCGGTTGAAATCAATAATCCTGACCCTGGAGCGTCAACGGTAAGAGTAAACGGTTCGTAGTTTCTTGATAAATAATGCGGACGGTCCGGACGGGTGCAATCACCAAATAACAAAAGATCACCATTTACAAAAAGATTGACAATACAAACTCCGCTAACTCGAACTCTGCAGGGAAACGAAAAACAGTTGGAGTTATCAGCCAGGGTAATTTTTAGTGACGTTTTGATCAAGGCAAGGTAGTTCGAGTTAGCGGGGAATTCGAGTTATCCGAGTTCGAGTTATCGACTGTACACTGAACATTAAAGCCACACCACAACTAGTATTCCAATATACCCTGTCTAACTCTTATGTTCCCTGGTATAATTAAACCCATGTATACCTGTGTATTCTTTACTGATAACCTCTACATCATTGTGTATCCTGTTTAACCCATGTACCCGGTCACCCCCAGTCAAAACCCTGTTAAGCCATGTATACCTTAGTATTCCAGTATACACTCTGTGCTCGTATGTTCAAATATCCCGGTTACTTTATGTATACCCTTGTATTCATAAATAACATGTGGTGTACCCTTGGGCACACTGTTTACCTATGTATACCCACCCAAGCGAATTTGAAGTTGTACCAGTAAGTAATTATTAATTAGACACTCAGGCTTTGGAGAAGTCTTAGTGGAGGACAGTAAAATTAATTTAAGAATAAACAAATAAATTAAATGAGAGTATTTTGACAGAGTAAGATTTTTTCAATAGTCATTTTCGTCAATGATCTTCATGACCCTTTTTAGCTGATATTCGAAGGAATACGTGGAAGCAGTTTTACGGGGGATGCTGCAATAGATAACGTCGAACTGAGAGAATGTGGAGGCGGCGGAGGCGGAGGTGGAGGATGTGGTAAGTTAAATCGTATTCTCTTTAATAAGCCCCCAGCTCCCAGTCCCCCCACCATTGTCCGCTTTCACAATGTTTCATTATTAAATTCCCAGTTTGTAATAATGCGTTATTAAACTTATACTTGACTCTCAAGTAAAAACTATCACAAACAAGAACTGACCAATGTTTTGTTTGTCTGGTTTTGTTTTTGTTTTTGTTTTTATTTTCTAGGTCAAACAACAACCGCGCCACCAATCAAACGTATGTTTTAACTTGGAAGTATATGACTATATATCATGATAACTAGGGTTATGACGGAAGGCCTGTCATTGTCACTTTGATATGATTTATACCTTAATTTATCTTTACGTTTTGCTGAGGTTATTTATAGAGAGATGAAGCACCGCGTATTTTCTTTTCCCGCGAACAGTAGAGAGGGTCACATGGTCTAACTTTTCCTGCGTTTGCCATTTGTCGGCCGCCGTTTCAACGCGAGGAGGACATATTTCCCGTTTGAAGGAAACGCGAAAACGCGAGTATTTGCAGACCATTTGTACCGACCATTTCAATCTTCTTTTAGACCTCTTATTTTTGTAGATGTGCCCCTCGTTTATCATCCTTCCTCCAGGTCTACATGTACTATTTGTAAAGCTAAAAGAGTTTTAAACCATTCGCCCCTGAACCCCCCTTAACCGCCCGTGCGGATCCACGTCCTTTCTACCCTTTGTGACGTCATCAGTTTTAACGGTCAAGGACAACTTTGTCCGCCAACTTGTGCAGAGTGAAGAGATCTTTCAAACCATACCAGAATGACCACAATTCAGTCAAGGACACCGGAGAAAGGGGCAAAAAACCATGTAACATTGACCTGAAAACCTCCATGAAAATCTTGTTCCATTGCCCACCTACCCTTCCTTTCACCTAATCCTAAGATCCTAAAAGCTTTCCTAAAAACTATTCTCACAAAAATGAAGCCTACTAAATGCCCAGCAAGAGAAAAAAAAATGAGGCAAGAAAAGCGAAAAAAGAGGGGAGGAGAGAAAGCGAAAAGTAAAAGTCAAGACGGCTGTGTCACTTTTAAACCCCAAAACTCGAAATTTTGCTTTCTGCGCATGCCCGAACTTCGCAAGCTGATATTTTGCATCTGGATCAGAAGGCCATGTAGTGTACGAGCTGTAAACCGGTTTGTGGTAAGTCTTAGCTCTTTATAGCACGACAGTGACCAGAAAACCACTCGACTAGCTTCAAAACGCGTTTTTGGGCAAAATCTCCAGGAGCGAATGGGTTAAGCAAAGTACCAAACTTTTTTAAAAAAATCCACTTTTCAGGATAAAACAACCAAATCTGTCTATTTCATGTCAAATCAGGTGAGAAAGTTGGTAAAAGGCCATTTTTAGGTTTTTTGATTAAATTCGAGCGAAAAAGATGACAACTTCTCTGTATATATTTTTTGTCTAGTCAAAGGGAATGGCGACCAAGAATACTTGCCGTGTATCATACGTATCAAAGACGAGGAGTTAAAAATATGTACAAAAATTGTCTATAATATTTAAAAATTAATTAGGTATGTTAACTAAATGTTTCCAAATCTTTATTTTTATTTTAAACAAAGTAAACGTATTTACTTAGTTTTAAGGCCTCTCGGACGTTAAAAAATAAAATAAAATGAACAAATCATTGTGTTTAATACTCTAATCAACACGTTACTTTACTAGCATTCAGCTGTAACTTCGACAATTCAACGTGCGGCTTCGTACAGGCCAAGAATGATACGTTTGACTGGACACGAAGATCAGGAGGCACTCCGTCTTCACCGACCGGACCATCTTCTGACCACACGTCAGGCAAAGGTTGGTATAATAGAAACATAGCTTCGAGTAAATTAATGAGTGATTGGTGCATTACAAGTCTCTTCGTTAAATGTTAGCTTACCTGGGTAAAATAGAAGGAGATGGTGGCCGAGTGCGCGCGAGGTAGTCTTCCCTAACAACTCCGCTGATGTCTTTCCTCAAAGGAACGCTTTTTGATTCACGACTTTAAAAGCGAGAAGGAGACTGGAGCCGAAACGTATCCCGCAATTGCTTGTTGGATCGTTACTGGGGACGCGCCCTCAGCTACAGGACAATTTTTTCCCCTGTCCCTAACAGCAATCCCAGAAGTCTTTTCGAAAGTAAACTTGGCCCAAAAGTTAACTCGTTTCCAAATAACCTACCACGAACAAACAAATGTTCAAAAATGTTATACCTTAGAATGAAGTGTCTTCTTCCTCAGTTTGGAGAAGTTTCTAAGTTTAAAAATAATTATGATGCGAAATACTTCTATTTTCTACTTGTAAAGGAACATGTTAACAGACCACGTTCGATATATTAAAATTCTGAGGCTTTCAGTGGTCATTTTTCTAGGAATTTGCGAGACAGTGGAGTCGTGAAAAATTTGTAATTTTGTCCATAAAAGCCTCGGAGTCATGTTAGAATTTTAATACGGTATATGAAAGGTGAGCTATTTCATTTCCTCTGCAACTGAAATGTGCTCAAAGTGTTTCTGCTCAGTATTAAATTGTTGAACTGTGATTTACGAACTTGCTCCAATGAGCAGCATTGCTCGCCAATATTGAACCTGTAAAAAGAGTTAATCCGCGGTGTCTTTTCTCAGGGTACTACATGTACATAGAAACATCCAGTCCCCGAGTGAAAGGCGATAACGCAATATTGGAAAGACCCCTGTTGACATTTGGAGGGAACATGTGTTTTAAATTCTTTTACCATATGTATGGTTTAACTATTGGAAGCCTGAGAGTCAAGATCGGTACCCAAACAGTGTTCACAGCAATCGGTGAAAAAGGCAACAAATGGATCGAAGCCGCTGTAAACGTACGTTTTAGCGGAAAATATCAGGTAACAAATATTTTTTGCCTTTTATATAAGCGGTGAGATAGAGTCATAGTAAAGATTCAGCAGTAAACACTAAAATGACTGTTCCCTCGGGAAACAGTTAATTTCCTGAGAATCTCATTGTTTCGCGAGGCAGAACCGAGAAAACATTGAGATTCGAGGGAAACAAAATTAACTGTTTCCCAAGGGCGCAGTCCGCTTTAAGTTATTTGTTATATAGCCCACGAAGAAAAACCTTTTCGCGTACAAATGCGAAAGAGAATTGTTTCTGCGATAAAGAGAGAAAAAATCTTTTTATTTATGTTAACACAGTGTCAAATAATCTCAATTTTGCTTTGTAGAGGCCTTTCTAAGTTAATTATTAACGGTAAGTCAGGGAGAAATATGGAGGTGGTATGCCCGTACACGACACAAGTGATGCCAGCTCTCAAACCAGTGAACTTCCTTTCAGTTAAAAACATGTTAGAAGAAGGCTTATTAGAACATGACCACATCACATTGAATACCACAGCATATTGTGTAACCAAGCAACAGATAGATAACCGGAAGTTTCAATTCATGAGCCGACGACAATCGTATTACATAAACTATCGTTCAAACCCGTAAAAAAAAAGTACTCAGCCAACTGCAAATAAAAGGTCATCTATGAAAACGATAATTTTTGCTTTGAAACACCGATTAACAGTCAAGTAACTGATGGCTTGCACATCAATCTTACTCGGAGCCCCCGGAAAAAGACTCGAGAGGCCACCCCTACCCCCCGGAAGTTGCCCCCTTTTTCACCGCCACTCCCCTTCCCTCCTCCCCTTCCGTTGCCCTCCGTGGAAGGCGGGTATGGATATTTTCTGGAAGTACACAGATTGATTTTGGCGACTGGTTCGAGCTGATTTATAATAACTTTTGTAGATATCATTTGAAGGCGTGAGAGGTAGCAGCTACACTGGTGACATCGCAATCGACGATGTTTCCTTGGTACCTGGATCTTGCTCCTCAGGTAAGTTTCTTTCTTGTTGAATCTCTAGAACCGACCAGGGATTAAATAAACGAAAAGATATTTGCAAACCAAAAAAATCATATTAACTGCAACGACCGACTTTGAAATTTCCCATCACGTAAGAAAATTATACCTTGTATAAAATCTGTGACATACTAATTTCACTCCACTTTTGTTTCTAAACCTGTAAAGGTGGTGATGTTACGCGGGACGATTCGCAACGACGATTTTTAGCGCAACACAGAGTTGCAATGCTGGAACAATGTTCTAACCATTCAAAACAATGTCGCAACAATGCTGCAACGCTGTGTTGCGCTGAAAATCGTCGTTGCGAATCGTCTCGTGTAACATCACCTTAAAAGAATGATCAGGCCGGCTTCTATTTGAGCCCTTAATAGCGGAGCTCTCTCTCGGGCGCGCAGCGGAGCACCATGGGTAAGACAAATTGGAAACCCATGACCAGGGCGGATCGCCCTACCCATGACGCCAGAACGGCCGCCGTTCGTGCACCCACTACATGTAAGTCGATGATAATTATTTATAAATGTGAGGTTATCAGTTTGGCGGGGAAGCGCACCGGCATCTTGTGAAGCAAAGACAACTAAAGAGTCAATAAAGACGAAAATGGACAAAGGAAAATGTTTCTGTATCTGTCCGTGTTGTCTAAAGTATATAAGCTTAAATTAATTGTCATGCCTGAAAATTTGGAATATAGAGAAAGAGAAAGACAGAGAAAAAGAGAAAGTAGGGCGACAGGCCAGCAAAGCTCAATGAGAAAAAGAGCTGGAGCGAGAGAGAAAAAACAAAGGAGACATTTTTTGTTGGAGGAACAACATGAAATTTTCTAGCGGCGGTAAGAAAATAAGAAATGCTTGGGTCCACCAGGGTGCAATGAGCGACGTGAAAAAAAAAGTGAACAAAAACAAGTACGACCTTTCCCCCAAAAAAACGTGTAACCAGGAAGTTTCTGAAAGTTTTACGTTGTAGTCGTACAAAACAACGGCAAAGAAATGTACAAAAAAGCGTGCTGCACGTTCAAAATTGTTTTCTAGCTAATTAGACCTGTTGCTGTTTTTTCACCGTTCCCGTTGGCTTCGTCGCTTAGCATTACACGATTTTATATGTTGTTTGACAAGCAAACTATAAATATTATCGAGAGCTTTGCTTATGGCCTCGCTAAATGTATATATTAAGGATTTTCTAAAGAGCCATGTGTTTAATTTTGCATTGGTGGATGATAAATATCTCCACTTGCCTTTTTTTCTCACGAATTTTTAACTCGTTTGTAAGATTGCTCGTTGCATTAAAATAGTAATCACAGTAGGTTGGATCGTATCGCTCCTCGGCGAGTCGTTTAGATTCCACCGTTACACCTGCAGTTACTACAGCAAAGCCTACGACTCCACCACGTAGGTCAACAAAACTTTTATCACACTAAGAAGTAATCGGAGAGATGGGCATGGTTCAAATTAATTTCAGTTTCTTTTGTGACGCTTTCTTTAAAAAAGTTCAGTTAAGAAAACATACTTCAGTTGAAAGGACAAAATGATGACCAATGCAACTTCCCTCTATTCCAAAGGTGACCGAACACAAATTAGTCTTGCGATTCCCACATTCGTCTACCGCAGTTATTCGTAAGAAAAATATTTATTTTAATTAATAACGTCTGTTTCAGGCTTATGGCAACTGGTTTTGCCCAAGTGCTCTTGTCTGTAGATTACTTTTTCCCAGAGTATTCAATCTTGACTTTGCTTTGTCCATATATAAATTTAACAAACGTTTCAGCTGTTTCAGTCACGACTTATGCTGAAATATAATCATATCTTAAAGTCGGACCACTCCATACTCTCATATCGCTTTTCTTTATTTACATGAATAGTGTAGAATATACTTTAATTTGCCTTCACTTTTTTTAAGGGAGCATAAAAGTACAAAGAAATGTCAATTGACAACTTGAGAAAACAGCCGGAATTTTGTGACGCCACCACTGGTTACAGAGGTCTGAGAAACGAGCTCAGAAATTCCGGACCGATGACGTGTCACTACTGAGACCTTCCAAGTACTAGTGTTTCTGGTTGGTCGTGCATCGTTGGCCAATCAGAAGCAGCACCAAGATCTAGGTAGTGACGCATGAGTTTCTCAGACGTCGTTTCACGGGAAAACTAGTGGTAGATTTTCTCATTTTCGTTTCTATCCCTATATTTGCGAAAACACTTATTGGTGTCCGTCTTTTTAAGATGAAAAACAGGTATTTGGCAAATAATAATTTTCATCTTTTAAAAAGCACATTTATACCACAAAAATAACCAAAAACGGATATCGCTGCTCCCAACCCGGGTTAAGATGATCTACAGCAGTAAAAGAGGGGTAAGACCAGTTTTGATTTGAGCCCGTAGTATAAGGATTTTGTCAGGGGGCATATTGAGCTGGTGTCTATCCCTTTTCAGCACAGTTCGAAGGTTAGTGAGTTTTCCATCGGTGGTTTAACTTGGTTTAACTCGTTTTCATTTCTTTTGAATTGTAGTTACTCCACCACCACCATCAACACCGTCACCTCCAACCCCATCCGGTATGTATCAGTCTGCGGCCCTATAACAGTTTAGTACTCTCTAGAAAACTTTGTTAGTAATTGAGGATTAAACCTGTCGTTTAGAACATAAGCATAAACCGCTAGTGAACAAGAAAAGCTTGCGAAACAATAGACACAAAATAAATAAATGTTTAAATTCAATCTAAGCAATTACCATTAAATGTATAAACTCAATGATGAGTTTTTCTAACGTTGGCTCTATTTGCCTTCTTTTCTTTTGAATTTCAGTTACAACTCGTCCACCATCAACACCGGCACCTCCAACCCCGTCCAGTACGTATAACTGCCATCAGTGGTCAGTTGCAATCTCAAGAAATCAGTAAATATGAAATGATTGCACTCATTTCAGTTGGTACTCCGCCCCCACCTCCTCTAGTCAATTGAATGTTTCGATGCAGTTTTCTTGAGACCGGCAGGCATTAGAAGACTCTCTTAAGTCAAATAATCACGTGATTTTAACAGCCGACTAATTTTGGATAGAGGTTTGGCTAGCTCTGGCAAAAAACCCTTTAGACAAAATCATTCTATAGTCCGAGGAGGAACTGGTGCCTCTCTATAATGACCAATACGGTGAGGATACGCCCGACAGGGAGCACATTTTCCAGGCTCCAGCTGGTAAATCAAAGAGCTGAAAGAACATGAAATGGTGGGAAAATTAATCCTTTAAGTATTTAAAAGCGCTTTTCTTTTCATAACCGAATGGTTTCGAAAAGACGCGCCATAGCTATATCATATTTTAATTAATTGAGTATTACACAAAAATGAAAAGAAGAATTCCTGTTTCTCTTATCAATATATTTTGTACTAAGGAGGTATGTTAAAATGGTAACCAGTTTTCAATTCAACGAGAGGGGTACCTTTTTTGCCAAAAGTGGTATAAAAAAGGGTGCATGAGTGCTTGGACCTCAGGCGGAGCAGGCTGACCCTTTGTCAACTTTGTTGAGTAGCCTGCCGGGTCCATTTCGTTTAATTTTGCGCTATGAGGACGCAAGTCAGAGCAGACAAACTGCTGGGTTTGGCCAGCAATTAAGATACCTTTGAGAGGGTAATTTACTCTGCCGAACAATACAGTGGCATTGCGCACATTAATAGAATTATTAAGAGTATGCCTTATTCAGATTTAACCTCTCAGAGGATAATAACAAATCAAATATGATAAACAATGGTAATTGAACTGAGTGGAGTGAAATTTGGTCTAAAATCATACGCGTGATTTCAAAATCAAACGAGCGTGCACTGCTAGTTCGATTTGAAATCACTTAGTATGATTTCAGACCAAAATTGCACCACACGAAGTTCAATTACAACTTTATTACAGCCATTTTGAAATCACAGAATTCAGTCAGTACTAATTAATATTTTATTGATCAAGTAGCCGGTTTCTTAAAAAGCGGAAACAAAATGGCGTTTACATCTCATTTTGTATTCGAAACAGAACATGATGATGCGATATAGAACAAAAATGGTGCGATTTAAAACAGAAATGATACGATTTAGAACATGAATGACGCGATTAGGAGCAGATGCGATTTAGAGCAAAAAATGGTGCGATTTAAGAATAAATCACACTGCTGAGAGCCAATCAGATTGCACGGATAGCCAGTGATTTCAAAGTGGATGTAATAAAGTGATCAAATCATTGCCTTATTAACACATGACTATAATTAACACTTTACTTTACTAGCATTCTTCTGTAACTTCGACCAATCAATGTGCAGTTTCGTACAGGCCAGCAATGATAAGTTTGACTGGACTCGACACAAGGGAGCCACTTCGTCCTCATCGACTGGACCATCTTCTGACCACACGACAGGCAAAGGTCGGCGAAAAAAAGAAACTTAGCTTTAGTAAATTAATGTGTTGTCATCATCTGTGGTTGCTCATGATTATCATACGAGTCACATGGTTATGTAGCTAGCTTGTACCAGATGTTCAATGGAATATTTGCGAAGTATCTTTTTCCCCAATATGAACGCGTGGGACATTCTATTTTTTAGCTGAAAGGCGGAAACCACGATGAATAATGAATGTAAACAGTTAACGTTTCTTTAAAATAAGTTAAATATAAATTTGCAATGCTCTGACTACTACTATTGTCCTCTCATCTGATAGATTAAGTCGAAAAAACGCTTTTTAGAGTGATAAACAGAAGTAACAAACAAGCAAACTAATGTTAAGAGTGTTGTAGCTCACCTGTAGTCTCACAAGTATCGCTCTCTCAGACTTCTCGTAGCTACGTGCAAACGGACGCAACATTGTTGGCCAACAACTCCCAACACCGTTGGATGTTTCATCTTGCATCCGTTTGCACACCCTGTTGCATGTTGTTGGGAATTGTTGCGCAAAGTTTGAAAACGGTCAAACGTTTACTTACATGTAAACGAACGCAACAACTTCCAAAATTGTTGGGCCAACAATATAATGTTGGGAGTTGTTGCGTCCGTTTGCACAAGCTTTACGCATAATATAATATTAGACTCTTTCCTTCCTATGGAGTTTATTTCAAATACTTCTGCAGCTAAAATTTACCCAAAGTTTTTTCTTCTCAGCAGTTAATTGTTCACAGGAGCTATGCCAAGCTAATTGTCATAGTTTTGAAGAGCTAAACCTTTTTTTTCCTATCAATCGAATTCCAAAAAGTAATATGTAGCCTATTTTTGTTATTTAAGACTGAGTTAAAAGGCATTGAAACTCGTCTCTGTGTTGCAAGGGATGGCAAGGATGGGCATGGATTGAAACTTCAACATTTGGGTCAACTTTTTCAAGTCTTAAAGCTATGCGTGCCTGCAAAAATCACCGAACAATTTTGTCATCGTTTAAGTGCTGACTGATAAAATTTGTTTCTGAGTCAGTGATATCTTCTTCATAACCTCTAAAGCCTCGTGCAAACTGACGCAACATTGTTGGCCACAAACTAGATCAGTATTGTTGGATGTTGTATGTTGCGTCCGTTTGCCCACTCTGTTGCATGTTGAGTTGTTGCACAAACTTTGCAAATTCTGATTTACTTGCTTGCCGCAGTTGAGTACTGAAGAATTGCTGTTCGCCGGTACTGAACCAGTAAAAAGAGTTCATCCGTATCTTTTCTCAGGATACTACATGTACATAGAAACATCCAGTCCCCGAGTGAGCGGCGACAATGCTATTCTGGAAAGCCCCCTGTTGACATTTCGAGGAAACATGTGCTTTAAGTTCTTTTACCATATGTATGGTGCGACTATTGGAAGCCTGAGAGTCAAGATCGGTACCCAAACAGTGTTCACAGCAATCGGTCAAAAAGGCAACAAATGGATTGAAGCCGCTATAACTACATCCTTCATCGGGAAATATAAGGTAAATTAAAACGATTTCAAGCTCTGTATTTTATGTATAAGCCAATAAAGTCTGACGGAAAGGATTAAATTAAGCACAATCTTACTATAAATAAAAAAGGAACAAGCGTGGTAAATTTTCGAAACATTATGATTTTCGTGCATGCGAAGTTCATCATTGAATATTTAATACGTTTGTTATATAGCTGGAAATTTTTTTCCCAACAGCGCGCGCTCTCATTGGTTATACTTCGAGCTCACATGGCATCTAGCAATAAAACTGTTTCCCGCTGAAATCGTTCTGCGGGCAAGGCAGTGCTCTGCTACCTGTGAATGTTGACCGACGATCGCCGTTACAGAGATGTTTAATGAATTTCCAGCTTCAAAATTGCAGTTAAACAACAAATCACTTAAAGACTGGTCCATCTTTGAATCTAAACTTTTTAGTTTTTCGGTAACCCAAAAATTAACTGTTTTTTTCGGGACCAGCCATTTTGTGCTTAGTATTGACAACGATATAAACTTTCCTTACAAAGTCTAAGTATTCTTAAATATCATAAAAAAAATACAAGGAATCTCACCACATTTTAAGAGTATATCTAATACTAAGAAATTAATTACTTTTAGATGAAAAAAAATTTGATGTTTGGTGTAGGACTTCAAAAACTCTCGCTGTTGTAAACCAGTCAAATTGAAGCGCAAATAGATTTGAATAAAATGCCGCCCAGTAAGATTATTTCTTCGTTCATGGAGATAAAAATTTACGATGTCAACTAAAACTTGTAACGTATTATGATTTGCGCGCCATGTTTCGTCCGGCTTGCTTAACAGTTATACTGTCTAATACAAAGCTAACTGTAACTCATACATCTAATAGCAGTATTTGTTTCATATGTTTCTTTTTTGAAACTATATTGAATATATAATACTAGTACTATTTATCGATTGTGTTCTTTGCGATGTGTGTTTTCTTCGGTTTATTTTCAATACTCTTCGGTATAAGGTCATTAAGTAGTACACCCACGGAACGCCACTCTCTGTAAATTTGACGGGTTTACCATGTTTTTAGATAACACTGAAAACCCAGTATAATCTATTGATTTTGTCGAGTGGTTGAAGCTGATTCATGGTAACTCTCGTAGATAACATTTGAAGGTGTAAGAGGTAGCTTCTTCACTGGTGACATTGCTATTGACGATGTTTCTTTGGTACCTGGATCTTGCTCTTCAGGTAAGGTCATTTTAACTTCCTGCTTAAAGTCGCACCTCCATGTGCCACCACCTTTCGTAAACGAAGACCTCCGCCCATAACCTACTCCCTATCCAAAATTCAGTAAATTTTCCCAGTCAAAGCCATTTATGTACTACGCATTTCAGATATTAAGAACTTTTAGGGAACATATCAAACTGCTTGTGACGATCACTGCTCCCAGCCCGGGTTAAGATGATCTGCAGCAGTAAAAAAATGATAAGGCTAGGTTTGATTTGAGCCCGTAATAAGTGTTTTGTCTAGTGTCCTTTTCAGAGTATGGATCTTTTCTCAGCACAGTTCGAAGGATAGTGAATTTTCCATCCTTGGTTTAAGTTGTTTTCATTTCTTTTAACTAATAGACACAGGATAATGTTTAAATTCAACTAAGAAACTATCAGTAAATGTATAAACTCAATGATGGGTTTTTCTAATGTTAGCTCTATTTGTCTTCTTTTCTTTTGAATTTCAGTTACAACTCGTCCACCATCAACAACACTGACACCGTCAACCCCATCCGGTAAGTATAACTGCCATAAGTGGTCCCTTATATAACAAGCAGAAGTGAACAACAGTGATCCAAAAGAGCCAATCAATGATTCACAGCAGCTCAGAATCCAACAGCTACGTAAATCAGGACGCTAAAAGATTGTGATTAACACAGTTTTTAAATGACTGGAATCCTTCATCATTGATCACTCCAACCACAGTCTTTGGAGTTCATTCCAAGTTTTGACTGCGGTATGGATGAAAGTCCTATCAGTTTCCATATGAAGAAATCGTTGTCAGTAAATGTTAATTGATTGCACTGCTCATTTCAGTTGGTACTCCGCCACCACCACCTCCAGGAACTCCTACGCCACCAACAGGTTGTCCTGGAGGTAATGCCCCATCCATTCATTTTACCAGATTTGCTTTGTTTTTGAACACCAGTAGCCTCAAACACGAGCATGAGCTCGCCTTTGTTTGGTCAAATACCTAGCTAACAGAGACATGAACATTATCTTTACTTTACCAAAATTTGCTAAAAACGTGTCTTAACCCTTGGACGTAGACACGAATTCATACTCCCACCGTGGTACAAGGGGGGAGGTGTGGATGGAACCCCTCCCCGGAGTTTTTTATATGTTGCAGCATTTTGAAACGATTTCACCTATAGTAGAAAGCCTTTGTACTTCTTAACAAGAAAGGTATATCCTATTCCATTGATGGAGGCGCTGCTGGAGGCCTGTGAGGTCACCAACAATGGTCGCCATCTTGGCACGTCATCTTGGATTTTTCCAAGAACTAAAAATAACTTCTTTTAAATTCTTTTCAATTTTAGTTACTCCATCTCCACCATCCGGTATGTGCATTTTCCGTCATAAATCATGCAGTTGTAGTCTTAAAAAACCTCTTTTGTAAAGCTAAAAAGGATTAATGTTTTAAGCTTTTACAAAAAAAGTTCGTTTAGGGCATTAGGTTAAATACTAGTTTTCAAAAAATTAGTGAATTAATAGACACAAGTCCGAGACAAAAAATGTTTTAAATACAATGCAAGTAATTATCATTATATGGATAAGTTCACTGACTATAGCATTTGATACGTTTTTCTATCTTCCACTTGGTTTTATTTGTTTTTGATTAAGGAACATCTTACAGCAAAGAGCCTAAAAGTATGACCGCTTTGATTTACTCACATTCTTTCGTGCAGATTTAATCCAATCTGAAGCCAGCTGAAAACTGTCCTCGACTTCCGACTGGTTAATCTCTTCATGAAAGAATGTGAGTTAATTAAAGGAGGTTACAATTTTGGGCTCCTTGCGGTAAACATGCTGTAGTGGTTCTTGTGGTGGCCTTCCAAACGAGATTGTTTTAAGGTGTTGCTTAAATTTCAAGCAAGGGGTGTGGCCTTATGGAGAGCCATACCCCTTACCACTTCTGGGTTTCATTATAATAAATAAGCTCAATTTCGGTTGGGTATTGTGGTGTGCCTTTAGCTACTCTTTGAATTTTTCTTTTTTCTGTGTTTCTCTGTCATCTTTCTTTTTTTGGAAATATCTTTCAGATAGTCTAGACTTCCCAATGGAAACCGACTTTGTTGACTGTAGCAGAATACTGCTAACAATGCTACTTGTATGATCTGTGGTCTGACACTTAGATAGTGAGAAGGTATGAAAACTCACCTTTGGTAACACACTTTGTTACACTTTCTTGTTTATTTGTTTTAGCAATCACATGCAACTTCGACGTATCAATGTGCGACTTCGTGCAGGACAAAAATGACAAGTTTGACTGGACTCGACGTAAAGGAGCAACACCATCTTCTGGTACAGGACCTTCTGGTGATCACACCAGTGGAAAGGGTAAGCTTATAAAAGTTGATCATTTTCAGGAAATAATCATCAAATAAACAAATAAATAAATTCTGAATTGAATTAGGTAAACAATCGAGGAAAAGCTGAGCTCTTTTCTAAACTTGAGGCTTTCCTTGGGTACGGGGAAGGGGTTGTTTGACTAAACTTGAGGCTTTCCTTGGGTAGGGGGAAGGGGTTGTTTGACACTTTCTGGTGTGCATTACATCCTAGAAGTTCACTTTGCTGACTCACTCAGGCAGTAATATCTCAGATACAGTAATAAACCCGCAACTAAGAACCTACATTTTTAGGAGTTAGCCTGAACAGGTTCTTATATAAATTGTAGTTAACAAGATTTTAGGCTATTTAGGTTCTTAAAATGGATTCTTAATCCTGGAGAAAAACAATGCATAATGGTGTGCTGATCTACATATTGCTTAGTATGCTTTGTAAGTCTATATATCTTGCACTCATTTTTCTTTAAAAAACATTTTTACAACAATGGCAATCTGCTTTATTTGCTTCAAATATGACTCTTGCAATGCAGCTGTAATGTACTAGTATGATTTTAGAAAATAAGAACCTGTTTTAAATTTCTTAGGCTAAATAGGTTCTTGTTTATAGGGGGTATAAATGACCAATTTTAGGCTAACAGGTTCTTAATTTTTAGGTTCTTAGTTGAAGGCTTTTACTGTATCGTGGCATCTTCAGATCAAGTGCGCCTGTAACAATCTATTCTGTTGTATGAAGAATTTTATATGCATTCCACACATTCCGCTAGCAGCACTTGTAACATGTATTATTATTCATTCAAAATATTTCCCCAATTCTGATTGGCTAAAAGCACCCGCATAATTTACCATAACCAGTTACTGATGACCAAATTTGGAAGAATTTTGTGTTTAACGAGAAAATGACGTAAAAAATGCAGCCCGCTACAGGTTAAGGCACCGTTACCGAGAAGACCTGGGGACGAGGTTGAGTTGTTTTGGTTGTGAAAAAATAAATGGCAGACCGGATTTCACTCGTTTCAAGAGTAAGAACTACAGCTGGAACTATGCGAAATAACAGCTAAAAACGTGGCAAAAACAGCAAGAAGACAACTCGGAGGGCGATATCTCCTATTTGGAGAATATTTTCGGAGCTGGACAAACGTAAACGTAAACTATCGAAGATGAACTTAACATCGATGCAGGAAAGCATGTTTTAGCTATGTTTTTAAACTAGGAATTATTTTGAATGAATAATAAAGCAATTAATGAATTCGGGTTTCGGCCTCGGTGGATAACACGAGATCTGCTTAGCCTGAGTAGCTGGCGCTTGGAAGTAGTTGGCGAAAGAGAGAACGGGCGCGAGCGAGTCTCCTTCTCGCGCGCCCGTTTTTTCTAGTGCCCACTACTTCCAAGCGCCTGCTTCGCAGGCTAAGATCTGCTTAATTCTTCATATCCTACGAAAGCCGAATTCATTAATTGCTAAATAAGGCCCCGTCCACACGTATCCGTTTTTGTTTAACAACGTAAACGTTTCCGCCGGTTTGGGCTACCGTCCACACTTATCCCGTTGGCAACTGTCACCGAAAATGCATCTTATCAAAAACGCTCTCTAGATTGGAGATTTTTGAAACCTTTGCCTTCTTGCCTACGTAAGGACAGGCGAAAACGTAGGTTTTCAAATACGATGATGTTATACATCATATACCACTTATAAGCTAGCATTAGGCATGCGCTGTGAGAAATGCAATCGTATTTCCATATGCGTTTTCATGTGGAAAAGCGACAATGATTTGGATACACTGCGTGTGGAAGCGTACTGTTTTTTTAAAAAAGAGGAAAAAAATCCGTTTTCCAAAATATTTGTGTGGAAGGAGTAGGCTTTTGTACATTATGCTAGCATTTTTTCGAGCATTCTAGTGGAGGCAAAAGCAGTGAGCATTATTCGAGCATTTTAGTGGCATTTTCCCCGGAAAATTAATTTTTCCGAGAAAATAAAATAGAAATTAACTTTTTTCAGGAGCCCATGCCCCAAGAGCTCCTGCGTTTTTAAAGAAACTGAAGAGTAAAACTCAAAATTCACAAAAAACCTAATACAGCTGGTTTTTTTGGCTGTATTTATGAACTTGTACACGTTGTAGTTGTTACTTGCAACACTTGCACGTTTTTGTAAGTGTAAACTTTGAAATTAATTAAAAAAACCGTTTGTATAATGAGCATTATCCGAGCATTTTAGTGACTTTTTTGGGGAGACCGAGCATTTTAGTGGGAAAAATGGAGCATTAAGGTGGAGCATTTTAGTGGGTAAGCAAAAGCATAATGTACAAAAGCCTAGGAAGGAGCCTAAATCATTCAGTACATTCCTATTACAGAAAATATACACGAGCTAACGAGTGCTTTGTACAATAAACACAATAAGTTCTAGGTTGGTGAACGTATGTTCTTACAATTATTGATTTTTTTTTTATTGCGCACTGTTTTTTTTAGAGACTTACTATCTTTCTCTCCTTAGGTTATTACATGTACATAGAAACATCCAGTCCACGAGTGCAAGGTGACAACGCTAAATTAAAAAGTCGTCCACTGAAATTCAGCGGAACCATATGTCTTAGCTTCTATTACCATATGTACGGTTCACATATTGGGAGTCTAAAGGTCAGCATTAATGGCAAAGAAGTTTTCAGCAGAAGTGGTAACAAAGGCAACGCATGGCTTAAGGCTAGTGTATCAATTTCCTCTATTACGGGAAGCCATCAGGTGAGAGACATTTCGCTAGGCAAAACTGTGTACTTAAGTGGTTATAAGAGACCGTGTGGGCGCGTGGTTAGATTGTAGCAAGGTGTATGTACTTCCAGTTAGCGATGTTGTTCAAAAGGTAGAACATTGTCTCTTTGTATTTCTTAAACTTTCCTCAATCTTTCAGTTCTTATTCTGCACGAATGGTCAACGAATTCAGGTTTATTTGTAATTGTAAAATGTAACGTTATGTAGCTGACATCTGCTGTAGTTGTTGTAGCATACGTCAGAAGGCAGATGGTGCGGAGACGAACAACTAAAACCTTTTCCGAATAACTCTCCTATGGATAAACGTAGTTCGAAACTATTTGTTTGTGTATAGATACTGTAGGATGAGCTATAGATAACCGACATTCCGTGCGCTGTTAAAAAGAAACACTTGGACACTCAATGATACAACTTTCCGTTAAAGTGATTCTAGATCTCTCTTAGTAATCAGTTCTTCTTAACCCTCGGACGAACATGCAATTTCATACCCCCACCGTGTTACAAGGGGGGAGGGGGGTGGATGGATCCCCCCCCCCTAGAAATGCACGAACTATGAGCGAGGTTTGTGATAGACCAATCACTAACAACCACAGTGGTACAAATAGTTCGACTCAGTAAATCCACACTATCGCCTGATGAAGACCTGCAGTAGCTAGGTCCGATTGTTGTTCGATTGAATCGGCAATCGAAAACAATCGAACTGGAACTTTTGGGTGAGTCCACTGTCCCTGTTGATATTGTTAGTGTGAAGTCTGATATTATGTGGATACCCTCCTTAACTCTACGAGATTACCAGTGAGGGTCTCGGTCAATAAACTTAACTTCGTCCCAGAGCAGATGATGCTCTCTCTTATTGGCGTGTTCAGAAACGGCCGAAGTTTGAGTTCGTGAAAGCAGTATATCCCTATCGTGCTCCTTCATCCGTTCATGCTTAACCTTCCCGTTCCGCCGAAGTATACTTTGCAAGGAATCTTAAAGGCTACTCCACCATCTGGTTTTCGTGGACCCGTTCTGCCAACCACTTAATTTAACCATTTTTTAATACTTTCATTTTAATTAAAGTTTAGAAACTCGTTTTACAATCTTAATGGCTATACTACATATATTTAAAAAATCATTAATAATGCTGAAAGAAGAAACACTAAGAAATTAATGTTTAGCGAGTGTCTTTACATCTGACTGAAGATACGGCTGAGCTTTACGTCCATTTTCTTGGAACAAAAAAAAAACCTAAATCTAAATATTGGCGCTAGAGATTTTCAAAAAACTTGCAGTCGTGTATTATCAAGTTTAATCGAGTTTTTAAACCTCATATTTATAATCTATTTTTTGTTACTCTTGCTCGTTTTTTTTTTACAGTACATTATATAACGACCATCCCTTTGATAACAGCTTATACTTTGATTGACAGATTATATTTGAAGGAGTAAGGGGTAAAAGTTTCCAAGGTGACATAGCAATTGATGACTTTTCTTTAACATCAGGGTCTTGTGCAGGAGGTTAGTTAAACTTTTCTCTTTTGATAAACGGTCCTCAAGCGCGTTTTAATTATTTAGCTTTAAACCTAGTCATATAACCGGAGTTAAATTGTGCTCAGCAAAATCTCAGATAAGATGCAGAAAGTTTTACCCATGTATTGAATGATTTGAAAAATACGTGATAATCAGTTAATTTACAGCTGTTGTGGCTGTAATCATACATTAACACACTCACAATCTACTGAGAAATTAATTTTTTATCTACGACCTCTCCCTCGGAAAGCTGTCACGTAAGGCAAACTCAACTTCTAAACAATAAACTAAGTAAGCGTTGATTCAGTCGTAGAAAATCTCCTGGTCCTTGACCGAACATTTCATTCCATTCTTTTGTTGGGTTTGGTTGTCTCCAGGAAAAGTTAGCTGGCTTGAGAAATAGAGAAAGGCAATTACAATCGATCCTTGAAATGGAATGCCTCGAATGTTCCATTTTTCATGTGGCAGCACTTCCAACTTCGATCCATTTTGACTATATTAAAAAATATATATATAACTGGAAGAATAAAGATCTTTGTTGGCGTAACTCTGTAAAAGCAGATACCGGTCACGTGAACTTTAGTTTAGTGATGAAATCCAATTCGCAATATTTGCTTCGCGTGTAAGCAAGTATCAACGAAAAACGGATAAAGTCACTCTCTTCAACTTCTTTTTTTTATATTTTTTTAATATTAGTTACTCCACCACCGCCATCAACACCGGCACCTCCAACCCCATCTGGTATGTATAACACTGTCGTCCGATCAATCGGCAATAGCTTTAGAATGTAGCTTGCAGCGCTTGTCCACACTACAGAATTATTGGAGGTGTAGCTGCCAAGCAAGACGCACTATAGCTCAATTGAAATTAAAAAAGCTCAATAATAATAATATAGAGCGCTTTTACATGTTGGCGGCCATGTTGGTGTACCAAGACAACCCTGTGGAAATTGAACTCCTTTCTTATGTATAAAATTGTTACAATAAATCAGCATAGATGCTGGCCACGTGAGTGAAAACGCTCTATAGCTGTTTTTCGGTCCTCTTTCATCCGTTTTTGTAGTATCTGGCCAGATAATAGACTTATAACGGAAATTTTTCCGACTGTCTATAACAGAATACTGCTTATTAATGTTACTTTTATGACCTGTAGTTTGACGCCTAGACAGTGTGACGGTATAAAAGTGCGCTCTTTGTAATATGAACGTATACATCCTGTTATGTCTGCTTGTTTACTCTTTTAGCCAAAACATGCAACTTTGACGCTTCAATTTGCGGCTTCCTGCAGGACAAAAATGACACGTTTGACTGGACTCGACAAAAAGGACGAACATCATCTTCTGGTACAGGACCTTCTAGTGATCATACCAGTGGAAATGGTAAGATTATATTTGAAACAGTCTCTAAAGAAGTACCCCTTTATTGCTGTTGTTACGTTGTTTTCCGTTTTGTTTTCTTTCGGTTCTCGGCTGTGGTACTGGTTTGGATGGTGTTTTAGAATCCTTTTACTGGTACAAGTATACATGTACACTCTCCTAATGACACGCGACATGTAAATTGTTTAATTGCAACACTCGGTTTTGTTCTATTAAACTTTTTCTCCAATAAAAAATCGTTAATTCATGGGGAAAAAAAAACTATCGAAATGGGTGAGCTCTATCCCTTGAGGGAGGGGAGGGAGGGGACCACACTTTTCCGCTTTAGATTCACTTGAATGTACAAATTCTTGCCTTTCTGACTCAGGTATAATGCTTCATAATTTCGTCGCGTCGTTAAGTGCGCCTCTGATAAAACATTCCGATGATCGAGTGGGTATTTTAAAGTTTGGGAGTTTTAACAACGACGACGGCAACGGAAACGAGAAGGTCAAAAACGTAACAGGTTTATTAAGCAAAACATCAAGTTTACACGTGCATCACGCTTTTTTGTTCATTACGTTGCCGTCACTGCACGACTTACGACGTGAAAATGCCTAATTTCACGTTTAATGATGACGTAAACAAGCGACGTCAACGAGTCTGAAAAACGCAAATTCATTTTAAATGTGACGTTTTTGCTGCCTTTGCCGTCGTCGATGTTAAAGCTCCCTAAGAAGGACCTTACGAAACTACGAGGGCGGCGGCAACGGGAACGTCAAAAAGCAATGGTTTAACTTCGCAAAACAACAGCTCTGCACGTGCATTACGCTTTTTTGTACATTTCTTTGCCGTCCCTACACAAATGCGACGTGAAATGACCAAATTTTAATTTTTTTTGAGGATGGGAACGGTAAGGCGTTAAATTTTACCATCTCTAGCTGTCTGAACTCGGGTGCGGCCTCCTCTCTCCAGCTCTAACATAAATTCCCTTCTCTTAAGTATAAACTGGGAGACTTGGGATGATCGCGAAATGGTTTGAAAGGATGTGGAGTCTATATTTCAGCAAGGTTCATGGACGTCGCTGTTGTCGGATCGTAACGTCCCTAATACATTCGATCGGACGGCAACGCGCAATTTGTAACATGCAATGAATGATTCAGTGCATTTTTATTCCAGAAAATATGCACCAGTCAGGGAGCCGGTTAACATTGAGTTCAAGTTTGTGAACTCATGTGCGTGCAACCATTCAAATTCCATTTTCTTTTTAGAGCTCTCTGTGTATTGATTTCTTTAGAGACCTACTACCTTTATCTCTCCTTAGGTTACTATATGTACATAGAAACATCCAGTCCAAGAGTCTCAGGTGACAACGCCAAATTGAGGAGTCCTTCACTGAAATTCAGCGGAAACATGTGTCTTGGATTCTTTTACCATATGTACGGTTCAAATATTGGGAGTCTAAAGGTCAGCATTAATAGCAAACAAGTTTTCAGCAGAAGTGGTAACAAAGGCAACACATGGCTTAAGGCCAGTGTAACTATTTCCTCTATTGTGGGAAGCCATCAGGTGAGAGATATTTCGCTATATACAAAACTGTGTACTGTAAGTGGCAAAGAAACAATGATTGAAGTGTAGCAAAGTGTATGTATTGATCCATTTAATGATCAGAAAGGCAGAAAATATGTCTTTTTCTTTCTTAGATCTACCTCAATTTTTAAGTAAAGATAAATTAATTTCGCACGAATGATCAGGTTGACTAGAACTGTAAAATGTAACGTTATACAGTACCTAACCCTGCTGTTGTTATTGTAACAAACGTCAGATTGAAGTAAGTATTTTCCGAAAAAAAAAAAAGAAATGACGATCCAAAACGTTTCCAGAAGACTTAACTATAGATGAAAGTTGCCCAAAACTGTTGATGTATAGATAGTTAAGAATAAGTAGTAAACGACAAGTACATTAATATTAAGGAAAACCTTAGTTACGTGGTACATATCGCCGGAAAACCTCTCTAGTGACCACGGTTTTTACTAAAATTTTAATAACTCAGAGCTCTCATTCGGAAAGCAGGGGAAGTGCCGATGGAACGCCCCGTTGCCATTCACCTGTTTATTTATAATTCTAAATCTACTTTTCCTTTTGCCAAATTTTAACAATTTTTCATACTTTCAATTCAGAGAGAGTTTTGAAACTCGTTTTCCAATGATCGATAGTTTTTATTTTAGAGCGACCACGCAAAATTGGTAACAGTTTATGAGCTGCGCAATGTTTTTGATTGACAGATTACATTTGAAGGAATAAGGGGTGTGAGTTTCGAAGGTGACATCGCAATTGATGACTTCTCTTTAACACCAGGTTCTTGTCCAGGTAAGTTCTTTAGATAAACAGCCCTCAAACGCTTGTCTTGTAGCTTGAAATCGCCCCATGTAAGGGAATCCGGAATCCAGGGATTCTTTGCTTGTAAGATCAGGAATCCTGGGCTTTGTAATCCGGAATACAGCTCAAGGAATCCAGAATCCTACTAACGATTGAAACTTATTCATAAATTGAATTTTTCTCAGCAAAATCGCAGCTTAGTTAAATGAGTAAAATACTTCTAATAATTAGTTAATCTACAGTATTCGTGGATAATATACATCACAATATAATCCTCTAAACTGGATTTTACGATCTCTTATCATTGAAAGATGTCATGTAGAGCAACGTCAATACCCCCCCCCAAAAAAAAAAACACTGAGTAAGCTCCGAACCTTATTCAAGTAAGGGCAATTACAGCTTCTGAATGGTTAGTTTTGAGCCTTTATTAAGGGTTTCAACAAAATCTGTTTAATTTGTTTCTTTATTTTTGTTTGAACTTTAGTGACGACACCTCCTCCAACTGCTTCCCCACCACCACCTGGTAGGTATATTTGCCATCTATTCCCTCAGTAGCAGTTTTTAAGGTGATATAGTGTGGCAAATGATGAGATTAAAAACTCTTGGATCAAAATGGAAACCTGCAAGGTGAATTTGAACCCAAAACTATTGATTCCCACTCATCTTTAGCCTGCGAGCCGCAGACGTATTTCCGCGGGTCGTTGCTTCTCTCACAAAAAGATATAGAGTAGGTCTGGATCAGTTGCAATCGAGATTGGAAATGCTGTTTCGTGCATTTTATCCGACACAGTGCTTAATCTCAAAATGGTAGGACCATATTTTATACGGTTCACTTATATTGGTTATATTGGTTCTATGGCCTGACCGTGAGACTGACCGGAAACTTCTGCTAACGCTCCGCGTTCTCGCATATGTGTATTTGTTGTCAGGCTAGTTTAGATCATTTCTTTTTTCTTTGTTGACTGATGGGAGACAAAGTGAAAGCGTTAAGAAGAGAAAATGATGATTTAAAGAGACAACTGAATGATCTAAAGATGGAATTTCAGTCTATCAAGTTGCAGACTCTCAATTCAAGTGAATTCATTCTCTAGAATCGGAACAAAAATATGGAATGAAATGCCTGTATCTTTAAGAAAACTTTCAAAAAATGCCTTTAAGAGGAAAATAAAACAAACACTTTTTGAGATCCTAGCTTCAGAAGACTGTTATATTGATCTACCAGAAATCGTCCAAAAAGTTATTTTAAGTTGAATTTATTTTCCTCTTAGTTAGTATGTAACCATTTATCGTTTAGTGTATCAGTAGTCTCTTGTCATAACTGTTGTCATTTATTATTAGTAATACCGTTAGTTTATCAGTAGTCTTTAGTCACTTTTGTCAATTTTAGTTTCTTTATAGTTCTCTTGTTATTTTTAGTTGAATTTAGTTGTATTTATTTTCTGTAAACATGACCCGCCTAATTTAGCTGAGCTACCCGCCTCCGGCATGTTATAATTGTACTTTTACCTTAAAACACAATAAAAAATGTGTGTATGTATGTATATGTATGTTACAGAGGGACTGAATCTGCAGGTTCAACAAGGTTTCTAATTGGCCATCTGTCATTGAAATTGACATTGAAATTTTTTCCAGGAACCAAATTTTGGAACTTTTAAAAAGCCCATGCTCAGTTTATTTCATGTGATCATTTTCTGATTTAATGCGATAATAAATAGAGGATATTACACGGTGGCGCGAAGATATGAATTTTATTTTCGAGCGGGCAAAACAATATTTTACTCACTCGCTGCGCTCGTTCGTAAAATATTGTTTTTGCCACGAGAAAAATAAAATTCATATCTTCAACCGCCGTAATGTTCTTTTATTATATAGACAAAAAAGACAGCGAAAAAAATAATAAAGAGAAATGACCAAAATTACGTCATCGATAAACTCACGTGTGAGATTATGGAAAATAAACCACTCGGATCCCGGATGTAGTTTTTATGAATTTTACGTGTGGTATATTTTCCAGTAAAACACTCGTGTCTATATAATAAAACAAAATATTTAGGGCATCACTTCCAATATTTGAAATAATCGCCTCCCTCGAATTATCGCCTAGGCTATTATTCGAGGAAACATGGTATGTTTTTCTGTTTCCCTTTCCAAAAGCCAGCTGCTGTATAGCTTGCTCATAGGTTAAACACTGAGGAGTAATCAAACCAAAGTTAAAGTACATTATTTTAGAGAGTCTGAACTAAACCCGCTGCTCTTTTTAAGGTTCTTGTGGTATTCGTCCACACGCCAGAATTGTCGGTGGTGTAGCTGCAAATCATGGTTCGTGGCCATGGCAAGCCATGTTACGTACCACATCCGGGTTCCCTTACTGCGGGGGATCCTTGGTACATCGTGAATGGGTGGTAACAGCGACTCACTGCGTCACAGGAAAGAGTCCTAGTAGCATCTTTATCAGGTGAAAGATTTGTTCTCCTATTTGTGTTAACACGCACACTCAGGCATGACCCAGAGGCTACCTGTTAATATACATATTAGGCCTGTAAAAAGTCAAAGATAAATTATCTTAACAACTGCAAATTTGATATTAACATACCACTTTATCTCTTAAGGATTATTGTTAACGTTTAATTTAAAATTGAACTTTTTTGGGTCAGGTGACATTTTAAACACTTTCCTTATTTGAATAGAAAAGTGATTATGGGCTGTAAAGATGACTCTCTCTTAAGGTGACCCAGAACGCATCCATACAAAAACCGCCAACGTTGTTTGGTTCATCCTGGATTTACTGCGTTTTACCTTTAAAGGGTTGTTCTTAAGACTAGGACAGATGTTCGTGAGGCTTTTCTTCTTCTAGTTGTTGTTTTTCAGTATTGAACTGAAGATTGTTCCCCCTTCAATACAGGGATTACGATTATGCACCGCTTTTTGGCCGCCACAATAGACCGCCGTCCATGACCCGTTTCACATCTCCGTCACTTTTCTTTAACTACAATGTATTAAAAGTTTGTTGAGGCTTAAAGAACATAACGTGTACAAGCAAAAATACTCGTAGCTTCTTTTATGAGAGGTCTAAGATCGTGTTTTATCTATCCCGCTTGAGAACAAGAGAAATTAAACAGCAAATTTCATGCTGGGAAAATAAAATATATACTTGCCAAGGATAATTAATTTTATTATTTAATGGTAAATGTCTCAAAATCAAGCTAGATAAAATCAAACTATATTTATTTAAATCATAACAAAAAAGCAATTGTTTCCTCGTCATTTTCGGTAATAGGTGGGCAAGAGAAGTGGTGGCAGCCCGGGAATAAAGGGGCGGGAGGGGTGCGGAAGGTGGGAAAGGAAAGGGCGGGAGGTGGGAAAATGGTAGGGAAGCAGGAAAACTAGGGGAAATCACGCAACAATGCTGAATGTTTCGCAATTGAGGAGCTTAAGAAACCCGGGAATGCAAGGTATGGGAGGCCGCAGATGTTTGAGCCCCCCGCCTCCCTTACACTAATATTTACTGTACGCTTTAGATTGAATAATTTCCTGTATTATTGTTTCCTTTTATAGACTCGGCGCCCACAGACGTGTTATCGCTGTCGGCACTGAGCAAGACATTAGAGTGAGTAAAGTGATTACACACCCTTCTTACCACACGCCGTTGAGATACAGTCACGACATCGCTTTACTAAAGCTGTCAAGACCAGCTAACTTAACCAAGTAAGTTAGCCTTTGAGCAACCTTAATTTACTACAATCGCAAAAAGAAAGCAATGTTCAGACTAGGAAAGCTGGTCAAATTAAGGCTAATGCAGATCGAAAAATGTCTCTCTTACTTCAATAAACCTTTGAGCCTGAAGTGTTAAAGGGTTGTTTGTCTTGTTGTCGTGACCAATACCCGGTATTGTCAAAAGCCAGAGGAACTGAGCCTGATATCAAAGATTACTTTTGAAGCAAGAAATTTTAACCTCACCTGTGCAGCCTAGCTAAATCTCTCTGTCTAGAATTGAGACGAAGTACTGTGGTGTATTTGTGTGCTCATTTACAGTTTCCACGATGACTTGACGAGAGGAGATGATTATAATTACAACCATCATCATCATCAGAATTTTTTATTTTCTTCAGGTATGTTAATCTGGTTTGCCTTCCTCACGCCGTAGCAGCACCTACCGATGGCACCACATGCTGGATCACAGGCTGGGGTCGACTTGCTTCAGGAGGCGCCTCTCCAGATTATCTTCAGCAGGTTTCAGTTCCCGTTGTAAGCAGAGCCCGTTGTGATAGAGCCTATCCTGGAAAAATTCACGACTCCATGATCTGCGCGGGCCTTGACCAGGGAGGAATTGACACCTGCCAGGGAGACAGTGGGGGACCGATGGTGTGTGAAACCGGTGGAAGGTACTATCTACAAGGCGCCACCAGCTGGGGTTATGGGTGTGCCAGCGCTGGAAAGTTTGGCGTTTATGCCAAAGTGAAATACCTGCTAAATTGGCTAAATACCGAAATGGCGAAGAACTAATCCAAAGGAATAACGGCTGAATTTAAGAAAATACTAAGGGGATCTATATATCATAGAATATCAGTGGAAATAAGGAAGAAGATTTGGGAATAGTAAGGGACAAGAAAATAAAGGCATTTAAAATGTATTTGTGTGTGTGTTTCTTGGATCCGGATTGGGCTTAGGTCGTTGTTGTTCTCTTTTCATTTTGTTTCTTTTTTTCTGTCTGTCTGTCTGCCTGTCTATCCTTTTATCTTTCCTTTTTTCTTTTCCTTGCTTTCTCTTTCTGTTTTTGTTTTTATTTTTGGTCGGTTTTTCCTTTGAGTCCACCTTCATTTGTCCTGAAGTGGATTATGGAGAGTTTCAAGAACTCCTTTATTAAGGCGATTTCTCCTTTCTAGTTTCGTCGGAGTAAAGGAGCTTTAAATTTGAAATTTTATCCAGAACTGTGAATATAATAGGCCTCGAAGATTGAAAAAACATTTTAAATTTTATTGCAAATTAACTTCATCAGTATTCACAATTTTGCCCACTTCTTGCCTATTTTTTGTTTTTTTTTGTGTTTAGCCCCAAATATTTCACTTTTGAACAGTTTGGAAAAAGAAAAAGAAAAATAACCATGAAAAGTCGATCCCAGAAATAAGAATGGTTTCCGTGAAGTTCAGTGATTTCTACTCACTACTTAATATTTTTTACAGTTGGCTTGGAATAGGTTTTTCGAACGCCTGTTAAGTATAACTTGCACAGACAAAGGGCAATTTTCTGGCTTGGTCAAAGAGAACTCCTGGAAAGCCTCGATCGAACAAAAATGTTGGAGAACTGACGCCTATACGAAATGGTGGTTACGTACCCTGCGAGCAGTGGTTTCTCCAGGCCAAACGCTACGCTAAGAAAAGAGAGGACTGAGAGCGACCGCTTGCTTCTCTGATCGAGCCGCCGTCCAGCGCCATGGACGCATAAATTAACAAGTTAAAGCTCTCGCGCATCGGCTTACGCTTATAATTGTTGCTTTAACTCGAGCAGTCGAGCCTACCGTATCTGGTCTTCTTGTTAAGGAATAAGCAGCCCACTGGCGTTGTACAAATACTCACGACATGTGTTTTATCCAGCCCAACCCGAACTCGGGCCGAGCGCAGCAAGTGTGACGCGTCAAAATCTGTCCCTCGAGAAAAGAGGAAATAATGTCATTTGACGTTTTGACGAAGGAGTCCCGCGGTTGCGCATGCTCGATGGGAAAAAAATTGTCTATAGTCATATACCTGTAAATGAAAGTCCACTACGTCGGTGATTCAATTTCCAATTTTAGGATATCGTGGGATTGGATTAGCCAGAAATTGAAATTTTTGTAAATTATCTCAAACGCTGGGAGCAATTGCTCAATTTTTCGGTTATGGTTAATTGATAACAAAACTTCATGGCGTCCAAATTAGTCTATAATCAACTACAATCATACCCGTAATTGAACTTCTAATTTAACGTCAGTGTTCGAATCTCGATTATAAACGCAAATGAACTCCACTCGTTTTAGGCTTAGCTACATAATTTCCGAAATGTGCACTAAAAATTCTTTCCGCAATTTCCAAGAAAACTGGCTCTAAAATTCTTTTAGAGTGTCTAAAATTCTCCAAAAACTCTCTAAAATTCCCAAAAATTGTAAAACAATTTCGGCTTTTTTGTATGGCGAGAGCCCTTTTTGGTGAATAACCGCTGATAAGTTGTACTGTAGACGGCTCTGATGAAAAACTGCTGTTTTGTTATGCTCAGTAGCTAGACAGTGCCTTAGACACTGCTGTAGCATGTAAGCGGGCTATGCCCTCTCTTGGTCGGTAGGAATACAACAAAAAACATTTTGTCAACGTTTTTGCCGTGAAATGTTGCCGAAATGTTGGGCGAATGTTCAAATTGCTCTAAAATTCTCCAATTTGTCGATTTTTTCCCCTAAATTTCCCGAGATTTTCTGAATATTTTTTAATGTCTAAAATCCAAAAAATTCTGAAATATAGCCTAACTCGGTCCTATTAACATTCAAATTTCTTGGGCGTCTGTAAAACTTAACAGTTATTTTTAAACGTCGCAGGTAAATGATTTCTTTTTTCGCCGAACACAGCAGGCGCGGCCGTGAACTGCAGGGTATCTGGGTCGAAATCGACTACTTTTAGTTTTTGTTAAAAGTGGAGGGGGGGGGCTGGGAATGAGGAACTAGCCAACAAGGGAAGGCAAAACGAAAAATAAAAAGATATATAAATAAAAAGGGTGGACGATATTGGGATTAGAAATGAGGCTAGGTTACAGTCAGAGTTTGTTCACTTTTCTTTATTTAATTTACTATTCTCTCTGCCGTTCTTTCTAGATCGACACACAAAGCCAGAAATTATTCAATTTACCACTCTAAGAGCCGAATGACAAATGGAAGTCACAGGGTAATCAAACTTGGTCAATCGATAACCAGGACTGCATCCATTGCCACTCACATCGAAGGTCTTTCAATCTTATGCGATATTTCCTGTATTGCCAGTCACACTATGTCTTGTAAAACAAATATCGACAACAACGACGGCTAGTTTTCAATGCCTTTTATTTCACATTATTTCTCTTTACTTCTACAATATTTAACGACTGAAAAGAACACCCTTATTCTTTAGAATCCCCTTGAACGTTAAACGTTATTTCTTTTAACTAATTCTTCATCATTTCGTCATTGATCCACTTTAGCACGTTTTTCACCTTGGATTAGTTCTTCGCCATTTCGGTATTTAGCCAATTTAGCAGGTATTTCACCTTGGCATAAACGCCAAACTTTCCAGCGCTGGAACACCCATAACCCCAGCTGGTGGCGCCTTGTAGATAGTACCTTCCACCGGTTTCACACACCATCGGTCCACCACTGTCCCCCTGGCAGGAGTCAATTCCTCCTTGGTCAAGGCCCGCGCAGATCATGGAGTCGTGAATTTTTCCAGGATAGGCTCTATCACAACGGGCTCTGCTTACAACGGGAACTGAAACCTGCTGAAGATAATCTGGAGTGGCGCCTCCTGAAGCAAGTCGACCCCAGCCTGTGATCCAGCATCTGGTGCCATCGGTAGGTGCTGCTACGGCGTGAGGAAGGCAAACCAGGTTAACATACCTGAAAATTCAAAATACGGAACAAGCAGAGTGTTATTGAGACTTTAAGTCCGAGTCAGCATGCAAAAATGTTGTTTGCTTGAAAGTGGTTTTGTGATCGAACCTGTTGTCCTTGACACAAATTAAAGTGCTACCAAATTCACTCCTTGAAAAAGAATCTAGTAATCACAACTACAAATAACAACAACAAGAAACACTTAGCTCTTTAATTTCTGAAAGTGTCGTTGCAAGACAGTTCTATCGATTACTTTTAAATTGTACCGAGTCATCTCATAGATCAGTGCCAAACAGCACAAAAGAACCTTAATTCTTCTATGCTTCAGCGTACTTTAAATACTATATAAAAAAAAAGAAGTGAAAAGGAAAGAAAAGAACAAGAAATAAAAGGCCAGTAGGGCTACATACCTCGAGTGAAAAGATCAGAGAATGGGTACATGCAAATGCATGCAATTCAGAAATAGAATCAAAAACTAGATTCAGAGCCCTGACTTAGTTTGCAATAAAGGCGGCTTGTACTAAGATTTAAGAAAACCCTACGAAAAAATTTTGTTTCGAGTCGCCAAATTGTAACTTCTGATAGGATTAAGGCAAATCATTGGTTTTTAGCAGGTTGATTAAGAGCTAATTTTGCACATGTGAACGCTTGATTCGTGAAGCGTGAGAGCCGCAGCTAATCCATACGTTTGGCCACTACAGACAAACTTTCATTTTATTAGCCCAAAATTCATTGCAAAGGCACTCTTTCTCTGATCTTAGTAGTCGTCGTTCTCGAATCTAAAGGTTTCTAGGTTTTGTCAGAGAACCAGTGGAAGTTTCCAGACCCTCCCTCGGGGCCCTCTAGTGAGTGCTCTTCCCGCTGTGGCCCGAAGCTCTCGCAAGCTAATGAATCAACGATTTGTTAATATTCTTCTGATTCTTTCCTAACAGTTTACACACAAAATCCGTCGATCTATTTGGTCTGAGGACAGAGCAAAGAATTTTCTAGATTTGTCAAACGGCTTTTACACTCACTTCGGTAATAGTTGAGCTAAACACAAATTAGCAAGTTGGTACGAAAATTGAAATAAGTTATTAAAACAATCTTGAAGCTGAGTTTAAGATCTCATAAGTGATTCTTAAAACCGTCAGTATGCTAAAAGTATTCCCCTTATTTTTCCATTTATGCTGCATATAGTTTGATTAAATGAACTTTTAGATACAATTTTTATAAATAATAAAAAAAACTGATGCGCTTCTTTAATAAAAAAGTTGTAAATGATCAATGTGAACTTAGTATAATTTTTAAACTAAAATACGAAACAAATTCTACATGTATCGTAACGTGCTGATTTCTTCAGTTAGCTTGCAAAAACATTTACTGAGTGGGTTTGACTTGGAAGCAGTTTTGACGTCTAAATTATAGACCGCCGGGCTTTACACTTCTGCTCACTCTGTCAACTAAGGTTTTCTCTAAGTCGTAGACATAATCTGAAGAGGGCAAATTCACAACATTTTCAGTTAAATCTGACGTTAATGAATTGTTCTTAATTGAAGAAGACGAGTTCGGTTTGTTTTGCATTGAGGAGTGACTTAACAGCTAAGACAACACCCAAACACAAATTTGAATTGAGCTTATGATTCGACATTAATTGCTGTTACCTTAAAAGAACCAAATTCGTTTTAATTTGTTTTAAGAAACAGCTGTTTAGCCAGAACTTTGTTCGTAGTAAAATATCACTCTTTTGCTCCATTAGGAAATTAGTTACGTTTACCTTTCACTTAAAGCCCCGGTATTCACATACACCAAGTTCTCAACAATGATTTCCATACATTTCCTTAGAAAGTTAAGTTAAGAGATATAATAAAGGATCAAAAGCATTTCACTTTGGCAATCATTTCAGTGACTCTCGTTATAACTTTGTTCGTCCTCGAGTGCGAATTGATATTGTTGGGAAAATTGATGCATGTTGATCTACGGACTTAAAGGTCGCATTGCTCTGAGTATCCAGCTTCAATGCATCAATCAGTAAATAAAACTTAATTCTCTCACCCTTAATGCATCAATTAATTAACAAATATAACGTCAGGAACATCTATTGCTGATTCTGTATTTTAAATAGTCGTATTTGATTTGTTAATGGACCGGTTAAATTTTTTGGATTAAGAGCATATAAGAAAGTGTTTTTCTCAGACAATTTCGCATTCATTTTCGATACTGATCGAGATGATACTGCTGGTATTGCTACTTTCTGGAGCCAGTATCGTGAGAGGTAAGAGCACTTTTGTTTTTCAAAATGCAATAACTAAAATATATATCTCAAGAAATTGTTCATTTTACAATTTCAATTTTTTCACATTGCTTGTTTCTGTCTTGTTTCTTTTCTTTTTTCATTATATTGTCAAAGTTGAAAGGCTCATTATTCCATAGCGAAGGTTAAAAAAAAGGCATAATTTCACCCCGGGTTCTGATGATAATAAAATGTCGTTTATTGTTGTATTGCAAACATTTTTACTCCATTGTACAACATTTTGAGTAAAAATATCATTGAAAGTGTCTTTCTGTTATTAAAAATTCTTTCAGATAGTGTGAGGTGTAAAACTTGGCCCCTTTAATTTCGACTTTGTAGATAGAAGATCGCCCATTAATTTAATCTGTACTTTAAATGTCCTGTGCCTTGAAGCTTCTGGGAATCGGTAGTGTTATTTTAAAGGGGTTGTGTCCCTGCTGTCGTCTAGTTCATACATTTTGCTTGTATTTGACAATTATTCCACGAGTGCGCCGCGTTGGATATGAGATGACTATCTACCATCTCATATTCAACGAGCGCGAGTGGAATAATTGTTTTTATTAAAAACGCCCTCAAAATATCGAGAATTCTTCCCAACTTTATTTGTAAGAACAACCGATTTTCAGCTTGTTTTTAATTTTGAGTAGATGCGTACAGTTACCATATTTAGAGGGCCTGATATAATGGTTCATGATGGCTAAACCAATCGCAGCCCTAGAATTGCATTATCAAACGATTCGTGCCATTTGCACGTCCTTTTTCGCAACGGATCGTAATTATTGACGAATTATTGGTAAATTACAAAATCACAGCTTCATGATCAAGTATTATTAGTATCAAACAATACAGAGGTCAAAAATAAACTTTGATCAAAACTGTTAGGCTAACAAGTTTTCAAAACCCGCAGCTGCATATCCGTTTTAACCTTCTTCTATAGAGTAAAACAATACCAATTAACTGCACTGAAGTACACGTACCAACTTCGCGGTATTTTCTACAGAGTGCCCATCCAGACCTCCTTTTGTATTTGTATTTGCAATTGGCTATATACCTTCCTTTATTGTTTTGAACTATTATTTTTATGTTTCTCACAGTTTGGTTGCAGTTTCCATTGTTTGAATTTTGATGACTTTCGTGACACAGCTCTTTTAACCAAACGTTCTTGGGGCTTAATTACTAATAAGTAATTTCTTGAATATTTTTTTACTTCAGCTCAGGCATTGCCTTGTGGGAGTACTCCCATAGTTCAATCACGTGTCATTGGAGGCCAGAATGCTAAGCCAGGAGCTTGGCCTTGGCAGGTATGGTTAAAAGTGAATTTATATCTTTCCCCTTAAGCTTATCTTTACGATTCTGAAAATGCTCGCTTTTTTTGACGTACCGTTATGAAATTTCAATCTGGTGAAGGTAAAGTACCCGTGAATGCACTGGCTTTTATGAAATTATCACCACGATGCTTATAAATGGCATAGTTAAAAGAGTGGAATGCTGTTGAAGGCCGCCAGACCCCTTGTTATATGTTTTTGTGGACCTGACGGTGCACGTTACGTTCAATAGCTTTCCAAATATGATTTTGATCTTATTGACCAATATATAGGGAACCCACGCTCTTATTTGTAAACTGCAAATGGAAATCAATTAAGAGATAAAATCTTACCTGTTTTGTTCTATTCGTTAACCTGCTGTGGCGCGAAGTGAAATGGAAGTTGTTTTACCATGCGAAAATAGCCTGTTTCAGGCGTTTAGAATGCTTTATCTGGTCACGCGCCGATTGTCGGTTGTTATTATTGTCTCGCGTTCCATCTTCGGTTATTAATTTATTAACGATTTGAATTACCGTACTCTCTCTCGAATTGTTAATAAATTAATAACCAACAATGAAACGCGAGACGATATTAACAACCGGCGCGTGACAAGCATTGTGAAGTCAACAACGGTTAAAGAGTCGACTTGAACATAGTTTTCGCATCATAAAACATTCTTCCATTTCACTTCGCACCACAGCAGATTCACGAATAGAACAAAACAGGTAAGATTTTATCTCTTATTTAATTTTTATTTGCAGTTTACAAATAAGAGCGTGGCTTCCCTATGACCAATATAAACTGTTTTAGTATTAATTTATTTCGACACAATTTGAAAACAGAAAACAAAGGATTATGCCCCGTCAGGGAGCATAAACTGCAGCTCCTTTGTTTATATCTTTGATCGATGATGTTTGCCACCTTTCATAACAAGCTAGCTTCCTCAGGGGCACCCAACGAGAATACAGTTCAAAACCACTTAAGCATAGCATTGTTAAACGTATTTTAGTATTTAAACGGTAGATATAGGCATATTTTTATCCCCCAAAATTTTTTCATCTGTTCGGTTTCCTAGCTGAAAGTCTAGAGATCCGAAAATTATAGGGATCAAAACTTACCTTTTCGAAAATTTCAGCCAGAAAAAAAGGCTCCCGAAAATTCTAGGTGACCTTTTTCTAGGGTAAAAATCCGTTTAAAATGGGCAATTATACCAATTTATAGATGTTCGAAAATCCTAGGAGAGGTAGGCAAGCAAGAAATTTTACAAAAAGTGCTCCGAAAATTCTAGATCTCAAATCGTCTTCCGAACAGATATTTTCCGAAAATTGCAGTTGGATGCCCCTGCTTCCTCTACTAACTATTCTCAGTTGCCGAAATAGAGCAAGGATATTTTCATACTGATAGACATCCCATAATTCCTAGCGTTATTTATATTACCATCTTATTTCTTCTTGTGTGCATTTTTGTCTATTAATATCTCAGAGCGCGGTCAGAGAACCACCCTAGGCCTCCCATCCCCAAGGCATTACGCGATGTACTGTGTTCAATGTTTGCCAATGTACGGCTGTCCACTGTACCTGTGGACTGTAGTGACCATTAACAACCCTCCATATCTCATCGTATATTCATGTATTCATGTGTATTGTAAGTAGTTAGAATATGTTAATAGGGAAATGGCTACTTGGAAGATCCCAATGCGTACACCAATTGCCCTTTGTGGTGATAGTCACTTCTGACGTCTATAGACTCCTTCTGTTCAACATTGTTTTAAAGCTACCTCGACAGATTATTATGGAAACAAAATGATATATAAAAGCTCAGAAGCCCAGCAGCCATTTAATAAGCTACATGTAGTAATTTTTGTATTCTTTTGCAGATCGCTTTAAAACGTTATGGCCGCTTCATTTGCGGAGGGTCGCTTATTTCTAGTCAGTGGGTGGTAACCGCTGCTCATTGTGTGGCAGGAAGTTCGTAAGTGTCTGCATTCTCAATCCATTTTTTTACCACATGTAAGGGAATCCGGATTTCAAAATCCAAGAAGTTTTTGCTCTTGGAATCCAAAATCCAGGGCTCTGCAATCGCGAATACGGCTCAACGAAGCTGGAATCTCATTAATGATTGGAATCCGCAATCCAAGTTCCACTGACAAAGACCTAAATCCAGCGGTACCTGGAATCGGGACTCTAAAGCGTGGAATCCAGAATCCAAGACTGTCTTGGATTACCGTCATGCAATAATGGCTTTTAACTGTATCCCTTAAATTGGGTGACATCTTTATATGCATCAATGACGAAATCTGAAATCTTAATGCATTCCAGTATATTTTTTCACTTAAATTATTATTATTATTACTATTATTATTATAGTAAGTTAGTGACGGCATATAAAGCTCGATTAGTTGTATGGTTTATCTCTTCTTATTGCTGAGACATTTTCCGTATTATACTCATTTTTTTGTTGTAGGAATCCCTTAAGTTATAAAATCGTGGTCGGCGATCATAACAGGAACATAAACGAGGGAACCGAAGAAGAAGTTGGCGCCAAAAAAGTAATCTCGCATCCAAATTATAACAGTCCACGTCTAAGCAGTGACATCGCGTTGATTCAGCTCTCCTCGCCCGTGAAGCTCTCTCAGCGAGTTAATCCTATCTGTCTGCCCAATCATGACTCAGATGTCCCTACAGGATCAAAATGCTACATCACAGGTATTTGAAACGAAGACCTTTTTCTACAAGAAGTCTTCAGGGTTTTAACTGTGAAGTTTAAAAAAATAAAGTAAAATTAATTACATATTTTAACATTTTTTTCTGCCCTCAAAGAGCAAAGCCATCTTACACGACATCGAGAGATGCATGGCGAAAATCATGTTTGACAACTTCGGAAGTCTTAAATTTTCTATAATGAACACAAATATGCGAACTTCATTGTCTCAGTTCCCTTCAACTTTCTGGATGGGTAAAATAAAAAAACAACAACAACAACAACAAAAAATGATAGGGAAGAAGGAAGAAAGGCCGTGATTACGTTTGGCTGTTCAGCGTGTGCGTAATGACACGCATAGACCATTTTCATAATGGCGGATAATTAATATATTATTTTATATGTATGACAATTAGCCTTTCTGAACTCGTTTGAAAGTAAGGATTCTTTTGTATTTTTCACATGCTAACGAGGCCAGAAGGCTAATTATCACACACTAAAAGAATATATAAATAGAGCTCCATTATTATTCAGCAGTCAAACAGCCTTTAAAGATTTACCAACTTTTTTCTTTGAAAAAAACTTTATTTTTTTTCTGACTTGCCCTGTTGTATAAGAGTGATAATTAGCAGATTAAATAGGCATAAATTTAATATTGATTAAGAAAACTAAGTTTACTTACTAACCTAGCTAAAAGCAAATTAAAAAACTGTGAGAACATTTTTCGTATTTTCCAGGTTGGGGAAAGATCAAACATCCGGGAAGTTCATATCATATTCTACAACAAGCCATGATGCCTCCTATTGACAACGCAAAATGCAGACAAAAGATACAGAGTTCTGGAGGTATGTTCCAAAGCGTTGCATATTGTCCTACTCGTCTGAAAAAACTGAAGAGGATAATCAGATAGGCCCTTTAGGTCCTGAACTTAAACACGTCCCCTTGAAATTAAAGACGTCATTTAACTCCCAGGCCCGACTCGGGAACAGGAATGATTCCTTAAAGGCTTTGCGCTAATCCAGGATTAAAATTTGTTCCACTCTTTGTATTTACCTTCCTATCTGTTGCCTAGAGTAACATTTTGTGTTACCATTACTGGAGCTGCCGCTCGAGTTACATGTTCTTAAAGAGAAGAAACTGACCCTCGTTTAAATTTAGCTCTAATCTTGGGTCAAACTTAACCATCTTTCGAGGGACTGTGGCCAGGAAACGTTCTTACAATTGTCAAGTTGGATGAGCTAAAATGATCGCAAAGAAGTTTGAAAACGTGCCGTTGTAGTTTACCACGAGCTCGTCAACTTCCTTATTATATCACAAAGCACCACTTACATTTGTATGTATCCTAGTGAAGGAACAATGTTTCTTGTCCCCCACAGAAAACAAAGCAGTGACGCACTCAAAATCCAAATCTTAAATCTGTAGTCCGAAATTAACAATCCGCGCCTGTAACGCGAACTCGACTGAAATAGGGCAAATGGTATTCATTTCTATTGCGTCTTTTTCTCAAGTTTCACCTACACCGATATATCTTTAAGTAAATATAAAATATCTAACTCGCTATTTTTATATCTCGATAGTTGCTATAAGCCTGACTCCACAAATGCTGTGCGCCGGGGTGGAAAATACCATTTTAAGTGGTTGCCATGGTGACAGTGGAGGCCCATATGTGTGTCTAAATGCCGATGGGAAAACGTACACTCTTCACGGAGCAGTCAGTTGGGGATCTGCACGATGTGATGCCAAACAGTTGTTCTCTGTGTTTGCACGAGTGACTCAATTCCGAGCTTGGATAAAAACTCATACCGGCCTTGGAGGCGGGGGCTCAGGTTTGCAGCTCTTTAAGTCGCGATTATTTTAACCACAATGTACAGACGATAAGAGAACTGCCTATTTTCAAACGATAATCACGATAGATAAGCGAGTCCTGCACAGTCAGGGCTCGTGGTAACCTAGATTTGCAGGTTGTAACTTTGTAACTTTGAAATTAGGTGGAATTTGTGTTTTTTCTAATAGACCCTTCCACCTGTCCACCGTTTTTTTCAACTTTTGACATGGACAAGTTAAGGAGAATCTAGAAAGAGCGCCTTAAAATTAGTAAAATTGCCAATTTTGAAAGTAATTTGTTGAAAACTAACGGAGATATTACATCTCAAAGTCTCGAAATTTCACAGAGGTTTGTGTGGTGGGGGTACAAACTTGCCCCCCGCCCCCCTCCCACCATACGGACGTCTGTAAATTTTTCGCAACTTTCCGGAGCTATATCTTCGCAGGGGCGAATCTAGGGGGAGAGTGCAGGGGGTGTGCCCCACCCCCTTAGACGACGTTCGGTTTTCTAATACAACTGGTATTCTGCACAAAAAAAAAACTATGTGGTTTATTGGTGTTGAAGTAGAGCAGGAGACGAGTGCACCCCTCATAAAAAAAATTCCTGGATCCGCCCCTGCTTCGCTTGCTTAGGCGGTATCACTTTCAAATTTGTCAGTTTTACTAATTTTTGAGGCACTCTATCCAGTGGTGTTGACGGATTTTCCCAGCTGGTCCATGTCAAAAGTTAAAAAATCGTGGAAAGGTCTCTTGTCTATCGACCAAAAATAGGTGTACAAGGTGTACGCCATCCTCGTTTCTAGAATCCTGGGAACGTGGTTGGGTGGGCGAAATGGATCTTCCCGCTATCTTGCAAAATAATTTTCTTCTCGTGTCCGCCAATTAAGTTAATTGCTTATGTCCAAGGAAATATCAAAGTAATTATTAATGTTAATCTGATGATTTTAATAGGATCACCTCCACCTCCACACACACCTCCCATTCCTACAACTCCAGCCGGGAAACTTGGTAAGAATTAATTATTTAATCGCATATATCAGTAATATAAGACTTGGAGCATTCACTTTCGAATATCTTCGCTCTAGCTCCGCGACAAAAATTGCGCCGAAATCACCGTTCTTATACATGTATGTGATTAGATGCCCTCTCTATATGTTTTTTTGCCAGCACCCCTAGCCTTAGTCGTAGTAGTGCTTAGCTGTTGATATTTGCTCAGCGAATAACTAAATAAACAGGTGCGTAGCTAACTGTTCGTCGATACGAATGTGAGTACCTGAAAATTGTCAAAGACTGATAAAAACAACTGCAAAAATAGAAAGTTGCAGTAAAGAAACATTAAAGAAGAGCAAAATATTTAATGAGTAATTGAGGACGAAAAAATGCAAACACCTAAGTAATGTAATTCTTCTCCATAGCTAGTGTTTTCCCCAATTTGGAAAAGTCGCAACTACTCCGTGTACAGAACATTGCCCTAAAATCAAAAGAGAGGTGATTACAGACAAAAGGGTGTTGATTATGACAACAAATGCAAGTTAATAAAAAAAGACTTCGAACTAGACAATCTGACTTCAGAATAAGTCATTATTAGAAGTTTAGATAATGTAAACCATGAGTTGCAGCTACTAATGTTACGTTTTCTTGCCCCAGTTTTCAGTTGTGACTTTAACAAACTTAAAGATCTGTGCGGATTTGTTCAGTCAAAAATGACAAATTTAATTGGACCCAGCGATCAGGATCAACTCCGTCTGTCAATACCGGACCAAGCGCAGATGTCTCTAAGAGTGGTAATTGAATAATTTAAGTTATTAGCTCTTTAAAAGATCCCGTAAATACGAAAATGACAATACATGTAATTGCCAATCATGGAAAATGCTACAATGGTTTAACAAGTTATTTTTGCTTGATGTCTCTTACGCAAACTGTCGTCCATTGTAAACTGCCAGAATGTAGCACAAGGACGCAGAAACGAACGAAATGTTGTAGCAACCAGTTAGCTTATAGTAACAGATCAGATTTTCCGTTAGAAGTCTCCCTGGCAGCCCTCTTTAGTGTCGTCACGCAACGCTCCTGCTGCGTGACGACACTAAAAGCGACTGCGAGGGAGACAAATTTTCCTTTGGATTTCAACTCATGCAAAATATTCCAAACAGAAAAATTTATATGTGAAAAAATAAAATTATATATTGTACTTTCAATTTCGTCAGGGAAATACGTATACATCGAGACTTCTTCCCCTAGAGTTCAAGGAGATAACGCAATTCTGGTCAGGAGTGGTCTGTCATTCAGCCCCAAGAAATGTCTATCTTTCTATTATCACATGTATGGCAGCTCAATGGGAACACTTAATGTCCGCGTTGGTAACAGTACGATATTTACAAAGTCTGGTAATCAAGGAAATAAGTGGATTAAAGCCTCGGTTGAAATCAATAATCCTGACCCTGGAGCGTCAACGGTAAGTGTAAACGGTTCGTAGTTTCTTGATGAACAACGCGGACGGGTGCAATCACCAAATAACAAAAGATCACCAATTACAAAAAGATTGACAATACAACCCCGCTAACTCGAACTCTGAAGGGAAACCAAAAACAGTTCGGGTTATCAGGGTAATTTTTAGTGATGTTTTGATCAGCGCAAAGTAGTTCGAGTTAGCGGGGAATTCGAGTTACCTGGGTTCGAGTTATCGACTGTACAATGAACATTATAGCCACACCACAACTAGTATTCCAATATACCCTGTATAACTCTTATGTACCCTGGTATAATTAAACCCATGATGTATACCTGTGTATTCTTTACTGATACCCTGTACATCATTGTGTATCCTGTTAAACCCATGTACCCGGTCACCCCCAGTCAAAACTCTGTTAAGCCACGTATACCTTAGTATTCCAGTATACACTCTGTACTCGTATCCCGGTTACTTTATGTATACCCTTGTATTCATAAATAACATGTATACCCTTAGGCACACTGTTTACCTATGTATACCCACCCAAGCGAACCAACAGTGGTTTCCGAAACACCAAGAAACACATCACTCGGGCCGGGTGAATGGTATAAAATTCCCGCACAGCCTAAGCCATACGTTTATCACGCATTCACTCGTCAACTCGAGTAACCCTTACTGTTCGTATACGCTCTTCGTTTTTTTTTTGTTTAATAAATATTATCCGCAGTGCCAATTTGAAGTTGTACCAGTAAGTAATTATTAATTAGACACTCAGGCTTTGAAGAAGTCTTAGTGGAGGACAGTAAAATTAATTTAATAAATTTAATTTAATAAAATCATGACTAAACAAATAAATTAAATGAGAGTATTTTGACAGAGTAAGATTTTTTCAATTTTCGGGAAAAAATAGTCATTTTCGTCAATGATCTTCATGACCCTTCTTAGCTGATATTCGAAGGAATACGTGGACGCATTTTTACGGGGGATGCTGCAATAGATAACGTCGAACTGAGAGAATGTGGAGGCGGCGGAGGCGGAGGTGGCGGATGTGGTAAGTTAAATCGTATTCTCTTTAATAAGCCCCCAGCTCCCAGTCCCCCCATTGTCCGCTTTCACAATGTTTCATTATTAAATTCCCAGTTTGTAATAATGTGTTATTGAACTTATACTTGACTCTCAAGTAAAAACTATCACAAACAAGAACTGACCAATGTTTTGTTTGTCTGGTTTTGTTTTTGTTTTTGTTTTTATTTTTTAGGTCAAACAACAACCGCGCCACCAATCAAACGTATGTTTTAACTTGGAAGTATATGACTATATATCATGATAACTAGGGTTATGACGGAAGGCCTGTTATTGTCACTCTGATATGATTTATACTTTAATTTATCTTTACGGTTTGCTGAGGTTATTTATAGAGAGATGAAGCACCGCGTATTTTCTTTTCCCGCGAACGGTAGAGAGGGTCACATGATCTAACTTTTCCTGCGTTTGCCATTTGTCGGCCGCGGTTTCAACGCGAGGAGGACATATTTCCCGTTTGAAGAAAACGCGAAAACGCGAGTATTTGCAGCCCATTTGTACCGACCTTTTCAATCTTCTTTTAGACCTCTTATTTTTATAGATGTGCCCCTCGTTTATCATCCTTCCTCCAGGTCTACATGTACTATTTGTAAAGCTAAAAGAGTTTTAACCCATTCGCCCCTGAACCCCCCTTAACCGCCCGTGCGGATCCATGTCCTTTCTACCCTTTGTGACGTCATCAGTTTTAACGGTCAAGGACAACTTTGTCCGCTAACTTGTGCAGAGTGAAGAGATCTTTCAAACCATACCAGAATGACTACAATTCAGTCAAGGACACCGGAGAAAGGGGCAAAAAACCATGTAACATTGACCTGAAAACCTCCATGAAAATCTTGTTCCATTGCCCACCTACCCTTCCTTTCACCTAATCCTAAGATCCTGAAAGCTTTCCTAAAAACTATTTCCACCAAAATGAAGCCTACTAAATGCCCAGCAAGAGAAAAAAAAAATGAGGCAAGAAAAGCGAAAAAAGAGGGGAGGAGAGAAAGCGAAAAGTAAAAGTCAAGACGGCTGTGTCACTTTTTAAATCCCAAAACTCGAAATTTTGCTTTCTGCGCATGCCCGAACTTCGCAAGCTGATATTTTGCATCTGGATCAGAAGGACATGTAGTGTACGAGCTGTAAACCGGTTTGTGGTAAGTCTTAGCTCTTTATAGCACGACAGTGACCAGAAAACCACTCGACTAGCTTCAAAACGCGTTTTTCGGCAAAATCTCCAGGAGGGAATGGGTTAAGCAAAGTACCACACTTTTTGAAAAAAATCCACTTTTCAGGATAAAACAACCAAATCTGTCTATTTCATGTCAAATCAGGTGAGAAAGTTGGTAAAAGGCCATTTTTAGGTTTTTGATTAAATTCGAGCGAAAAAAGATGACAACTTCTCTGTATACTTTTTGTCTAGTCACAGGAATGGCGACCAAGAATATTTGCCGTGTATCATACGTATCAAAGACGAGGAGTTAAAAATATGTACAAAAATTGTCTATATTATTTAAAAATTAATTAGGTATGTTAACTAAATGTTTCCAGGTCTTAATTTTTATTTTAAACAGAGTAAACGTATTTACTTAGTTTTAAGGCCTCTCGGATGTTAAAAAAAAAAAATAAAATGAACAAATCATTGTGTTTAATACTCTAATCAACACGTTACTTTACTAGCATTCAGCTGTAACTTCGACAATTCAACGTGCGGCTTCGTACAGGCCAAGAATGATACGTTTGACTGGACACGAAGATCAGGAAGCACTCCGTCTTCACTGACCGGACCATCTTCTGACCACACGTCAGGCAAAGGTTGGTATAATAGAAACATACCTTCAGTAAATTAATGAGTGACTGGTGCATCAAGAGCCTCTTCGTTGTTAACTTACCTGCTTACCTGGGTAAAATAGAAGGAGATGGTGGCCGAGTGCGCGCGAGGTAGTCTTCCCTAAAAACTCCGCTGATGTCTTTCCTCAAAAGAACGCTTTTTGATTCACGACTTTAAAAGCGAGAAGGAGCCGAAACGTATCCCACAATTGCTTGTGGGATCGTTACTGGGGACGCGCCCTCAGCTACAGGACAATTTTTCCCCTGTCCCTAATAGCAATCCCAAAAGTCTTATCGAAAGTTAACTTGGCCCAAAAGTTAACTCGTTTCCAAATAACCTACCACGAACAAACAAATGTTCAAAAATGTTACACCTTAGTATGAAGTGTCTCCTTCCTCAGTTTGGAGAAGTTTCTAAGTTTAAAAATAATTATGATGCAAAATACTTCTATTTTCTACTTGTAAAGGAACATGTTAACAGACAACGTTCGATATATTAAAATTCTGAGGCTTTCAGTGGTCATTTTTCTAGGAATTGCGAGACAGTGGAGTCGTGAAAAATTTGTAATTTTGTCCATAAAAGCCTCAGAGTCATGTTAGAATTTTAATACGGTATATGAAAGGTGAGCTATTTCATTTCCTCTGCAACTGAAATGTGCTCAAAGTGTTTCTGCTCAGCATTAAATTGTTGAACTGCGATTTACGAACTTGCTCCAATGAGCAGCATTGCTCGCCAATATTGAACCTGTAAAAAGAGTTAATCCGCGGTATCTTTTCTCAGGGTACTACATGTACATAGAAGCATCCTATCCCCGAGTGAAAGGCGATAACGCAATATTGGAAAGACCCCTGTTGACATTTGGAGGGAACATGTGTTTTAAATTCTTTTACCATATGTATGGTGCAACTATTGGAAGCCTGAGAGTCAAGATCGGTACCCAAACAGTGTTCACAGCAATCGGTCAAAAAGGCAACAAATGGATCGAAGCCGCTGTAAACGTACGTTTTAGCGGAAAATATCAGGTAACACATATTTTTTGCCTTTTATATAAGCGGCGAGATAGAGTCATAGTAAAGATTCAGCAGTAAACACTAAAATGACTGTTCCCTCAGGAAACAGTTAATTTCCCGAGAATCTCATTGTTTCGCGAGGCAGAACCGAGAAAACATTGAGATTCGAGGGAAACAAAATTAACCGTTTCCCAAGGGCGCAGTCCGCTTTAAGTTATTTGTTATATACCCCACGAAGAAAAACTTTTTCGCGTACAAATGCGAAAGAGAATTGTTTCTGCGATAAAGAGAGAAAAAATCTTTTTATTTATGTTAATACAGTGTCAAATAATCTCAATTTTGCTTTGTAGAGGTCTTTCTAAGTTAATTATTAACGGTAAATCAGGGAGAAACATGGAGGCGGTACTCCTGTACACGACACAAGTGATGCCAGCTCTCAAACAAGTGAACTTCCTTTCAGTTAAAAACATGTTAGAAGAAGGCTTATTAGGACATGACCACATCACACTGAATACCACAGCATATTATGCAACCAAGCAACAGATAGATAACCGGAAGTTTCAATTCATGAGCCGACGACAATCGTATTACATAAACTATCGTTCAAGCCGTAAAAGAAAAAAAGTACTCAGCCAACTGGAAATAAAAGGTCATCTATGAAAACGATAATTTTTGCTTTGAAACACCGATTAACAGTCAAGTAACTGATGGCTTGCACATCAATCTTACTCGGAGCCCCCGGAAAAAGACTCAAGAGGCCACCCCTACCCCCCCCGGAAAATTGCCTCCTTTTTGACCGTCCCTCCCCTTTCGAATTTCCGTTGCCCTCCGTGGAAGGCGGGTATGGATATTATCTGGAAGTACACAATCTCAGTATTAGGTCATAACCCAATGTCTTCTATTGATATTGTCGACTGGTTCGAGCTGATTTATAGTAACTTTTGTAGATATCATTTGAAGGCGTGAGAGGTAGCAGCTACGCTGGTGACATCGCAATCGACGATGTTTCCTTGGTACCTGGATCTTGCTCGTCAGGTAAGTTTCTTTCTTGCTGAATCTCTAGAACCGACCAGGGATTAAATAAACGAAAGATATTTGCAAACCAAAGAAATCATATTAACAGCAACGACCGACTTTGAAATTTCCCATCACGTAAGAAAATTATACCTTGTATAAAATCTGTGACATACTAATTTCACTCCACTTTTGTTTCTAAACCTGTGAAGATGGTAATGTTACGCGGGACGATTTGCAACGACGATTTTTAACGCAACACAGAGTTGCAATGCTGGAACAATGTTCTAACCATTCGAAACAATGTCGCAACAATGCTGCAACGCTGTGTTGCGCTGAAAATCGTCGTTGCGAATCGTCTCGTGTAACTTCACCTTAAAAGAATGATCAGGCCGGCTTCTATTTGAGCCCTTAATAGCGGAGCTCTCTCTCGGGCGCGCAGCGGAGCACCATGGGTAAGACAAATTGGAAATCCATGACCAGGGCGGATCGCCCTGCCCATGACGCCAGAACGGCCGCCGTCCGTGCACCCACTACATGTAAGTCGATGATAATTATTTATAAATGTGAGGTTATCAGTTTGGCGGGGAAGCGCACCGGCATCTTGTGAAGCAAAGACAACTAAAGAGTCAAGAAAGACGAAAACGGACAAAGGAAAATGTTTCTGTATCTGTCCGTGTTGTCTAAAGTATAAGCTTTAATTAATTGTCATGCCTAAAAATTTGGAATATAGAGAAACAGAAAGACAGAGAAAAAGAGAAAGTAGGGCGACAGGCCAGCGAAGCTCAATGAGAAAAAGAGCTGGAGCGAGAGAGAAAAAACAAAGGAGACATTTTTTGTTGGAGGAACAACATGAAATTTTGTAGCGGCGGTAAGAAAATGAGAAATGCTTGGGTCCACCAGGGTGCAATGAGCGACGTGAAAAAAAAAAGTGAACAAAAACAAGTACGACCTTTCCCCCAAAAAACGTGTAACCAGGAAGTTTCTGAAAGTTTCACGCCGTAGTCGTACAAAACAACGGCAAAGAAATGTACAAAAAAGTGTGCTGCACTTTCAAAATTGTTTTCTTGCTAATTAGACCTGTTGCTGTTTTTTCACCGTTCTCGTGGGCTTCGCCGCTTAGCATTACACGATTTTATATGTTGTTTCACAAGCAAACTATAAATATTATCGAGAACTTTGCTTATGGCCTGGCTAAATGTATAAATTAAGGATTTTCTAAAGAGCCGTGTATTTAATTTTGCATTGGTGGATGATAAATATCTCCACTTGCCTTTTTTTCTCACGAATTTTTAACTCGTTCGTAAGATTGCTCGTTGCATTAAAATAGTAATCACAGTATGGTGTATCGTATCGCCCCTCGCCGCGAGTCGTTTAGATCCCACCGTTACTCCACCACGTAGGTCAACAAAACTTTTATCGCACTAAGAAGTAATCGGAGAGATGGGCATGGTTCAAATTAATTTCAGTTTCTTTTGTGACGCTTTCTTTAAAAAAGTTAAGTTAAGAAAACATACTTCAGTTGAAAGGACAAAATGATGACCAATGCAACTTCCCTCTATTCCAAAGGTGACCAAACACAAATTAGTCTTGCGATTCCCACATTCGTCTACCGCAGTTATTCGTAAGAAAAAAATTTATTTTAATTAATAACGTCTGTTTCAGGCTTATGGCAACTGGTTTTGCCAAAGTGCTCTTGTCTTTAGATGACTTTTAATTTTCCCATAGTATTCAATCTTGACTTTGCTTTGTCCATATATAAATTTAACAAACGTTTCAACTGTTTCAGTCACGACTTATGCTGAAATACAATGATATCTTGAAGTCGGACCACTCCATACTCTCATATCGCTTTTCTTTATTTCCATGAATAGTGTAGAATATACTTTAATTTGCCTTCACTTTTTTTAAGGGAGCATAAAAGTACAAAGAAATGTCACTTGACAACTTGAGAAAACAGCCGGAATTTTGTGACGCCACTGACCACTGGTTACAAAAGTCTGAGAAAAGAGCGCAGAAATTCCGGACCGATGACGTGTCACTACTGAGACCTTCCAAGTGTTTCTGGTTGGTCGTGCATCGTTGGCCAATCAGAAGCAGCACCAAGATCTAGGTAGTGACGCATGAGTTCTCAGACGTCATTTCACGGGAAAACTAGTGGCAGATTTTCTCATTTTCGTTTCTATCCCTATATTTGCGAAAAGACTTATTGATGTTCGTCTTTTTAAGATGAAAAACAGGTTATTTGGCAAATAATAATTTTCATCTTTTAAAAAGCACATTTATACCACAAAAATAACCAAAAAAGGATATCGCTGCTCCCAACCCGGGTTAAGATGATCTACAGCAGTAAAAGAGGGGTAAGACCAGTTTTGATTTGAGCCCGTAGTATAAGGATTTTGTCAGGTGGCATATTGAGCTGGTGTCTATCCCTTTTCAGCACAGTTCGAAGGTTAGTGAGTTTTCCATCGGCGGTTTAACTTGGTTTAACTCGTTTTCATTTCTTTTGAATTGTAGTTACTCCATCACCACCATCAACGCCGGCACCTCCAACCCCATCCGGTATGTATCAGTCTGCGGCCCTATAACAGTTTAGTACTCTCTAGAAAACTTTGTTAGTAATTAAGGATTAAACCTGTCGTTTAGAGCATCAGCATAAATGCTAGAAAACAAGAAACGCTTGCGTAACAATAGACACAGGACAATGTTTAAATTCAACTAAGCAATTATCAGTAATTGTATAAACTCAATGATGAGTTTTTCTAATGTTGGCTCTATTTTTTATATATATTTGTCTTCGTTTCTTTTGAATTTCAGTTACAACTCGTCCACCATCAACAACACTGACACCGTCAACCCCATCCGGTAAGTATAACTGCCATAAGTGGTCCCTTATATAACAAGCAGAAGTGGACAACAGCCACAAAAGAAATCAAAAATGCACTATACAGTGATCCAAAAGAGCCAATCAATGATTCACAGCAGCTCAGAATCCAACAGCTACATAAATCAGGACGCTAAAAGAGTCCTTCATCACTGATCACTCCAACTACAGTCTGGGAGTTCATTCCAAGTTTTGACTGCAGTATGGATGAAAGTCCTATCAGTTTCCATATGAAGAAATCGTTGTCAGTAAATGTTAATTGATTGCACTGCTCATTTCAGTTGGTACTCCGCCACCACCACCTCCAGGAACTCCTCCGCCACCAACAGGTTGTCCTGGAGGTAATGCCCCATCCATTAATTTTACCAGATTTGCTTTGTTTTTGAGCACCAGTAGCCTCAAACACGAGCATGAGCTCACCTTTATTTGGTCAAATACCTGGCTAACAGAGACATGAACATTATCTTTACTTTACCAAAATTTGCTAAAAACGTGTCTTAACCCTCGGACATAGACACCAATTCATACTCCCACCGTGGTACAAACCCCTCCCCGGAGTTTTTTTATATGTTGCAGCATTTTGAAACGATTTTACCTTTAGTAGAAAGCCTTTGATCTTCTTAACAAGAAAGGTATATTCTATTCCATTGATGGGGGCGCTGCTGGAGGCCTGTAAGGTCACCAACAATGGTCGCCATCTTGGCCGTCATCTTGGATTTTTTTTAAAATTCTTTTCAATTTTAGTTACTCCATGTCCACCACCCGGTATGTGTATTTTCCGTCATAAATCATGCACTTGTAGTCTTAAAAAAACCTCGTTTGTAAAGCTAAAAAGGATTAATGTTTTAAGCTTTTACAAAAAAGTTCGTTTAGGGCATTACGTTAAATACTAGTTATCAAAAAATTAATGAATTAATAGACACAAGTCCGAGACAAAAAATGTTTTAAATACAATGCAAGTAATTATCATTATATGGATAAGTTCACTGACTATAGCATTTGATAGGTCTTTCTATCTTCCACTTGGTTTTATTTCTTTTTGATTAAGGAACATCTTACAGCAAAGAGCCTAAAAGTATGACCGCTTTGATTTACTCACATTCTTTCGTGCAGATTTAATCCAATCAGAAGCCAGCTGAAAACTGTCCTCGACTTCTGACTGGTTAATCTCTTCATGAAAGAATGTGAGTTAATTAAAGGAGGTTACACTTTTGGGCTCCTTGCTGTAAACATGCTGTATTGGTTCTTGTGGTGGCCTTCCAAACGAGATTGTTTTAAGGTGTTGCTTAAATTTCAAGCAAGGGGTGTGGCCTTATGGAGAGCCATACCACTTACCACTTCTGGGTTTCATTATAATAAATAAGCTCAATTTCGGTTGGGTATTGTGGTGTGCCTTAGCTACTCTTTGAATTTTTCTTTTTTCTGTGTTTCTCTGTCATCTTTCTTTTTTTGGAAATATCTTTCAGATAGTCTAGACTTCCCAATGGAAACCGACTTTGTTGACTGTAGCAGAATACTGCTTACAATGCTACTTGTATGATCTGTGGTCTGACACTTAGATAGTGAGAAGGTATGAAAACTCACCTTTGGTAACACACTTTGTTACACTTTCTTGTTTATTTGTTTTAGCAATCACATGCAACTTCGACGTATCAATGTGCGGCTTCCAGCAGGACAAAAATGACAAGTTTGACTGGACTCGACATAAAGGAGCAACACTATCTTCTGGTACTGGACCTTCTGGTGATCACACCAGTGGAAAGGGTAAGCTTATCAAAGTTGATCATTTTCAGGAAACAATCATCAAATATACAAATAAATAAATTCTGAATTGAACTAGGTAAACAATCGAGGAAAAGCTGAGCTCTTTTCTAAACTTGAGGCTTTCCTTGGGTAGGGCGCGAGCGAGTCTCCTTCTCGCGCGCCCGTTTTTTCTTGTGCCCACTACTTCCAAGCGCCTGCTTCGCAGGCCAAGATCTGCTTAATTCTTCATATCCTACGATAGCCGAATTCATTAATTGCTAAATAAGGCCCCGTCCACACGTATCCGTTTTTGTTTAAAAACGTAAAATTTTCCGCTGGTTTGGCCTACCGTCCACACTTATCCCGTTGGCAACTGTCACCGAAAACGCATCTTATCAAAAACGCTCTCTAAATTGAAGATTTTTGAAACCTTTGCCTTCTTGTCTACGTAAGGACAGGCGAAAACGTAGGTTTTCAAATACGATGATGTTATACATCATATACCACTTATAAGCTAGCATAAGGCATGCGCTGCGAGAAATGCAATCGTATTTCCATATGCGTTTCATGTGGAAAAGCGACAATGATTTGGATACACTACGTGTGGAAGCGTACTGTTTTTTTAAAAAAGAGGAAAAAAAATCCGTTTTCCAAAATATTTGTGTGGAAGGAGTAGGCTTTTGTACATTATGCTAGCATTTTTTCGAGCATTTTAGTGAGGCAAAAGCATTGAGCATTATTCGAGCATTTTAGTGGCATTTTCCCCGGAAAATTAATTTTTCCGAGAAAATAAAATAGAAATTAACTTTTTGCAGGAGCCCATGCCCCAATAGCCTCCCACGCAGGCGTTTTTAGGGGAGCTCGTTTTTCATCCCTGTGGGGAGGGATGAAAAACGAGCTCCACTAAAAACGCCTGCGTGGGAGGCTAATGCCCCAAGAGCTCCTGCGTTTTTAAAGAAAATGAAGAGTAAAACTCAAAATTCACAAAAAACCTAATACAGCTGTTTTTTTTGGCTGTATTTATGAACTTGTACACGTTGTAGTTGTTACTTGCAACACTTGCACGTTTTTGTAAGTGTAAACTTTGAAATTAATTTAAAAAAAACCTTTTGTATAGAGAGCATTATCCGAGCATTTTAGTGACTTTTTTGGGGAGACCGAGCATTTTAGTGGGAAAAATGGAGCATTAAGGTGGAGCATTTTAGTGGGGAAGCAAAAGCATAATGTACAAAAGCCTAGGAAGGAGCCTAAATCATTCAATACATTCCTATTACAGAAAATATACACGAGCTAACGAGTGCTTTGTACAATTGAATAAACACAATAAGTTCTAGGTTGGTGAACGTATGTTCTTACAATTATTGATTTTTTTTTTATTGCGCACTGTTTTTTTTAGAGACTTACTATCTTTCTCTCCTTAGGTTATTACATGTACATAGAAACATCCAGTCCACGAGTGCAAGGTGACAACGCTAAATTAAAAAGTCCTCCACTGAAATTCAGCGGAACCATGTGTCTTAGCTTCTATTACCATATGTACGGTTCAGATATTGGGAGTCTAAAGGTCAGCTTTAATGGCAAAGACGTTTTCAGCAGAAGTGGTAACAAAGGCAACACATGGCTTAAGGCTAGTGTATCTATTTCCTCTATTGCGGGAAGCCATCAGGTGAGAGACATTTCGCTAGGCAAAACTGTGTACTTAAGTGGTTATAAGAGACCGTGTGGGCGCGTGGTTAGATTGTAGCAAGGTGTATGTACTTCCAATTAGCGATGTTGTTCAAAAGGTAAAACATTGTCTCTTTGTATTTCTTAAACCTTCCTCAATCTTTCCGTTCTTATTCTGCACGAATGGTCAACGAATTCAGGTTTATTTGTAACTGTAAAATGTATGTTATGTAACTGACATCTGCTGTAGTTGTTGTAGCATACGTCAGATGGCAGATGGTGTGGAATAAGGAAACGAAGAGTTAAAACCTTTTGCGAATAACTCTTCTATGGATAAACGTAGTTCGAAACCATTTGTTTGTGTATAGACACTGTAGGATTCGCTATAGATAACCGAAATTCCTTGTGCTGTTAAAAAGAAACATATGGACACTCAATGATACAACTTTCCGTTAAAGTGATTCTAGATCTCTCTTAGTAATCAGTTCTTCTTAACCCTCGGACGAACATTCAAATTCATACCCCCACCGTGTTACAAGGGGGAAGGGGGGTGGATGGATCCCCCCCGCCCCCTAGAAGTGTACGAACTATGAGCGAGGTTTGTGATAGACTAATCACTAACAAACACGGTGGTAAAAATAGTTCGACTCAGTAAATCCACACTATCGCCTGATGAAGAACTGCAGCAGCTAGGTCCGATTGTTGTTCGATGGAATCGGCAATCGAAAACAATCGAACTGGAACTTTGCGGTGAGTCCACTGTCCCTGTTGATATTGTTAGTGTGAAGTCTGATATTATGTGCATACCCTCCTTAACTCTACGAGATTACCAGTGAGGGTCTCGGTCAATAAGTTTAACTTCGTCCCAGAGCAGATAATGCTCTGTCTTATTGGCGTGTTCAGAAACGGCCGAAGTTTGAGTTTGTGAAAGCAGTATATCCCTATCGTGCTCCTTAATCCGTTCATGCTTCACCTTCCCGTTCCGCCAATGTATACTTTGCAAGGAATCTTAAACACCGTGACTGTTTTGGTGGACCCGTTCTGCCAACCACTTAACCGTTTTTTAATACTTTCATTTTAATTAAAGTTTAGAAACTTGTTTTACAATCTTAATGACTATACTACATATATTTAAAAAAATCATTAATAATGCAGAAAGAAGAAATACAAGAAATTAATGTTTAGCGAGTGTCTTTAGATCTGACTGAAGACAAGGCTGAGCTTTACGTCCATTTTCTTGGAACAAAAAAAAACCTAAATCTAAATATTGGCGCTAGAGATTTTCAAAAAACTTGCAGTCGTGTATTATCAAGTTTAATCGAGTTTTTAAACCTCATATTTATAATCTATTTTTTGTTATTCTTCTTTTACAGTACATTATATAACGACCATCTCTATCCTTTGATTGACAGATTATATTTGAAGGAGTAAGGGGTAAAAGTTTCGAAGGTGACATAGCAATTGATGACTTTTCTTTAACATCAGGGTCTTGTGCAGGAGGTTAGTTAAATTTTTCTCTTTTGATAAACGGTCCTCAAGCGCGTTTTAATTATTTAGCTTTAAACCAAGTCATATAACCGGAGTTAAATTGTGCTCAGCAAAATCTCAGATAAGATGCAGAAAGGTTTACCTATGTATTGAATGATTTGATCTGAAAAATACGTGATAATCAGTTAGTTTACAGCTGTTGTGGCTGTAATCATACATTAAGACACTCACAATCTACTGAGAAATTAATTTTTTATCTACGACCTCTCCCTCGGAAATCTGTCAGGTAAGGCAAACTCAACCTCTAAACAATAAACTAAGTATTTAAGCGTTGTTTCAGTCGTAGAAAATTTCCTGGTCCACTTGACCGAAAATTTCATTCCATTCTTTTGTTGGGTTTGGTTGTCTCCAGGAAAAGTTAGCTGGCTTGAGAAATAGAGAAAGGCAATTACAATCGATCCTTGAAATGAAATGCTTCGAATGTTCCATTTTTCATGTGGCAGCACTTCCAATTTCGATCCATTCTGACTGTATTAAAAAATATATATATAACTGGAAGAATAAAGATCTTTGTTGGCGCAACTCTGTAAAAGCAGATATGCCGGTCACGTGAACATTAGTTAAGTGATGAAATCTGATTCCCAATATTTGCTTCGCGTGTAAGCAAGTATCAACGAAAAACGGATAAAGTCACTCTCTTCAACTTCTTTTTTTATATCTTTTTAATATTAGTAACTCCACCACCGCCATCAACACCGGCACCTCCAACCCCATCTGGTATGTATAACACTGTCGTCCGATCAATCGACAATAGCTTATAGCTTTAGAATGTAGCTTGCAGCGCTTGTCCACAATACAGAACTTTTGGAGGTGTAGCTGCCATGCAAGACGCACTATAGCTCAACTGGAATTAAAAAGGCTCAATAATAATAATATAGAGCGTTTTTACATGTTGGCGGCCATGTTGGTGTACCAAGACAACCCTGTGGGAATTGAACTCCTTTCTTATGTATAGACTTTCTTTTGTTACAATAAATTAGCATAGATGCTGGCCACCTGAGTGAAAACGCTCTGTAGCTGTTTTTCGGTCCTCTTTCATCCGTTTTTGTAGTATCTGGCCAGATAGTAGACTTATAACGGAAATTTTTCCGACTGTCTATAACAGGGATAGTGCTTATTATTGTTACTTTTATGACCTGTAGTTTGACGCTTAAACAGAGTGACGGTATAAAAGTGCGCCCTTTGAAATATATATGTTTGCTTGTTTACTCTCTTTTAGCAACTATATGCAGCTTTGACGCTTCAATGTGCGGCTTCCTGCAGGACAAAAATGACAAGTTTGACTGGACTCGACAAAAAGGACCAACATTATCTTCTGGTACAGGACCTTCTAGTGATCATACCAGTGGAAATGGTAAGATTATATTTTGAAACAGTCTCTAAAGAAGAACCCCTTTGTTGCTGTTGTTACGTTGTTTTCCGTTTTGTTTTCTTTCGGTTCTCGGCTGTGGTACTGGTTTGGATGGTGTTTTAGAATCCTTTTACTGGTATAAGCATACATGTACACTCTCCTAATGACACGCAATATGTAAATTGTTTAATTGCAACACTCGGTTTTGCTCTATTTTTCTTTTTCTCCAATAAAAAATCATTTGTAATGTTCAGGTCTAAAAACTATCGAAATGGGTGAGCTCTATCCCTTGAGGGAGGGGAGGGAGGGGACCACACTTTTCCGCTTTAGATTCACTTGAATGTACAAATTCTTGCCTTTCTGACTCAGGTATAATGCTTCATAATTTCGTGGCGTCCTTAAGTGCGCCTCTGATAAAACATTCCGATGATCGAGTGGGTATTTTAAAGTTTGGGAGTTTTAACAACGACGACGGCAACGGAAACGAGAAGGTCAAAAACGTAACAGGTTTATTAAGCAAAACATCAAGTTTACACGTGCATCACGCTTTTTTGTTCATTACGTTGCCGTCACTGCACGACTTACGACGTGAAAGTGCCTAATTTCACGTTTAATGATGAAGTAAACAAGCGACGTCAACGAGTCTGAAAAACGCAAATTCATTTTAAATGTGACGTTTTTGCTGCCTTTGCCGTCGTCGATGTTAAAGCTCCCTAAGGAAGGACCTTACGAAACTACGAGGGCGGCGGCAACGGGAACATCAAAAAGCAATGGTTTAACTTCGCAAAACAACAGCTCTGCACGTGCGTTACGCTTTTTTGTACATTTCTTTGCCGTCCCTACACAAATGCGACGTGAAATGACCAAATTTTAATTTTTTTTGAGGATGGGAACGGTAAGGCGTTAAATTTTACCATCTCTAGCTGTCTGAACTCGGGTGCGGCCTCCTCTCTCCAGCTCTAACATAAATTCCCTTCTCTTAAGTATAAACTGGGAGACTTGGGATGATCGCGAAATGGTTTGAAAGGATGTGGAGTCTATTTTTCAGCAAGGTTCATGGACGTCGCTGTTGTCGGATCGTAACGTCCCTAATACATTCGATCGGACGGCAACGCGCAATTTGTAACATGCAATGAATGACTCAGTGCATTTTTATTCCAGAAAATATGCACCAGTCAGGGAGCCGGTTAACATTGATTTCACGTTTGTGAACTCATGTGCGTGCAACCATTCAAATTCCAATTTCTTTTTAGAGCGCCCAGTGTATCGATTTCTTTAGAGACCTACTACCTTTATCTCTCCTTAGGTTACTATATGTACATAGAAACATCCAGTCCAAGAGTCTCAGGTGACAACGCCAAATTGAGGAGTCCTTCACTGAAATTCAGCGGAAACATGTGTCTTGGATTCTTTTACCATATGTACGGTTCAAATATTGGGAGTCTAAAGGTCAGCATTAATGGCAAAGAAGTTTTCAGCAGAAGTGGTAACAAAGGCAACACATGGCTTAAGGCCAGTGTAACTATTTCCTCTATTGTGGGAAGCCATCAGGTGAGAGATGTTTCGCTGAGCAAAACTGTGTACTTAAGTGGTTATAAGAGACCGTGTGGGCGCGTGGTTAGATTGTAGCAAGGTGTATGTATTTCCAGTTAGCGATGTTGATCAAAAGGTAGAACATTGTCTCTTTGTATTTCTTAAATCTTCCTCAATCTTTCAGTTCTTATTCTGCACGAAAGGTCAACGAATTCAGGTTTATTTGTAACTGTAAAATGTAACGTTATGTAACTGACATCTACTGTAGTTGTTGTAGCATACGTCAGATGGCAGATGGTGTGGAATAAGGAAATGAAGAGCTAAAACCTTTTCCGAATAACTCTCCTATGGATAAACGTAGTTCGAAACTATTTGTTTGTGTATAGATACTGTAGAATTAGCTGTAGATAACCGAAATTCAGTGTGCTGTTAAAAAGAAACATTTGGACACGTAATGGTACAACTTTCCGTTAAAGTGATTCTAGATCTCTCTTAGTAATCGGTTCTTCTTAACCCTCGGACGAACGTGCAAATTCATACCCCCACCGTGGTACAAGGGGGGCGGGGGTGGATGGATCCCCCCTCCCCCCCCCCAGAAATGCACGAGCCATGAGCGAGGGTGGTGATAGACCAATCACTAACAACCACGGTGGTAAAAATAGTTCGACTCAGTAAATCCACACTATCGCCTGATGAAGACCTGCAGTAGCTAGGTCCGATTGTTGTTCAATTGAATCGGGAATCGAAAACAATCGAACTGGAACTTTTGGGTGAGTCCACTGTCCCTGTTGATATTGTTAGTGTGAAGTCTGATATTATGTGGATACCCTCCTTAACTCTACGAGAGTACCAGTGAGGGTCTCGGTCAATAAGCTTAACTTCGTCCCAGAGTAGATAATGCTCTGTCTTATTGGCGTGTTCAGAAACGGCCGAAGTTTGAGTTCGTGAAAGCAGTATATCCCTATCGTGCTCCTTAATCCGTTAATCCTTCACCTTCCGTTCGGCCAATGTATACTTTGCAAGGAATCTTAAACGGTACTCCACCATCTTGTTTTCGTGGACCCGTTCTGCCAACCACTTAATTTAACCATTTTTTAAAACTTTCAATTTAATTAGAGTTTAGAAACTCGTTTTACAATCTTAATGACTATACTACATATATTTAAAACATCATTAATAATGCAGAAAGAAGAAACATAAGAAATTAATAATGTTTAGCGAGTGTCTTTAGATCTGAGTGAAGACACGGCTGAGCTTTGTTTGCGTCCATTTTTTTGGAACAAAAAAACTCCTAAATCTAAATATTGGCGCTAGAGATTTTCAAAAAACTTGCAGTCGTGTATTATCAAGTTTAATCGAGTTTTTAAACCTCATATTTATAATCTATTTTTTGTTACTCTTACTCGTTTTTTTTTACAGTACATTAAATAACGACCATCCCTCTGATAACAGCTTATGCTTTGATTAACAGATTATATTTGAAGGAGTAAGGGGTAAAAGTTTCGAAGGTGACATAGCAATTGATGACTTTTCTTTAACATCAGGGTCTTGTGCAGGAGGTTAGTTAAACTTTTCTCTTTTGATAAACGGTCCTCAAGCGCGTTTTAATTATTTAGCTTTAAACCTAGTCATATAACCGGAGTTAAATTGTGCTCAGCAAAATCTCAGATAAGATGCAGAAAGTTTTACCGATGTATTGAATGATTTGAAAGATACATGATAATCAGTTAGTTTACAGCTGTTGTGGCTGTAATCATACATTAACACACTCACAATCTACTGAGAAATGAATTTTTTATATACGACCTCTCCCTCGGAAATCTGTCACGTAAGGCAAACTCAACTTCTAAACAATAAACTAAGTAAGCGTTGATTCAGTCGTAGAAAATCTCCTGGTACTTGACCGAAAATTTCGTTCCATTCTTTTGTTGGGTTTGGTTGTCTCCAGGAAAAGTTAGCTGGCTTGAGAAATAGAGAAAGGCAATTACAATCGATCCTTGAAATGGAATGCCTCGAATGTTCCATTTTCCATGTGGCAGCACTTCCAATTTCGATCCATTCTGACTATATTAAAAAATATATATATAACTGGAAGAATAAAGATCTTTGTTGGCGCAACTCTGTAAAAGCAGATATGCCGGTCACGTGAACATTAGTTAAGTGATGAAATCTGATTCCCAATATTTGCTTCGCGTGTAAGCAAGTATCAACGAAAAACGGATAAAGTCACTCTCTTCAACTTCTTTTTTTATATCTTTTTAATATTAGTAACTCCACCACCGCCATCAACACCGGCACCTCCAACCCCATCTGGTATGTATAACACTGTCGTCCGATCAATCGACAATAGCTTATAGCTTTAGAATGTAGCTTGCAGCGCTTGTCCACAATACAGAACTTTTGGAGGTGTAGCTGCCATGCAAGACGCACTATAGCTCAACTGAAATTAAAAAGGCTCAATAATAATAATATAGAGCGTTTTTACATGTTGGCGGCCATGTTGGTGTACCAAGACAACCCTGTGGGAATTGAACTCCTTTCTTATGTATAGACTTTCTTTTGTTACAATAAATTAGCATAGATGCTGGCCACCCGAGTGAAAACGCTCTATAGCTGTTTTTCGGTCCTCTTTCATCCGTTTTTGTAGTATCTGGCCAGATAGTAGACTTATAACGGAAATTTTTCCGACTGTCTATAACAGGATAGTGCTTATTATTGTTACTTTTATGACCTGTAGTTTGACGCTTAGACAGAGTGACGGTATAAAAGTGCGCCCTTTGAAATATATATGTTTGCTTGTTTACTCTTTTAGCAAATATATGCAGCTTTGACGCTTCAATGTGCGGCTTCCTGCAGGACAAAAATGACAAGTTTGACTGGACTCGACAAAAAGGACCAACATCATCTTCTGGTACAGGACCTTCTAGTGATCATACCAGTGGAAATGGTAAGATTATATTTTGAAACAGTCTCTTAAGAAGAACCCCCTTGTTGCTGTTGTTACGTTGTTTTCCGTTTTGGTTTCTTTCGGTTCTCGGCTGTGGTACTGGTTTGGATGGTGTTTTAGAATCCTTTTACTGGTATAAGTATATATGTACACTCTCCCAATGACACGCGACATGTAAATTGTTTAATTGCAACACTCGGTTTTGTTCTATTTTTCTTTTTCTCCAATAAAAAAATCATTTGTAATGTTCAGGTCTAAAAACTATCGAAATGGGTGAGCTCTATCCCTTGAGGGAGGGGAGGGAGGGGACCACACTTTTCCGCTTTAGATTCACTTGAATGTACAAATTCTTGCCTTTCTGACTCAGGTATAATGCTTCATAATTTCGTGGCGTCCTTAAGTGCGCCTCTGATAAAACATTCCGATGATCGAGTGGGTATTTTAAAGTTTGGGAGTTTTAGCAACGACAACGGCAACGGAAACGAGAAGGTCAAAAACGTAACAGGTTTATTAAGCAAAACATCAAGTTTACACGTGCATCACGCTTTTTTGTTCATTACGTTGCCGTCACTGCACGACTTACGACGTGAAAATGCCTAATTTCACGTTTAATGATGACGTAAACAAGCGACGTCAACGAGTCTGAAAAACGCAAATTCATTTTAAATGTGACGTTTTTGCTGCCTTTGCCGTCGTCGATGTTAAAGCTCCCTAAGGAAGGACCTTACGAAACTACGAGGGCGGCGGCAACGGGAACGTCAAAAAGCAATGGTTTAACTTCGCAAAACAACAGCTCTGCACGTGCATTACGCTTTTTTGTACATTTCTTTGCCGTCCCTACACAAATGCGACGTGAAATGACCAAATTTTAATTTTTTTTGAGGATGGGAACGGTAAGGCGTTAAATTTTACCATCTCTAGCTGTCTGAACTCGGGTGCGGCCTCCTCTCTCCAGCTCTAACATAAATTCCCTTCTCTTAAGTATAAACTGGGAGACTTGGGATGATCGCGAAATGGTTTGAAAGGATGTGGAGTCTATATTTCAGCAAGGTTCATGGACGTCGCTGTTGTCGGATCGTAACGTCCCTAATACATTCGATCGGACGGCAACGCGCAATTTGTAACATGCAATGAATGATTCAGTGCATTTTTATTCCAGAAAATATGCACCAGTCAGGGGAGCCGGTTAACATTGAGTTCAAGTTTGTGAACTCATGTGCGTGCAACCATTCAAATTCCAATTTCTTTTAGAGCTCTCTGTGTATTGATTTCTTTAGAGACCTACTACCTTTATCTCTCCTTAGGTTACTATATGTACATAGAAACATCCAGTCCAAGAGTCTCAGGTGACAACGCCAAATTGAGGAGTCCTTCACTGAAATTCAGCGGAAACATGTGTCTTGGATTCTTTTACCATATGTACGGTTCAAATATTGGGAGTCTAAAGGTCAGCATTAATAGCAAACAAGTTTTCAGCAGAAGTGGTAACAAAGGCAACACATGGCTTAAGGCCAGTGTAACTATTTCCTCTATTGTGGGAAGCCATCAGGTGAGAGATATTTCGCTATATACAAAACTGTGTACTGTAAGTGGCAAAAGAAACAATGATTGAAGTGTAGCAAAGTGTATGTATTGATCCATTTAATGATCAGAAAGGCAGAAAATATGTCTTTTTCTTTCTTAGATCTACCTCAATTTTTAAGTAAAGATAAATTAATTTCGCACGAATGATCAGGTTGACTAGAACTGTAAAATGTAACGTTATACAGTACCTAACCCTGCTGTTGTTATTGTAACAAACGTCAGATTGAAGTAAGTATTTTCCGAAAAAAAAAAAAAAAGAAATGACGATCCAAAACGTTTCCAGAAGACTTAACTATAGATGAAAGTTGCCCTAAACTGTTGATGTATAGATAGTTAAGAATAAGTAGTAAACGACAAGTACATTAATATTAAGGAAAACCTTAGTTACGTGGTACATATCGCCGGAAAACCTCTCTAGTGACCACGGTTTTCACTAAAATTTTAATAACTCAGAGCTCTCATTCGGAAAGCAGGGGAAGTGCCGATGGAACGCCCCGTTGCCATTCACCTGTTTATTTATAATTCTAAATCTACTTTTCCTTTTGCCAAATTTTAACAATTTTTCATACTTTCAATTCAGAGAGAGTTTCGAAACTCGTTTTCCAATGATCGATAGTTTTTATTTTAGAGCGACCACGCAAAATTGGTAACAGTTTATCAGCTGCGCAATGTTTTTGATTGACAGATTACATTTGAAGGAATAAGGGGTGTGAGTTTCGAAGGTGACATCGCAATTGATGACTTCTCTTTAACACCAGGTTCTTGTCCAGGTAAGTCCTTTAGATAAACAGCCCTCAAACGCTTGTCTTGTAGCTTGAAATCGCCCCATGTAAGGGAATCCGGAATCCAGGGATTCTTTGCTTGTAAGATCAGGAATCCTGGGCTTTGTAATCCGGAATACAGCTCAAGGAATCCAGAATCCTACTAACGATTGAAACTTATTCATAAATTGAATTTTCTCAGCAAAATCGCAGCTTAGTTAAATGAGTAAAATACTTCTAATAATTAGTTAATCTACAGTATTCGTGTATAATATACATCACAATATAATCCTCTAAACTGGATTTTACGATCTCTTATCACTGAAAGATGTCATGTAGAGAAACGTCAATACCCCCACCCAAAAAAAAACACTGAGTAGGCTCCGAACCTTATTCAAGTAAGGGCAATTACAGCTTCTGAATGGTTAGTTTTGAGCCTTTATTAAGGGTTTCAACAAAATCTGTTTAATTTGTTTCTTTATTTTTGTTTGAACTTTAGTGACGACACCTCCTCCAACTGCTTCCCCACCACCACCTGGTAGGTATATTTGCCATCTATTCCCTCAGTAGCAGTTTTTAAGGTGATATAGTGTGGCAAATGATGAGATTAAAAACTCTTGGATCAAAATGGAAACCTGCAAGGTGAATTTGAACCCAAAACTATTGATTCCCACTCATCTTTAGCCTGCGAGCCGCAGACGTATTTCCGCGGGTCGTTGCTTCTCTCACAAAAAGATATAGAGTAGGTCTGGATCAGTTGCAATCGAGATTGGAAATGCTGTTTCGTGCATTTTATCCGACACAGTGCTTAATCTCAAAATGGTAGGACCATATTTTATACGGTTCACTTATATTGGTTATATTGGTTCTATGGCCTGACCGTGAGACTGACCGGAAACTTCTGCTAACGCTCCGCGTTCTCGCATATGTGTATTTGTTGTCAGGCTAGTTTAGATCATTTCTTTTTCTTTGTTGACTGATGGGAGACAAAGTGAAAGCGTTAAGAAGAGAAAATGATGATTTAAAGAGACAACTGAATGATCTAAAGATGGAATTTCAGTCTATCAAGTTGCAGACTCTCAATTCAAGTGAATTCATTCTCTAGAATCGGAACAAAAATATGGAATGAAATGCCTGTATCTTTAAGAAAACTTTCAAAAAATGCCTTTAAGAGGAAAATAAAACAAACACTTTTTGAGATCCTAGCTTCAGAAGACTGTTATATTGATCTACCAGAAATCGTCCAAAAAGTATTTTTAAGTTGAATTTATTTTCCTCTTAGTTAGTATGTAACCATTTATCGTTTAGTGTATCAGTAGTCTCTTGTCATAACTGTTGTCATTTATTATTAGTAATACCGTTAGTTTATCAGTAGTCTTTAGTCACTTTTGTCAATTTTAGTTTCTTTATAGTTCTCTTGTTATTTTTAGTTGAATTTAGTTGTATTTATTTTCTGTAAACATGACCCGCCTAATTTAGCTGAGCTACCCGCCTCCGGCATGTTATAATTGTACTTTTACCTTAAAACACAATAAAAAAAATGTGTGTATGTATGTATATGTATGTTACAGAGGGACTGAATCTGCAGGTTCAACAAGGTTTCTAATTGGCCATCTGTCATTGAAATTGACATTGAAATTTTTTCCAGGAACCAAATTTTGGAACTTTTAAAAAGCCCATGCTCAGTTTATTTCATGTGATCATTTTCTGATTTAATGCGATAATAAATAGAGGATATTACACGGTGGCGCGAAGATATGAATTTTATTTTCGAGCGGGCAAAACAATATTTTACTCACTCGCTGCGCTCGTTCGTAAAATATTGTTTTTGCCACGAGAAAATAAAATTCATATCTTCAAGCCGCCGTGTAATGTTCTTTTTATTATATAGACAAAAAGACAGCGAAAAAATAATAAAGAGAAATGACCGAAATTACGTCATCGATAAACTCACGTGTGAGATTATGGAAAATAAACCACTCGGATCCCGGATGTAGTTTTTATGAATTTTACGTGTGGTATATTTTCCAGTAAAACACTCGTGTCTATATAATAAAACAAAATATTTAGGGCATCACTTCCAATATTTGAAATAATCGCCTCCCTCGAATTATCGCCTAGGCTATTATTCGAGGAAACATGGTATGTTTTTCTGTTTCCCTTTCCAAAAGCCAGCTGCTGTATAGCTTGCTCATAGGTTAAACACTGAGGAGTAATCAAACCAAAGTTAAAGTACATTATTTTAGAGAGTCTGAACTAAACCCGCTGCTCTTTTTAAGGTTCTTGTGGTGTTCGTCCACACGCCAGAATTGTCGGTGGTGTAGCTGCAAATCATGGTTCGTGGCCATGGCAAGCCATGTTACGTACCACATCCGGGTTCCCTTACTGCGGGGGATCCTTGGTACATCGTGAATGGGTGGTAACAGCGACTCACTGCGTCACAGGAAAGAGTCCTAGTAGCATCTTTATCAGGTGAAAGATTTGTTCTCCTATTTGTGTTAACACGCACACTCAGGCATGACCCAGAGGCTACCTGTTAATATACATATTAGGCCTGTAAAAAGTCAAAGATAAATTATCTTAACAACTGCAAATTTGATATTAACATACCACTTTATCTCTTAAGGATTATTGTTAACGTTTAATTTAAAATTGAACTTTTTTGGGTCAGGTGACATTTTAAACACTTTCCTTATTTGAATAGAAAAGTGATTATGGGCTGTAAAGATGACTCTTTCTTAAGGTGACCCAGAACGCATCCATACAAAAACCGCCAACGTTGTTTAGTTCATCCTGGATTTACTGCGTTTTACCTTTAAAGGGTTGTTCTTAAGACTAGGTCAGATGTTCGTGAGGCTTTTCTTCTTCTAGTTGTTGTTTTTCAGTATTGAACTGAAGATTGTTCCCCCTTCAATACAGGGATTACGATTATGCACCGCTTTTTGGCCGCCACAATAGACCGCCGTCCATGACCCGTTTCACATCTCCGTCACTTTTCTTTAACTACAATGTATTAAAAGTTTGTTGAGGCTTAAAGAACATAACGTGTACAAGCAAAAATACTCGTAGCTTCTTTCATGAGAGGTCTAAGATCGTGTTTTATCTATCCCGCTTGAGAACAAGAGAAATTAAACAGCAAATTTCATGCTGGGAAAATAAAATATATACTTGCCAAGGATAATTAATTTTATTATTTAATGGTAAATGTCTCAAAATCAAGCTAGATAAAATCAAACTATATTTATTTAAATCATAACAAAAAAAAAAGCAATTGTTTCCTCGTCATTTTCGGTAATAGGTGGGCAAGAGAAGTGGTGGCAGCCCGGGAATAAAGGGGCGGAGGGGTGCGGAAGGTGGGAAAGGAAAGGGCGGGAGGTGGGAAAATGGTAGGGAAGCAGGAAAACTAGGGGAAATCACGCAACAATGCTGAATGTTTCGCAATTGAGGAGCTTAAGAAACCCGGGAATGCAAGGTATGGGAGGCCGCAGATGTTTGAGCCCCCTGCCTCCCTTATACTAATATTTACTGTACGCTTTAGATTGAAAAATTTCCTGTATTATTGTTTCCTTTTATAGACTCGGCGCCCACAGACGTGTTATCGCTGTCGGCACTGAGCAAGACATTAGAGTGAGTAAAGTGATTACACACCCTTCTTACCACACGCCGTTGAGATACAGTCACGACATCGCTTTACTAAAGCTGTCAAGACCAGCTAACTTAACCAAGTAAGTTAGCCTTTGAGCAACCTTAATTTACTACAATCGCAAAAAGAAAGCAATGTTCAGACTAGGAAAGCTGGTCAAATTAAGGCTAATGCAGATCGAAAAATGTCTCTCTTACTTCAATAAACCTTTGAGCCTGAAGTGTTAAAGGGTTGTTTGTCTTGTTGTCGTGACCAATGCCCTGTATTGTCAAAAGCCAGAGGAACTGAGCCTGATATCAAACAATAAGATTACTTTTGAAGCAAGAAATTTTAACCTCACCTGTGCAACCTAGCTAAATCTCTCTGTCTGGAATTGAGACGAAGTACTGTGGTGTATTTGTGTGCTCATTTACAGTTTCCACGATGACTTGACGAGAGGAGATGATGATAATTACAACCATCATCATCATCAGAATTTTTTATTTTCTTCAGGTATGTTAATCTGGTTTGCCTTCCTCACGCGGTAGCAGCACCTACCGATGGCACCAGATGCTGGATCACAGGCTGGGGTCGACTTGCTTCAGGAGGCGCCTCTCCAGATTATCTTCAGCAGGTTTCAGTTCCCGTTGTAAGCAGAGCCCGTTGTGATAGAGCCTATCCTGGAAAAATTCACGACTCCATGATCTGCGCGGGCCTTGACCAGGGAGGAATTGACACCTGCCAGGGAGACAGTGGGGGACCGATGGTGTGTGAAACCGGTGGAAGGTACTATCTACAAGGCGCCACCAGCTGGGGTTATGGGTGTGCCAGCGCTGGAAAGTTTGGCGTTTATGCCAAAGTGAAATACCTGCTAAATTGGCTAAATACCGAAATGGCGAAGAACTAATCCAAAGGAATAACGGCTGAATTTAAGAAAATACTAAGGGGATCTATATATCATAGAATATCAGTGGAAATAAGGAAGAAGATTTAGGAATAGTAACGGACAAGAAAATAAAGGCATTTAAAATGTATTTGTGTGTGTGTTTCTTGGATCCGGATTGGGCTTAGGTCGTTGTTGTTCTCTTTTCGTTTTGTTTCTTTTTTTCTGTCTGTCTGTCTGCCTGTCTATCCTTTTATCTTTCCTTTTTTCTTTTCCTTTCTTTCTCTTTCTGTTTTTGTTTTTATTTTTGGTCGGTTTTTCCTTTGAGTCCACCTTCATTTGTCCTGAAGTGGATTATGGAGAGTTTCAAGAACTCCTTTATTAAGGCGATTTCTCCTTTCTAGTTTCGTCGGAGTAAAGGAGCTTTAAATTTGAAATTTTATCCAGAACTGTGAATATAATAGGCCTCGAAGATTGAAAAAACATTTTAAATTTTATTGCAAATTAACTTCATCAGTATTCACAATTTTGCCCACTTCTTGCCTATTTTTTGTTTTTTTTTTGTGTTTAGCCCCAAATATTTCACTTTTTGAACAGTTTGGAAAAAGAAAAGAAAAATAACCATGAAAAGTCGATCCCAGAAATAAGAATGGTTTCCGCGAAGTTCAGTGATTTCTACTCACTACTTAATATTTTTTACAGTTGGCTTGGAATAGGTTTTTCGAACGCCTGTTAAGTATAACTTGCACAGACAAAGGGCAATTTTCTGGCTTGGTCAAAGAGAACTCCTGGAAAGCCTCGATCGAACAAAAATGTTGGAGAACTGACGCCTATACGAAATGGTGGTTACGTACCCTGCGAGCAGTGGTTTCTCCAGGCCAAACGCTACGCTAAGAAAAGAGAGGACTGAGAGCGACCGCTTGCTTCTCTGATCGAGCCGCCGTCCAGCGCCATGGACGAATAAATTAACAAGTTAAAGCTCTCGCGCATCGGCTTACGCTTATAATTGTTGCTTTAACTCGAGCAGTCGAGCCTACCGTATCTGGTCTTCTTGTTAAGGAATAAGCAGCCCACTGGCGTTGTACAAATACTCACGACATGTGTTTTATCCAGCCCAACCCGAACTCGGGCCGAGCGCAGCAAGTGTGACGCGTCAAAATCTGTCCCTCGAGAAAAGAGGAAATAATGTCATTTGACGTTTTGACGAAGGAGTCCCGCGGTTGCGCATGCTCGATGGGAAAAAATTGTCTATAGTCATATACCTGTAAATGAAAGTCCACTACGTCGGTGATTCAATTTCCAATTTTAGGATATCGTGGGATTGGATTAGCCAGAAATTGAAATTTTTGTAAATTATCTCAAACGCTGGGAGCAATTGCTCAATTTTTCGGTTATGGTTAATTGGTAACAAAACTTCATGGCGTCCAAATTAGTCTATAATCAACTACAATCATACCCGTAATTGAACTTCTAATTTAACGTCAGTGTTCGAATCTCGATTATAAACGCAAATGAACTCCACTCGTTTTAGGCTTAGCTACATAATTTCCGAAATGTGCACTAAAAATTCTTTCCGCAATTTCCAAGAAAACTGGCTCTAAAATTCTTTTAGAGTGTCTAAAATTCTCCAAAAACTCTCTAAAATTCCCAAAAATTGTAAAACAATTTCGGCTTTTTTGTATGGCGAGAGCCCTTTTTGGTGAATGACCGCTGATAAGTTGTACTGTAGACGGCTCTGATGAAAAACTGCTGTTTTGTTATGCTCAGTAGCTAGACAGTGCCTTAGACACTGCTGTAGCATGTAAGCGGGCTATGCCCTCTCTTGGTCGGTAGGAATACAACAAAAAACATTTTGTCAACGTTTTTGCCGTGAAATGTTGCCGAAATGTTGGGCGAATGTTCAAATTGCTCTAAAATTCTCCAATTTGTCGATTTTTTTTCCCTAAATTTCCCGAGATTTTCTGAATATTTTTTAATGTCTAAAATCCAAAAAAAAAATTCTGAAATATAGCCTAACTCGGTCCTATTAACATTCAAATTTCTTGGGCGTCTGTAAAACTTAACAGTTATTTTTAAACGCCGCAGGTAAATGATTTCTTTTTTTCGCCGAACACAGCAGGCGCGGCCGTGAACTGCAGGGTATCTGGGTCGAAATCGACTACTTTTAGTTTTTGTTAAAAGTGGAGGGGGGGGAAGGGCTGGGAATGAGGAACTAGCCAGCAAGGGAAGGCAAAACGAAAAATAAAAAGATATATAAATAAAAAGGGTGGACGATATTGGGATTAGAAATGAGGCTAGGTTACAGTCAGAGTTTGTTCACTTTTCTTTATTTAATTTACTATTCTCTCTGCCGTTCTTTCTAGATCGACACACAAAGCCAGAAATTATTCAATTTACCACTCTAAGAGCCGAATGACAAATGGAAGTCACAGGGTAATCAAACTTGGTCAATCGATAACCAGGACTGCATCCATTGCCACTCACATCGAAGGTCTTTCAATCTTATGCGATATTTCCTGTATTGCCAGTCACACTATGTCTTGTAAAACAAATATCGACAACAACGACGGCTAGTTTTCAATGCCTTTTATTTCACATTATTTCTCTTTACTTCTACAATATTTAACGACTGAAAAGAACACCCTTATTCTTTAGAATCCCCTTGAACGTTAAACGTTATTTCTTTTAACTAATTCTTCATCATTTCGTCATTGATCCGCTTTAGCACGTTTTTCACCTTGGATTAGTTCTTCGCCATTTCGGTATTTAGCCAATTTAGCAGGTATTTCACCTTGGCATAAACGCCAAACTTTCCAACGCTGGCACACCCATAACCCCAGCTGGTGGCGCCTTGTAGATAGTACCTTCCACCGGTTTCACACACCATCGGTCCACCACTGTCCCCCTGGCAGGAGTCAATTCCTCCTTGGTCAAGGCCCGCGCAGATCATGGAGTCGTGAATTTTTCCAGGATAGGCTCTATCACAACGGGCTCTGCTTACAACGGGAACTGAAACCTGCTGAAGATAATCTGGAGTGGCGCCTCCTGAAGCAAGTCGACCCCACCCTGTGATCCAGCATGTGGTGCCATCGGTAGGTGCTGCTACGGCGTGAGGAAGGCAAACCAGGTTAACATACCTGAAAATTCAAAATACGGAACAAGCAGAGTGTTATTGAGACTTTAAGTCCGAGTCACCATGCAAAAATGTTGTTTGCTTGAAAGTGGTTTTGTGATCGAACCTGTTGTCCTTGACACAAAGTGCTACCAAATTCACTCCTTGAAAAAGAATCTAGTAATCACAACTACAAATAACAACAACAAGAAACACTTAGCTCTTTAATTTCTGAAAGTGTCGTTGCAAGACAGTTCTATCGATTACTTTTAAATTGTACCGAGTCATCTCATAGATCAGTGCCAAACAGCACAAAAGAACCTTAATTCTTCTATGCTTCAGCGTACTTTAAATACTATATAAAAAAAAAGAAGTGAAAAGGAAAGAAAAGAACAAGAAATAAAAGGCCAGTAGGGCTACATACCTCGAGTGAAAAGATCAGAGAATGGGTACATGCAAATGCATGCAATTCAGAAATAGAATCAAAAAAAACTAGATTCAGAGCCCTGACTTAGTTTGCAATAAAGGCGGCTTGTACTAAGATTTAAGAAAACCCTACGAAAAAATTTTGTTTCGAGTCGCCAAATTGTAACTTCTGATAGGATTAAGGCAAATCATTGGTTTTAGCAGGTTGATTAAGAGCTAATTTTGCACATGTGAACGCTTGATTCGTGAAGCGTGAGAGCCGCAGCTAATCCATACGTTTGGCCCCTACAGACAAACTTTCATTTTATTAGCCCAAAATTCATTGCAAAGGCACTCTTTCTCTGATCTTAGTAGTCGTCGTTCTCGAATCTAAAGGTTTCTAGGTTTTGTCAGAGAACCAGTGGAAGTTTCCAGACCCTCCCTCGGGGCCCTCTAGTGAGTGCTCTTCCCGCTGTGGCCCGAAGCTCTCGCAAGCTAATGAATCAACGATTTGTTAATATTCTTCTGATTCTTTCCTAACAGTTTACACACAAAATCCGTCGATCTATTTGGTCTGAGGACAGAGCAAAGAATTTTCTAGATTTGTCAAACGGCTTTTACACTCACTTCGGTAATAGTTGAGCTAAACACAAATTAGCAAGTTGGTACGAAAATTGAAATAAGTTATTAAAACAATCTTGAAGCTGAGTTTAAGATCTCATAAGTGATTCTTAAAACCGTCAGTATGCTAAAAGTATTCCCCTTATTTTTCCATTTATGCTGCATATAGTTTGATTAAATGAACTTTTAGATACAATTTTTATAAATAATAAAAAAAACTGATGCGCTTCTTTAATAAAAAAGTTGTAAATGATCAATGTGAACTTAGTATAATTTTTAAACTAAAATACGAAACAAATTCTACATGTATCGTAAAGTGCTGATTTCTTCAGTTAGCTTGCAAAAACATTTACTGAGTGGGTTTGACTTGGAAGCAGTTTTGACGTCTAAATTATAGACCGCCGGGCTTTACACTTCTGCTCACTCTGTCAACTAAGGTTTTCTCTAAGTCTTAGACATAATCTGAAGAGGGCAAATTCACAACATTTTCAGTTAAATCTGACGTTAATGAATTGTTCTTAATTGAAGAAGACGAGTTCGGTTTGTTTTGCATTGAGGAGTGACTTAACAGCTAAGACAACACCCAAACACAAATTTGAATTGAGCTTATGATTCGACATAAATTGCTGTTACCTTAAAAGAACTAAATTCGTTTTAATTTGTTTTAAGAAACAGCTGTTTAGCCAGAACTTTGTTCGTAGTAAAATATCACTCTTTTGCTCCATTAGGAAATTAGTTACGTTTACCTTTCACTTAAAGCCCCGGTATTCACATACACCAAGTTCTCAACAATGATTTCCATACATTTCCTTAGAAAGTTAAGTTAAGAGATATAACTGAAAGGATCAAAAGCATTTCACTTTGGCAATCATTTCAGTGACTCTCGTTATAACTTTGTTCGTCCTCGAGTGCGAATTGATATTGTTGGGAAAATTGATGCATGTTGATCTACGGACTTAAAGGTCGCATTGCTCTGAGTATCCAGCTTCAATGCATCAATCAGTAAATAAAACTTAATTCTCTCACCCTTAATGCATCAATTAATTAACAAATATAACGTCAGGAACATCTATTGCTGATTCTGTATTTTAAATAGTCGTATTTGATTTGTTAATGGACCGGTTAAATTTTTTGGATTAAGAGCATATAAGAAAGTGTTTTTCTCAGACAATTTCGCATTCATTTTCGATACTGATCGAGATGATACTGCTGGTATTGCTACTTTCTGGAGCCAGTATCGTGAGAGGTAAGAGCACTTTTGTTTTTCAAAATGCAATAACTAAAATATATATCTCAAGAAATTGTTCATTTTACAATTTCAATTTTTTCACATTGCTTGTTTCTGTCTTGTTTCTTTTCTCTTTTCATTATATTTTCAAAGTTGAAAGGCTCATTATTCCATAGCGAAGGTTAGAAAAAAGGCATAATTTCACCCCGGGTTCTGATGATAATAAAATGTCGTTTATTGTTGTATTGCAAACATTTTTACTCCATTGTACAACATTTTGAGTAAAAATATCATTGAAAGTGTCTTTCTGTTATTAAAAATTCTTTCAGATAGTGTGAGGTGTAAAACTTGGCCCCTTTAATTTCGACTTTGTAGATAGAAGATCGCCCATTAATTTAATCTGTACTTTAAATGTCCTGTGCCTTCCCTTACCAAACCATATGTATTTTGAAACTGATTTTAAAGTGTTTAAAATGTATTTTCAGTATTTGAATACTATTTTCCTGTATTTTAATCCTATTTGACAAAAAAATTTAAATTTTCGCCCCTGTTTGGAATATATCTTAAGTGTAGTTAAATTATATTTCATCAAAAGGAAAACCTCTCTCATCAATTTACAATGTATTTTGTTTAATAAATATGATTAAAATAGGGTATTTCAAATGTATTTTGGGCATAGAACCACTAACACTGTTACAAACAGAGTTCAAATAGACTATTTGAAATATGTTTTAAGGGCTTAAATGCGACTGTTTTTTAAATACTTTTAAATAGGGTGCTTTAACACTGTTTTGAGTTGCATCTACAATGTATTTTGAGGCGCATCCACTCACAAAGTTACAAACATAATTCAGATAGACTATTTAAAATATGTTTTGAGAGCCTAAATGCTGACCGTATCTTAAATACTTTTAAATAGGGTACTTTAACACTGTTTTGAGTTGTATCGAAAATGTATTTTGAGACGCATCCACTCACAAAGTTACAAACAGAGTTCAAATAGACTATTTGAAATATGTTTTAAGTCGTTAACTACTACCGCATTTCAAATACTTTTAAATAGGGTACTTAAACACTGTTTTGAGGTCTATTTGAATTGTATTTTGGGCACACAACACTCTGACTATAAAAACAGATTGTACATAAAATATTTAAAGTCTGCTGAAAGACATCAAATGCTGACCTTATTTTAAATACTTTAAAATAGGGTACTTATTACTTATTATTATTGAGGTGCAACATTGTAATGTATTTTGGGATACTTATACTCAGACTATAAAAGTAACAATTGCACAAAGTTAATTTTTAAGCCTTCATCGTGTCACGAACTCATAAATGACTCAAAACAAGCTGTCATATTGTGGACCGGATTCTTCTCTCAATAAAGCTCGAGGCGGAGCCAAAAATTAAATCTCCCAGCAAATCAAAAAGAAATTGAAAAAAGAGAAGAAAATTAGGAATAGATTTTAGCTTTGACTGACAACACGTAACTGTGACAGTGTGCCGATAAAGGATCAATCCGTTCCTCAATGTTCATTACCTGCAAGCTCTCTGCGAAAATCTCCGCCTAGATTTTAGCCGTGATTCAATTAATGCAGCTACGGGACATTCCATAAGTTTTTTTAAAAGAAAATTCTTAAAATCACATTTTAATTTTCATGTAGAAATTTTTCGCAAACAGCCGAAGCCGCGGGCCGAGAATCGGATGCACGCGGTCAATTGCGGTGTTTAGACAATGGCAAAATTTGCAATAAATTCACACTGTAGTTATAAGAAAAATTTAGCCATAAAGTCACTTTGTATTATTATTAAAGAAAAATTTAGCCATTCATTAACGGCTAAATTTTCATTAACTATTTATACAAACGAAAAATTTAGCCATTAATTAATGGCTAAATTTTCATAAAATATTTATACAAACGAGAAATTTAGCCATTAATTAACGGCTAAATAATTCCAATATATATATGAAGACAGCTAAACTTTAATAGCCGTTATTTAACGGCTAACTATTTCCCATTATATAAGTATCATGCATTTTTAGCCGTTAATTAACGGCGAAATATTTGCCGTACATATAAGAATACGGCTAAACTTAGCCGTTATTTAACGGCTAACTATTTCCCACTATAAAAGTATCATGCATTTTTAGCCGTTAATTACCGGCTAAATATTTCCGATATATATATAAATGCAGCTAAACTTAGCCGTTATTTAACGGCTAAACATTTCCCACTATATAAGTGTCATACCTTTTTAGCCGTTAATTAATGGCTAAATATTTTTACTATATAAGTATCATGCATTTTTAGCCGTTAATTAACGGCTAAATATTTCCGAAGTATATAAGGATACAGCCAAACTTAGCCGTTATTTAACGGCTAACTATTTCCCATTATATAAGTATCATGCATTTTTAGGCGTTAATTAACGGCGAAATATTTCCCACTATATAGGTATCATGCATTTTTAGCCGTTAAATAACGGCTAACTATTTCTCACTATATAAGTATCATGGATTTTTAGCCATTAATTAACGGCTAAATATTTGCCATATATATAAGAATACAGCTAAACTTAGCCGTTATTTAACGGCTAAATATTTCCCACTATATAAGTGTCATACCTTTTTAGCCGTTAATTAATGGCTAAATATTTCCTATACATATAAGGATACAGCTAAACTTAGCCGTTATTTAACGGCTAACTATTTCCCACTATATAAGTATCATACCTTTTTAGCCGTTAATTAACGGCTAAATATTTCCTATAAATATAAGGATACAGCTAAACTTAGCCGTTAAATAACGGCTTATTTCCCACTATATAGGTATCATGCATTTTTAGCCGTTAAATAACGGCCAACTATTTCTCACTACATAAGTATCATGCATTTTTAGCCGTTAATTAACGGCTAAATATTTCCGATATATATAAGGGTACAACTAAACTTAGCCGTTAAATAACGGCTAACTATTTCCCATTGTATAAGTATTATGCGTTTTTAGCCGTTATTTAACGGCTAAATACCTCCAAAACATATAAAGAGACTGCTAAACTTAGCCGTTATTAAACGGCTAAATATTTCCAATACATATATGGAGAGGAGGTTATTATATATTGTTGAAGAGGAGGTTAATAGCGATGGGGCTAGGCGGTCCATACAAACACCCCACGATGGAGCTTAATAAAGGGGTCTAAATGCCCCAACCCAGGACAACACCAAAATTGCATTTCCAGTGAATCACCTCCAAATGCCATAATGATAGGAGCCATTATTGTGTGATGAAAACCTGACAGTGAAGCACCCTTCGCAAAACGATCTTAGCCGCTATTTCTTATTATTTACAAATTCCACACCACCATGACAGAAAGGTCCGGGGCGGGTGGGAATTGAGTGAGCCGAAGGAGGTACAACTTAGCCGTTACCTACATACAACCACGGTACGGGATAATCAATTTATCCTTTAATGAATGGCTTAATATATTCCACGTGTATAAATGGGAGTTTCAACTTAGCCGTTAATACACCACACCATAGGTTGTTGTTTTCTGAAGTGATCATTTTTAATCGGTGGTCATTTGATAGTACTAAAGGCGCTTTCCAAAAGTCAGAACTGGGTGGCCGGCCGGACCATGGCCGGACCAGTCATTTCGACATTGAAATAGGCTTTTTCTAAGAATTTTTGCTGAAACACCATCTCCTTCGTGTACACTATAAAAGATTAAATCTTAATCATTGATCACGCTGTTTCAATAAATTACATTTTAATCATGGGTATTGAGTTGCTAGTTTTACTTGTCCCACCCCTTCTTCCATAATAATTATGAGAAAGTCGATCCATCCAATTTTAAACAAAACATTTCTCGCGAGTAGTATACAGTCAGTGTCCTCGCTAAATTTTAGCTCAGCAGGTAAGGGACCATTCATGGACGGTAAGGCAAAAAATATATACTTTTCTAAGAGGGGGTGGGGGGGGAGGGGGGCACAGTGGAGTGAGGGACATGGACCCGCCTTCACTGGGAAATTTTTTATTCCCATATTTTAAGACCTATTTTACGCAAATCTGCTGTCGTTATCTTTAGACAACAAATTAAAACGTTTGATTCCAATAATTTTACTATGTCTCCAAAATGCATGTCCCTAAAAAGGAAAGTTGCATATACAGTACTAGTACAGAACCAAAATTATGCACGCGCAAAAAGTGGCGTAAGAAGTTGCTGCGCCGCAAGAACATGCAAGCCACCGCAAGAAGTGAAAGTGCCGTATTTTTGCGGACCCTTTGTGGTTTACCCGCAAGAACTTTGAAACGAAAGAAGTCAAAAATCTTTACCGCAAGAAGCTAGAAAATTACCGCAAGCCTCAAGAAGGCGCATGAAGTTCTTTATAAGTGTTAACCTGAAAGAAGTTTGTAGTGTTTGTTGCCTTTTTGTGACAACACCGTTTTGTAGCGTTGATACTAATTCACTCTGTGGCAGCAAAAGGTAATCATGAAAGTAAAAAGTTGCCTGGGAATGCGAACAGCTTTCTCTGCTTTTTGTGCAAAGTGAACACTTCAATCGTTTAGTTTTTCCAAAGTTAGATAAAGCGTGTGAGGCGTTTGTTTAACAAAACGATCTGTAGTTTCGAACATTTCGATTATTTGGATCATTTCATAGTACAATACAATAGTCTCGGCAAAACAAACCAAAGGCGTTGAATTTCTGCCCACAAGAAAACATGGGAATTATTATAACTTTATTGCGCTAAGTTGAAAGAGCCATTAGTGAAAATATTCCTTACTTTACTTTAATATGTTTTTTTTCCGAGAGCGCTGAGAGGGATAATTTCCATGTCATTCCATGATTCGGCCTTGCATTTCTTTCCAAATTGAAACTTTTCTTTCCTGGCAAAAGCCCCCCTTCTCTACCACCCTTACTAAAAACCAAATAGACCACACAACAAAAGTCGTTTGCCCATGGCCTTCTCCTGGTTTTATTGGCTTCTGACGTTCTTTATCCTTTGATCTTCCCTCACAGCCATTTTGAATGAAGAGACAAAAAAAACGGCTGTGAGCGAGAGTAACGTCCTAACATAAACACCCCATTTTGGCCGAATCAATTAACGGCTTAAAGAACCAACCGCGGAGCAGTTCTTTTAATGTGGGGTCCGGTGAGAAGGGGGGGGCAAATTTCGTCGTTCTCTTTTTGAGGCCGTTTAGAATTAAATGTCAAATTACTGAACCTCTTCAGCCTCTCCCCCGCGCGGTCCCTATAGTTCGTACATAGTAAGCCGTTATTTAATGGCTAAGTTGAACCTCCTAAAGAATATGGCTAAGTTTGACCTCCCTCAGGTATATATTGGAATTATTTAGCCGTTTGATTAACGGCTAAGTTAAACCTCTATAAACAAAAAGGAATTATTTAGCCGTTAATTAGCGGCTAAGTCTGACCTTCTCTCTAACCTATAGTGGAATTATAACTTCCTACACATATATAAAATGAAATGTTTAGCCGTTAATAAACGGCTTAGTTTAACCTTCTTTCCATATATATGGGAAATATTTAGCCTTTAATTAATGGCTAAGTTTAACCTTCTTTCCATATATATGGGAAATGTTTAGCCGTTAATTAATGGCTAAGTTTAACCTTCTTTTCATATATCTAGGAAATTTTTAGCCGTTAATTAACGGCTAAATGTTACCTACTCTACATATATTAAAGGAATATTTAGCCGTTGATTAATGGCTAAGTTTAACATTCTTTACATACAAGGAATATTTAGCCGTTAAATAATGGCTAAGTTTAACCTTCTCCTTATGTATAGGAAATGTTTAGCCTTTAATTAATCGCTAAGTTTAACCTTCTTTTCATAAATGCTACCCATTATAAATATATAAAAGGAATATTTAGCCGTTAAATAATGGCTAAGTTTAGCTTCTCCTTATATATAGGAATGTTTAGCCGTTAATTAATGGCTAAGTTTAACTTTATTTTCATTTATACAGGAAATGTTTAGCCGCTAATTAATGGCTAAATTTTACCTACTCTATATATATATATAGGAGGAATATTTAGCCGTTCATTAATGGCTAATTTTCACCTACTACATATATAGAGGAAATGTTTAGCCGTTAATTAATGGCTAAATAATTTCTATAAGAAAGAAAATATTTAGCCGTTAATTAATGGCTAAATTCTCGGTTTGTAGAATATACAAAGTGACTTTATGGCTAAATTTTTCTTATAACTACAGTGTGAATTTATTGCAAATTTTGCATTTATACGGTCAATTGAGATTTGTCTAAAATAAGTCCTTGAAATTTCATAATAATTAAAACAAACTATCCAAGCTAAGATCTCACCTCGTATATATTGCACTAAGAAACAATGCTCAGATCTGAATAAACTCCGACATATGGTTATCTTTCTCTCATAGACTATTCCGCACATGCTTGGCATATTATTTTTGAGATGTCACGCGCGACTGAAATCACGACTTCGCGCCGCGGTGATGTGACAAATGCACGTGATAAGCAAACCGTCCTTTGTCCTTTGCTCATTTTCAAATTATTGAACCGGCGGTTGCTCCCGGGCGGTTGCTGTGAGCTTAAATGCGTTTGATTTTACTGTTTGTTACGATCTTACAAAAGTACACTCCAACTCTGCGGATTGTCGGAACACGTAGATGTTGCTTTTATCACGAATCAAAAATGGTTATGACTCCTCAGCGACTGTTATGTACTTTGAAAGGTTCTGGTTCAGGAGAAGAGTCCAACAGTCTAATTGTAAGTATTAAATATACAATGTTACTAAGACGCTTAGATATACGCCATATGAGAAACAAATGAAGGGTAGTAAACATTTATATAGTCGTGCCCGTACGGCAATTTTACTTTTTACAGGATTCCTTGCAGAGACTCGCTGTTTTGTATAAATGATCTCACTCACTTGATGTCACGTCACCGGCCTCTTTCATTCTCGCGTAAATTTATTCGTATGCTGTTCTTTATCAGCCACTAATTAATGTTCAGGCGTAGCCTGCATTAAGCTTCTGATGATATTTGAGTAAAGCCGTGAATATAATAAACAATGTAAGTTACATGCATGTAGATTAATATTTACCGGTAACGTCAGTAACGTTATACCCTTTTGAAGCCAAAGGTTGATAGCCTGTGTACATACCCCCCACCCCTCCCTCCGAGTTTTATTGAGGGAAGGAGTCTGTACACAGGCTAAAGATTGATTTGAGCATTTCTGAAAAATTCCATAAGAATTTCCCGAGAATTCTTAGGGAAATCAACGTAAAGTAATCGGCTAAGAGATAATTCTCTTGAAGTCCTAGCCTAGGACTGTGTGGAGAAATTTCGCCGAGGTAAATCTTGCTTATTCAGGGTAATGTTCGACGGTTTTGTATTCATTTTATTTCATGAATTTAAATGGTATTTCCATCCTGTTTTTGTACTATTTTTATGCTCTTTCGACCGATTTTTATACTGTTTTCAGACAACTCTAAGGCTATGTTCTTACAATTTTATACTGTTTTTGCATTTTTGCATCCTATTTTTGAGGTATTTAATTCATAATATATGTGTGCTATTGCTTTTCTTCTTCTGTGGTATTTTAATACTGTTTTCAAAGTATTTTTATTGTATTTGCAAATACGAGTATTTTACTAAATTTCGAAACCGATTAAACAGCTATTAAAATATATTTTGAAGCATAACATTTTAATAGCGTTTTAAACAGGTTAAAACACCTTTAAAATCAGTCGAAAAATATATCAAAAATATATTTTTGTACCTATTTTAAACCTGTTTTTTTCAAAATACGTTTAAAATTGCCATTAAAAATAGTTTTAAAATAGTATAGTAAATTAAAATATGTTTTTGAAACTGTTTTTATCCTGTTTTTATTCCGATTTATAAGGTATTTAAAAACTGTTTTTGACCTGTTTTGAGCCTTGCAAAAGCCCTGGAATTTTTTATATATTTTAAAAGCATTTTAAAATACTTTAACAATTCTTTTTTAATAGCGTTTTAAACAGGTTAAAACACCTTTAAAAGCAGTCGAAAAATACATTAAAAATACACTTTTTACCCTATTTAAAACCTATTTCACAAAACAGGTTAAAAACAGTTTTCAAAAATAGCTTAAAAATACATTCAAAACAGTGTTGGATTTGGTAAGGGTTGAAGCTTCTGGGAATCGGTAGTGTTATTTTAAAGGGGTTGTGTCCCTGCTGTCGTCTAGTTCATACATTTTGCTTGTATTTGACAATTATTCCACGAGTGCGCCGCGTTGGATATGAGATGGCTATCTACCATCTCATATTCAACGAGCGCGAGTGGAATAATTGTTTTTATTAAAAACGACCTCAAAATATCGAGAATTCTTCCCAACTTTATTGTAAGAACAACCGATTTTCAGCTTGTTTTTAATTTTGAGCAGATGCGTACAGTTACCATATTTAGAGGGCCTGATATAATGGTTCATGATGGCTAAACCAATCGCAGCCCTAGAATTGCATTATCAAACGATTCGTGCCATTTGCACGTCCTTTTTCGCAACGGATCGTAATTATTGACGAATTATTGGTAAATTACAAAATCACAGCTTCATGATCAAGTATTATTAGTATCAAACAATACAGAGGTCAAAAATAAACTTTGATCAAAACTGTTAGGCTAACAAGTTTTCAAAACCCGCAGCTGCATATCCGTTTTAACCTTCTTCTATAGAGTAAAACAATACCAATTAACTGCACTGAAGTACACGTACCAACTTCGCGGTATTTTCTACAGAGTGCCCATCCAGACCTCCTTTTGTATTTGTATTTGCAATTGGCTATATACCTTCCTTTATTGTTTTGAACTATTATTTTTATGTTTCTCACAGTTTGGTTGCAGTTTCCATTGTTTGAATTTTGATGACTTTCGTGACACAGCTCTTTTAACCAAACGTTCTTGGGGCTTAATTACTAGTAAGTAATTTCTTGAATATTTTTTACTTCAGCTCAGGCATTGCCTTGTGGGGAGTACTCCCATAGTTCAATCACGTGTCATTGGAGGCCAGAATGCTAAGCCAGGAGCTTGGCCTTGGCAGGTATGGTTAAAAGTGAATTTATATCTTTCCCCTTAAGCTTATCTTTACGATTCTGAAAATGCTCGCTTTTTTTGACGTACCGTTATGAAATTTCAATCTGGTGAAGGTAAAGTACCCGTGAATGCACTGGCTTTTATGAAATTATCACCACGATGCTTATAAATGGCATAGTTAAAAGAGTGGAATGCTGTTGAAGGCCGCCAGACCCCTTGTTATATGTTTTTGTGGACCTGACGGTGCACGTTACGTTCAATAGCTTTCCAAATATGATTTTGATCTTATTGACCAATATATAGGGAACCCACGCTCTTATTTGTAAACTGCAAATGGAAATCAATTAAGAGATAAAATCTTACCTGTTTTGTTCTATTCGTTAACCTGCTGTGGCGCGAAGTGAAATGGAAGTTGTTTTACCATGCGAAAATAGCCTGTTTCAGGCGTTTAGAATGCTTTATCTGGTCACGCGCCGATTGTCGGTTGTTATTATTGTCTCGCGTTCCATCTTCGGTTATTAATTTATTAACGATTTGAATTACCGTACTCTCTCTCGAATTGTTAATAAATTAATAACCAACAATGAAACGCGAGACGATATTAACAACCGGCGCGTGACAAGCATTGTGAAGTCAACAACGGTTAAAGAGTCGACTTGAACATAGTTTTCGCATCATAAAACATTCTTCCATTTCACTTCGCACCACAGCAGATTCACGAATAGAACAAAACAGGTAAGATTTTATCTCTTATTTAATTTTTATTTGCAGTTTACAAATAAGAGCGTGGCTTCCCTATGACCAATATAAACTGTTTTAGTATTAATTTATTTCGACACAATTTGAAAACAGAAAAGAAAGGATTATGCCCCGTCAGGGAGCATAAACTGCAGCTCCTTTGTTTATATCTTTGATCGATGATGTTTGCCACCTTTCATAACAAGCTAGCTTCCTCAGGGGCACCCAACGAGAATACAGTTCAAAACCACTTAAGCATAGCATTGTTAAACGTATTTTAGTATTTAAACGGTAGATATAGGCATATTTTTATCCCCCCCAAAATTTTTCATCTGTTCGGATTTCCTAGCTGAAAGTCTAGAGATCCGAAAATTATAGGGATCAAAACTTACCTTTTCGAAAATTTCAGCCAGAAAAAAGGCTCCCGAAAATTCTAGGTGACCTTTTTCTAGGGTAAAAATCCGTTTAAAATGGGCAATTATACCAATTTATAGATGTTCGAAAATCCTAGGAGAGGTAGGCAAGCAAGAAATTTTACAAAAAGTGCTCCGAAAATTCTAGATCTCAAATCGTCTTCCGAACAGATATTTTCCGAAAATTGCAGTTGGATGCCCCTGCTTCCTCTACTAACTATTCTCAGTTGCCGAAATAGAGCAAGGATATTTTCATACTGATAGACATCCCATAATTCCTAGCGTTATTTATATTACCATCTTATTTCTTCTTGTGTGCATTTTTGTCTATTAATATCTCAGAGCGCGGTCAGAGAACCACCCTAGGCCTCCCATCCCCAAGGCATTACGCGATGTACTGTGTTCAATGTTTGCCAATGTACGGCTGTCCACTGTACCTGTGGACTGTAGTGACCATTAACAACCCTCCATATCTCATCGTATATTCATGTATTCATGTGTATTGTAAGTAGTTAGAATATGTTAATAGGGAAATGGCTACTTGGAAGATCCCAATGCGTACACCAATTGCCCTTTGTGGTGATAGTCACTTCTGACGTCTATAGACTCCTTCTGTTCAACATTGTTTTAAAGCTACCTCGACAGATTATTATGGAAACAAAATGATATATAAAAAGCTCAAAGCCCAGCAGCCATTTAATAAGCTACATGTAGTAATTTTTTGTATTCTTTTGCAGATCGCTTTAAAACGTTATGGCCGCTTCATTTGCGGAGGGTCGCTTATTTCTAGTCAGTGGGTGGTAACCGCTGCTCATTGTGTGGCAGGAAGTTCGTAAGTGTCTGCATTCTCAATCCATTTTTTTACCACATGTAAGGGAATCCGGATTTCAAAATCCAAGAAGTTTTTGCTCTTGGAATCCAAAATCCAGGGCTCTGCAATCGCGAATACGGCTCAACGAAGCTGGAATCTCATTAATGATTGGAATCCGCAATCCAAGTTCCACTGACAAAGACCTAAATCCAGCGGTACCTGGAATCGGGACTCTAAAGCGTGGAATCCAGAATCCAAGACTGTCTTGGATTACCGTTATGCAATAATGGCTTTTAACTGTATCCCTTAAATTGGGTGACATCTTTATATGCATCAATGACGAAATCTGAAATCTTAATGCATTCCAGTATATTTTTTCACTTAAATTATTATTATTATTACTATTATTATTATAGTAAGTTAGTGACGGCATATAAAAGCTCGATTAGTTGTATGGTTTATCTCTTCTTATTGCTGAGACATTTTCCGTATTATACTCATTTTTTTGTTGTAGGAATCCCTTAAGTTATAAAATCGTGGTCGGCGATCATAACAGGAACATAAACGAGGGAACCGAAGAAGAAGTTGGCGCCAAAAAAGTAATCTCGCATCCAAATTATAACAGTCCACGTCTAAGCAGTGACATCGCGTTGATTCAGCTCTCCTCGCCCGTGAAGCTCTCTCAGCGAGTTAATCCTATCTGTCTGCCCAATCATGACTCAGATGTCCCTACAGGATCAAAATGCTACATCACAGGTATTTGAAACGAAGACCTTTTTCTACAAGAAGTCTTCAGGGTTTTAACTGTGAAGTTTAAAAAAATAAAGTAAAATTAATTACATATTTCAACATTTTTTTCTGCCCTCAAAGAGCAAAGCCATCTTACACGACATCGAGAGATGCATGGCGAAAATCATGTTTGACAACTTCGGAAGTCTTAAATTTTCTATAATGAACACAAATATGCGAACTTCATTGTCTCAGTTCCCTTCAACTTTCTGGATGGGTAAAAATAAAACAACAACAACAACAACAAAAATGATAGGGAAGAAGGAAGAAAGGCCGTGATTACGTTTGGCTGTTCAGCGTGTGCGTAATGACACGCATAGACCATTTTCATAATGGCGGATAATTAATATATTATTTTATATGTATGACAATTAGCCTTTCTGAACTCGTTTGAAAGTAAGGATTCTTTTGTATTTTTCACATGCTAACGAGGCCAGAAGGCTAATTATCACACACTAAAAGAATATATAAATAGAGCTCCATTATTATTCAGCAGTCAAACAGCCTTTAAAGATTTACCAACTTTTTTCTTTGAAAAAAACTTTATTTTTTTTCTGACTTGCCCTGTTGTATAAGAGTGATAATTAGCAGATTAAATAGGCATAAATTTAATATTGATTAAGAAAACTAAGTTTACTTACTAACCTAGCTAAAAGCAAATTAAAAAACTGTGAGAACATTTTTCGTATTTTCCAGGTTGGGGAAAGATCAAACATCCGGGAAGTTCATATCATATTCTACAACAAGCCATGATGCCTCCTATTGACAACGCAAAATGCAGACAAAAGATACAGAGTTCTGGAGGTATGTTCCAAAGCGTTGCATATTGTCCTACTCGTCTGAAAAAAACTGAAGAGGATAATCAGATAGGCCCTTTAGGTCCTGAACTTAAACACGTCCCCTTGAAATTAAAGACGTCATTTAACTCCCAGGCCCGACTCGGGAACAGGAATGATTCATAAAAGGCTTTGCGCTAATCCAGGATTAAAATTTGTTCCACTCTTTGTATTTACCTTCCTATCTGTTGCCTAGAGTAACATTTTGTGTTACCATTACTGGAGCTGCCGCTCGAGTTACATGTTCTTAAAGAGAAGAAACTGACCCGCGTTTAAATTTAGCTCTAATCTTGGGTCAAACTTAACCATCTTTCGAGGGACTGTGGCCAGGAAACGTTCTTACAATTGTCAAGTTGGATGAGCTAAAATGATCGCAAAAGAAGTTTGAAAACGTGCCGTTGTAGTTTACCACGAGCTCGTCAACTTCCTTATTATATCACAAAGCACCACCCATTTGTATGTATCCTAGTGAAGGAACAATGTTTCTTGTCCCCCACAGAAAACAAAGCAGTGACGCACTCAAAATCCAAATCTTAAATCTGTAGTCCGAAATTAACAATCCGCGCCTGTAACGCGAACTCGACTGAAATAGGGCAAATGGTATTCATTTCTATTGCGTCTTTTTCTCAAGTTTCACCTACACCGATATATCTTTAAGTAAATATAAAATACCTAACTCGCTATTTTTATATCTCGATAGTTGCTATAAGCCTGACTCCACAAATGCTGTGCGCCGGGGTGGAAAATACCATTTTAAGTGGTTGCCATGGTGACAGTGGAGGCCCATATGTGTGTCTAAATGCCGATGGGAAAACGTACACTCTTCACGGAGCAGTCAGTTGGGGATCTGCACGATGTGATGCCAAACAGTTGTTCTCTGTGTTTGCACGAGTGACTCAATTCCGAGCTTGGATAAAAACTCATACCGGCCTTGGAGGCGGGGGCTCAGGTTTGCAGCTCTTTAAGTCGCGATTATTTTAACCACAATGTACAGACGATAAGAGAACTGCCTATTTTCAAACGATAATCACGATAGATAAGCGAGTCCTGCACAGTCAGGGCTCGTGGTAACGTAGATTTGCAGGTTGTAACTTTGTAACTTTGAAATTAGGTGGAATTTGTGTTTTTTCTAATAGACCCTTCCACCTGTCCACCGTTTTTTTCAACTTTTGACATGGACAAGTTAAGGAGAATCTAGAAAGAGCGCCTTAAAATTAGTAAAATTGCCAATTTTGAAAGTAATTTGTTGAAAACTAACGGAGATATTACATCTCAAAGTCTCGAAATTTCACAGAGGTTTGTGTGGTGGGGGTACAAACTTGCCCCCCGCCCCCCTCCCACCATACGGACGTCTGTAAATTTTTCGCAACTTTCCGGAGCTATATCTTCGCAGGGGCGAATCTAGGGGGAGAGTGCAGGGGGTGTGCCCCACCCCCTTAGACGACGTTCGGTTTTCTAATACAACTGGTATTCTGCACAAAAAAAAACTATGTGGTTTATTGGTGTTGAAGTAGAGCAGGAGACGAGTGCACCCCCTCATAAAAAAAAAAAATTCCTGGATCCGCCCCTGCTTCGCTTGCTTAGGCGGTATCACTTTCAAATTTGTCAGTTTTACTAATTTTTGAGGCACTCTATCCAGTGGTGTTGACGGATTTTCCCAGCTGGTCCATGTCAAAAGTTAAAAAATCGTGGAAAGGTCTCTTGTCTATCGACCAAAAATAGGTGTACAAGGTGTACGCCATCCTCGTTTCTAGAATCCTGGGAACGTGGTTGGGTGGGCGAAATGGATCTTCCCGCTATCTTGCAAAATAATTTTCTTCTCGTGTCCGCCAATTAAGTTAATTGCTTATGTCCAAGGAAAAATCAAAGTAATTATTAATGTTAATCTGATGATTTTAATAGGATCACCTCCACCTCCACACACACCTCCCATTCCTACAACTCCAGCCGGGAAACTTGGTAAGAATTAATTATTTAATCGCATATATCAGTAATATAAGACTTGGAGCATTCACTTTCGAATATCTTCGCTCTAGCTCCGCGACAAAAATTGCGCCGAAATCACCGTTCTTATACATGTATGTGATTAGATGCCCTCTCTAGTATGTTTTTTTTGTGCCAGCACCCCTAGCCTTAGTCGTAGTAGTGCTTAGCTGTTGATATTTGCTCAGCGAATAACTAAATAAACAGGTGCGTAGCTAACTGTTCGTCGATACGAATGTGAGTACCTGAAAATTGTCAAAGACTGATAAAAACAACTGCAAAAATAGAAAGTTGCAGTAAAGAAACATTAAAGAAGAGCAAAATATTTAATGAGTAATTGAGGACGAAAAAATGCAAACACCTAAGTAATGTAATTCTTCTCCATAGCTAGTGTTTTCCCCAATTTGGAAAAGTCGCAACTACTCCGTGTACAGAACATTGCCCTAAAATCAAAAGAGAGGTGATTACAGACAAAAGGGTGTTGATTATGACAACAAATGCAAGTTAATAAAAAAAGACTTCGAACTAGACAATCTGACTTCAGAATAAGTCATTATTAGAAGTTTAGATAATGTAAACCATGAGTTGCAGCTACTAATGTTACGTTTTCTTGCCCCAGTTTTCAGTTGTGACTTTAACAAACTTAAAGATCTGTGCGGATTTGTTCAGTCAAAAAATGACAAATTTAATTGGACCCAGCGATCAGGATCAACTCCGTCTGTCAATACCGGACCAAGCGCAGATGTCTCTAAGAGTGGTAATTGAATAATTTAAGTTATTAGCTCTTTAAAAGATCCCGTAAATACGAAAATGACAATACATGTAATTGCCAATCATGGAAAATGCTACAATGGTTTAACAAGTTATTTTTGCTTGATGTCTCTTACGCAAACTGTCGTCCATTGTAAACTGCCAGAATGTAGCACAAGGACGCAGAAACGAACGAAATGTTGTAGCAACCAGTTAGCTTATAGTAACAGATCAGATTTTCCGTTAGAAGTCTCCCTGGCAGCCCTCTTTAGTGTCGTCACGCAACGCTCCTGCTGCGTGACGACACTAAAAGCGACTGCGAGGGAGACAAATTTTCCTTTGGATTTCAACTCATGCAAAATATTCCAAACAGAAAAATTTATATGTGAAAAAATAAAATTATATATTGTACTTTCAATTTCGTCAGGGAAATACGTATACATCGAGACTTCTTCCCCTAGAGTTCAAGGAGATAACGCAATTCTGGTCAGGAGTGGTCTGTCATTCAGCCCCAAGAAATGTCTATCTTTCTATTATCACATGTATGGCAGCTCAATGGGAACACTTAATGTCCGCGTTGGTAACAGTACGATATTTACAAAGTCTGGTAATCAAGGAAATAAGTGGATTAAAGCCTCGGTTGAAATCAATAATCCTGACCCTGGAGCGTCAACGGTAAGTGTAAACGGTTCGTAGTTTCTTGATGAACAACGCGGACGGGTGCAATCACCAAATAACAAAAGATCACCAATTACAAAAAAGATTGACAATACAACCCCGCTAACTCGAACTCTGAAGGGAAACCAAAAACAGTTCGGGTTATCAGGGTAATTTTTAGTGATGTTTTGATCAGCGCAAAGTAGTTCGAGTTAGCGGGGAATTCGAGTTACCTGGGTTCGAGTTATCGACTGTACAATGAACATTATAGCCACACCACAACTAGTATTCCAATATACCCTGTATAACTCTTATGTACCCTGGTATAATTAAACCCATGATGTATACCTGTGTATTCTTTACTGATACCCTCTACATCATTGTGTATCCTGTTAAACCCATGTACCCGGTCACCCCAGTCAAAACTCTGTTAAGCCACGTATACCTTAGTATTCCAGTATACACTCTGTACTCGTATCCCGGTTACTTTATGTATACCCTTGTATTCATAAATAACATGTATACCCTTAGGCACACTGTTTACCTATGTATACCCACCCAAGCGAACCAACAGTGGTTTCCGAAACACCAAAAACACATCACTCGGGCCGGGTGAATGGTATAAAATTCCCGCACAGCCTAAGCCATACGTTTATCACGCATTCACTCGTCAACTCGTAACCCTTACTGTTCGTATACGCTCTTCGTTTTTTTTTTGTTTAATAAATATTATCCGCAGTGCCAATTTGAAGTTGTACCAGTAAGTAATTATTAATTGGACACTCAGGCTTTGAAGAAGTCTTAGTGGAGGACAGTAAAATTAATTTAATAAATTTAATTTAATAAAATCATGACTAAACAAATAAATTAAATGAGAGTATTTTGACAGAGTAAGATTTTTTTTCAATTTTCGGGAAAAAATAGTCATTTTCGTCAATGATCTTCATGACCCTTCTTAGCTGATATTCGAAGGAATACGTGGACGCATTTTTACGGGGGATGCTGCAATAGATAACGTCGAACTGAGAGAATGTGGAGGCGGCGGAGGCGGAGGTGGCGGATGTGGTAAGTTAAATCGTATTCTCTTTAATAAGCCCCCAGCTCCCAGTCCCCCCATTGTCCGCTTTCACAATGTTTCATTATTAAATTCCCAGTTTGTAATAATGTGTTATTGAACTTATACTTGACTCTCAAGTAAAAACTATCACAAACAAGAACTGACCAATGTTTTGTTTGTCTGGTTTTGTTTTTTGTTTTTGTTTTTATTTTTTAGGTCAAACAACAACCGCGCCACCAATCAAACGTATGTTTTAACTTGGAAGTATATGACTATATATCATGATAACTAGGGTTATGACGGAAGGCCTGTTATTGTCACTCTGATATGATTTATACTTTAATTTATCTTTACGGTTTGCTGAGGTTATTTATAGAGATGAAGCACCGCGTATTTTCTTTTCCCGCGAACGGTAGAGAGGGTCACATGATCTAACTTTTCCTGCGTTTGCCATTTGTCGGCCGCCGTTTCAACGCGAGGAGGACATATTTCCCGTTTGAAGAAAACGCGAAAACGCGAGTATTTGCAGCCCATTTGTACCGACCTTTTCAATCTTCTTTTAGACCTCTTATTTTTATAGATGTGCCCTCGTTTATCATCCTTCCTCCAGGTCTACATGTACTATTTGTAAAGCTAAAAGAGTTTTAACCCATTCGCCCCTGAACCCCCTTAACCGCCCGTGCGGATCCATGTCCTTTCTACCCTTTGTGACGTCATCAGTTTTAACGGTCAAGGACAACTTTGTCCGCTAACTTGTGCAGAGTGAAGAGATCTTTCAAACCATACCAGAATGACTACAATTCAGTCAAGGACACCGGAGAAAGGGGCAAAAAACCATGTAACATTGACCTGAAAACCTCCATGAAAATCTTGTTCCATTGCCCACCTACCCTTCCTTTCACCTAATCCTAAGATCCTGAAAGCTTTCCTAAAAACTATTTCCACCAAAATGAAGCCTACTAAATGCCCAGCAAGAGAAAAAAAAAATGAGGCAAGAAAAGCGAAAAAAGAGGGGAGGAGAGAAAGCGAAAAGTAAAAGTCAAGACGGCTGTGTCACTTTTTAAATCCCAAAACTCGAAATTTTGCTTTCTGCGCATGCCCGAACTTCGCAAGCTGATATTTTGCATCTGGATCAGAAGGACATGTAGTGTACGAGCTGTAAACCGGTTTGTGGTAAGTCTTAGCTCTTTATAGCACGACAGTGACCAGAAAACCACTCGACTAGCTTCAAAACGCGTTTTTCGGCAAAATCTCCAGGAGCGAATGGGTTAAGCAAAGTACCACACTTTTTGAAAAAAATCCACTTTTCAGGATAAAACAACCAAATCTGTCTATTTCATGTCAAATCAGGTGAGAAAGTTGGTAAAAGGCCATTTTTAGGTTTTTTGATTAAATTCGAGCGAAAAAGATGACAACTTCTCTGTATACTTTTTTGTCTAGTCACAGGGAATGGCGACCAAGAATATTTGCCGTGTATCATACGTATCAAAGACGAGGAGTTAAAAATATGTACAAAAATTGTCTATATTATTTAAAAATTAATTAGGTATGTTAACTAAATGTTTCCAGGTCTTAATTTTTATTTTAAACAGAGTAAACGTATTTACTTAGTTTTAAGGCCTCTCGGATGTTAAAAAAATAAAATAAAATGAACAAATCATTGTGTTTAATACTCTAATCAACACGTTACTTTACTAGCATTCAGCTGTAACTTCGACAATTCAACGTGCGGCTTCGTACAGGCCAAGAATGATACGTTTGACTGGACACGAAGATCAGGAAGCACTCCGTCTTCACTGACCGGACCATCTTCTGACCACACGTCAGGCAAAGGTTGGTATAATAGAAACATACCTTCAGTAAATTAATGAGTGACTGGTGCATCAAGAGCCTCTTCGTTGTTAACTTACCTGCTTACCTGGGTAAAATAGAAGGAGATGGTGGCCGAGTGCGCGCGAGGTAGTCTTCCCTAAAAACTCCGCTGATGTCTTTCCTCAAAAGAACGCTTTTTGATTCACGACTTTAAAAGCGAGAAGGAGCCGAAACGTATCCCACAATTGCTTGTGGGATCGTTACTGGGGACGCGCCCTCAGCTACAGGACAATTTTTCCCCTGTCCCTAATAGCAATCCCAAAAGTCTTATCGAAAGTTAACTTGGCCCAAAAGTTAACTCGTTTCCAAATAACCTACCACGAACAAACAAATGTTCAAAAATGTTACACCTTAGTATGAAGTGTCTCCTTCCTCAGTTTGGAGAAGTTTCTAAGTTTAAAAATAATTATGATGCAAAATACTTCTATTTTCTACTTGTAAAGGAACATGTTAACAGACAACGTTCGATATATTAAAATTCTGAGGCTTTCAGTGGTCATTTTTCTAGGAATTGCGAGACAGTGGAGTCGTGAAAAATTTGTAATTTTGTCCATAAAAGCCTCAGAGTCATGTTAGAATTTTAATACGGTATATGAAAGGTGAGCTATTTCATTTCCTCTGCAACTGAAATGTGCTCAAAGTGTTTCTGCTCAGCATTAAATTGTTGAACTGCGATTTACGAACTTGCTCCAATGAGCAGCATTGCTCGCCAATATTGAACCTGTAAAAAGAGTTAATCCGCGGTATCTTTTCTCAGGGTACTACATGTACATAGAAGCATCCTATCCCCGAGTGAAAGGCGATAACGCAATATTGGAAAGACCCCTGTTGACATTTGGAGGGAACATGTGTTTTAAATTCTTTTACCATATGTATGGTGCAACTATTGGAAGCCTGAGAGTCAAGATCGGTACCCAAACAGTGTTCACAGCAATCGGTCAAAAAGGCAACAAATGGATCGAAGCCGCTGTAAACGTACGTTTTAGCGGAAAATATCAGGTAACACATATTTTTTGCCTTTTATATAAGCGGCGAGATAGAGTCATAGTAAAGATTCAGCAGTAAACACTAAAATGACTGTTCCCTCAGGAAACAGTTAATTTCCCGAGAATCTCATTGTTTCGCGAGGCAGAACCGAGAAAACATTGAGATTCGAGGGAAACAAAATTAACCGTTTCCCAAGGGCGCAGTCCGCTTTAAGTTATTTGTTATATAGCCCACGAAGAAAAACTTTTTCGTGTACAAATGCGAAAGAGAATTGTTTCTGCGATAAAGAGAGAAAAAATCTTTTTATTTATGTTAATACAGTGTCAAATAATCTCAATTTTGCTTTGTAGAGGTCTTTCTAAGTTAATTATTAACGGTAAATCAGGGAGAAACATGGAGGCGGTACTCCTGTACACGACACAAGTGATGCCAGCTCTCAAACAAGTGAACTTCCTTTCAGTTAAAAACATGTTAGAAGAAGGCTTATTAGGACATGACCACATCACACTGAATACCACAGCATATTATGCAACCAAGCAACAGATAGATAACCGGAAGTTTCAATTCATGAGCCGACGACAATCGTATTACATAAACTATCGTTCAAGCCGTAAAAGAAAAAAAAAAGTACTCAGCCAACTGGAAATAAAAAGGTCATCTATGAAAACGATAATTTTTGCTTTGAAACACCGATTAACAGTCAAGTAACTGATGGCTTGCACATCAATCTTACTCGGAGCCCCCGGAAAAAGACTCAAGAGGCCACCCCTACCCCCCCCGGAAAATTGCCTCCTTTTTGACCGTCCCTCCCCTTTCGAATTTCCGTTGCCCTCCGTGGAAGGCGGATATGGATATTATCTGGAAGTACACAATCTCAGTATTAGGTCATAACCCAATGTCTTCTATTGATATTGTCGACTGGTTCGAGCTGATTTATAGTAACTTTTGTAGATATCATTTGAAGGCGTGAGAGGTAGCAGCTACGCTGGTGACATCGCAATCGACGATGTTTCCTTGGTACCTGGATCTTGCTCGTCAGGTAAGTTTCTTTCTTGCTGAATCTCTAGAACCGACCAGGGATTAAATAAACGAAAGATATTTGCAAACCAAAGAAATCATATTAACAGCAACGACCGACTTTGAAATTTCCCATCACGTAAGAAAATTATACCTTGTATAAAATCTGTGACATACTAATTTCACTCCACTTTTGTTTCTAAACCTGTGAAGATGGTAATGTTACGCGGGACGATTTGCAACGACGATTTTTAACGCAACACAGAGTTGCAATGCTGGAACAATGTTCTAACCATTCGAAACAATGTCGCAACAATGCTGCAACGCTGTGTTGCGCTGAAAATCGTCGTTGCGAATCGTCTCGTGTAACTTCACCTTAAAAGAATGATCAGGCCGGCTTCTATTTGAGCCCTTAATAGCGGAGCTCTCTCTCGGGCGCGCAGCGGAGCACCATGGGTAAGACAAATTGGAAATCCATGACCAGGGCGGATCGCCCTGCCCATGACGCCAGAACGGCCGCCGTCCGTGCACCCACTACATGTAAGTCGATGATAATTATTTATAAATGTGAGGTTATCAGTTTGGCGGGGAAGCGCACCGGCATCTTGTGAAGCAAAGACAACTAAAGAGTCAAGAAAGACGAAAACGGACAAAGGAAAATGTTTCTGTATCTGTCCGTGTTGTCTAAAGTATAAGCTTTAATTAATTGTCATGCCTAAAAATTTGGAATATAGAGAAACAGAAAGACAGAGAAAAAAGAGAAAGTAGGGCGACAGGCCAGCGAAGCTCAATGAGAAAAAGAGCTGGAGCGAGAGAGAAAAAACAAAGGAGACATTTTTTGTTGGAGGAACAACATGAAATTTTGTAGCGGCGGTAAGAAAATGAGAAATGCTTGGGTCCACCAGGGTGCAATGAGCGACGTGAAAAAAAAAAGTGAACAAAAACAAGTACGACCTTTCCCCCAAAAAAACGTGTAACCAGGAAGTTTCTGAAAGTTTCACGCCGTAGTCGTACAAAACAACGGCAAAGAAATGTACAAAAAAGTGTGCTGCACTTTCAAAATTGTTTTCTTGCTAATTAGACCTGTTGCTGTTTTTTCACCGTTCTCGTGGGCTTCGCCGCTTAGCATTACACGATTTTATATGTTGTTTCACAAGCAAACTATAAATATTATCGAGAACTTTGCTTATGGCCTGGCTAAATGTATAAATTAAGGATTTTCTAAAGAGCCGTGTATTTAATTTTGCATTGGTGGATGATAAATATCTCCACTTGCCTTTTTTTATCACGAATTTTTAACTCGTTCGTAAGATTGCTCGTTGCATTAAAATAGTAATCACAGTATGGTGTATCGTATCGCTCCTCGCCGCGAGTCGTTTAGATCCCACCGTTACTCCACCACGTAGGTCAACAAAACTTTTATCGCACTAAGAAGTAATCGGAGAGATGGGCATGGTTCAAATTAATTTCAGTTTCTTTTGTGACGCTTTCTTTAAAAAAGTTAAGTTAAGAAAACATACTTCAGTTGAAAGGACAAAATGATGACCAATGCAACTTCCCTCTATTCCAAAGGTGACCAAACACAAATTAGTCTTGCGATTCCCACATTCGTCTACCGCAGTTATTCGTAAGAAAAAAATTTATTTTAATTAATAACGTCTGTTTCAGGCTTATGGCAACTGGTTTTGCCAAAGTGCTCTTGTCTTTAGATGACTTTTAATTTTCCCATAGTATTCAATCTTGACTTTGCTTTGTCCATATATAAATTTAACAAACGTTTCAACTGTTTCAGTCACGACTTATGCTGAAATACAATGATATCTTGAAGTCGGACCACTCCATACTCTCATATCGCTTTTCTTTATTTCCATGAATAGTGTAGAATATACTTTAATTTGCCTTCACTTTTTTTAAGGGAGCATAAAAGTACAAAGAAATGTCACTTGACAACTTGAGAAAACAGCCGGAATTTTGTGACGCCACTGACCACTGGTTACAAAAGTCTGAGAAAAGAGCGCAGAAATTCCGGACCAATGACGTGTCACTACTGAGACCTTCCAAGTGTTTCTGATTGGTCGTGCATCGTTGGCCAATCAGAAGCAGCACTAAGATCTTGGTAGTGACGCGTGAGTTCTCAGACGTCATTTCAGGGGAAAACTAATGGTAGATTTTCTCATTTCCGTTTCTATCCCTACATTTGTGAGAACACTTATTGATGTTCGTCCTGAAAAACAGGTTATTTGGCAAATAATAATTTCCATCTTTTAAAAAGCACATTTATACCACAAAAATAACCAAGAGAGGATATCACTGCTCCCAGCCCGGGTTAAGATGATCTACAGCAGTAAAAGAGTAGTAAGACCAGTTTTGATTTGAGCCCGTAGTATAAGGATTTGGCAGGGGTCATATTGAGCCGGTGTGTATCCATTTTCTGCACAGTTCTAAGGATAGTGAATTTTCCATCGTTGGTTTAACTCGTTTTCATTTCTTTTGAATTGTAGTTACTCCACCACCACCATCAACACCGGCACCTCCAACCCCATCCGGTATGTATCAGTCTGCGGCCCTTATATCAGTAGTATTCTCTAGAAAACTTTGTTAGTCGTCTGATTAAAGATGAAACCTGTCGTGTGAACAACAGCCACGAAAGAAATCAAAAATGCAATATACAGTGGTCCAAAAAGAGCCAATCAATGATTCACAGCAGCTCAGAATCCAACAGCTATATATAAATCGGGACGCCAAAAGATGGTGGTTAACACAGTTTTTAAATGACTGGAATCCTTCATCATTGATCAATCCAACCACAGTCTGGGAGTCCTTTCCAAGTTTTGACTGCAGTATGAATGAAAGTCCTATCAGTTGCCATGTGAAGAAATTGTTCTCAGTAAATGTTAATTGATTGCACTGCTCATTTCAGTTGGTACTCCGCCACCACCACCTCCAGGAACTCCTCCACCACCAACAGGTTGTCCTGGAGGTAATGCCCCATCCATTAATTTTACCAGATTTGCTTTGTTTTTGAGCACCAGTAGCCTCAAACACGAGCATGAGCTCACCTTTATTTGGTCAAATACCTAGCTAACAGAGACATGAACATTATCTTTACTTTACCAAAATTTGCTAAAAACGTGTCTTAACCCTCGGACATAGACACCAATTCATACTCCCACCGTGGTACAAACCCCTCCCCGGAGTTTTTTATATGTTGCAGCATTTTGAAACGATTTTACCTTTAGTAGAAAGCCTTTGATCTTCTTAACAAGAAAGGTATATTCTATTCCATTGATGGGGGCGCTGCTGGAGGCCTGTAAGGTCACCAACAATGGTCGCCATCTTGGATTTTTTTTAAAATTCTTTTCAATTTTAGTTACTCCATGTCCACCACCCGGTATGTGTATTTTCCGTCATAAATCATGCACTTGTAGTCTTAAAAAAACCTCGTTTGTAAAGCTAAAAAGGATTAATGTTTTAAGCTTTTACAAAAAAGTTCGTTTAGGGCATTACGTTAAATACTAGTTATCAAAAAATTAATGAATTAATAGACACAAGTCCGAGACAAAAAATGTTTTAAATACAATGCAAGTAATTATCATTATATGGATAAGTTCACTGACTATAGCATTTGATAGGTTTTTCTATCTTCCACTTGGTTTTATTTCTTTTTGATTAAGGAACATCTTACAGCAAAGAGCCTAAAAGTATGACCGCTTTGATTTACTCACATTCTTTCGTGCAGATTTAATCCAATCAGAAGCCAGCTGAAAACTGTCCTCGACTTCTGACTGGTTAATCTCTTCATGAAAGAATGTGAGTTAATTAAAGGAGGTTACACTTTTGGGCTCCTTGCTGTAAACATGCTGTAGTGGTTCTTGTGGTGGCCTTCCAAACGAGATTGTTTTAAGGTGTTGCTTAAATTTCAAGCAAGGGGTGTGGCCTTATGGAGAGCCATACCACTTACCACTTCTGGGTTTCATTATAATAAATAAGCTCAATTTCGGTTGGGTATTGTGGTGTGCCTTAGCTACTCTTTGAATTTTTCTTTTTTCTGTGTTTCTCTGTCATCTTTCTTTTTTTGGAAATATCTTTCAGATAGTCTAGACTTCCCAATGGAAACCGACTTTGTTGACTGTAGCAGAATACTGCTTACAATGCTACTTGTATGATCTGTGGTCTGACACTTAGATAGTGAGAAGGTATGAAAACTCACCTTTGGTAACACACTTTGTTACACTTTCTTGTTTATTTGTTTTAGCAATCACATGCAACTTCGACGTATCAATGTGCGGCTTCCAGCAGGACAAAAATGACAAGTTTGACTGGACTCGACATAAAGGAGCAACACTATCTTCTGGTACTGGACCTTCTGGTGATCACACCAGTGGAAAGGGTAAGCTTATCAAAGTTGATCATTTTCAGGAAACAATCATCAAATATACAAATAAATAAATTCTGAATTGAACTAGGTAAACAATCGAGGAAAAGCTGAGCTCTTTTCTAAACTTGAGGCTTTCCTTGGGTAGGGCGCGAGCGAGTCTCCTTCTCGCGCGCCCGTTTTTTCTTGTGCCCACTACTTCCAAGCGCCTGCTTCGCAGGCCAAGATCTGCTTAATTCTTCATATCCTACGATAGCCGAATTCATTAATTGCTAAATAATTAAGGCCCCGTCCACACGTATCCGTTTTTGTTTAAAAACGTAAAATTTTCCGCTGGTTTGGCCTACCGTCCACACTTATCCCGTTGGCAACTGTCACCGAAAACGCATCTTATCAAAAACGCTCTCTAAATTGAAGATTTTTGAAACCTTTGCCTTCTTGTCTACGTAAGGACAGGCGAAAACGTAGGTTTTCAAATACGATGATGTTATACATCATATACCACTTATAAGCTAGCATTAGGCATGCGCTGCGAGAAATGCAATCGTATTTCCATATGCGTTTCATGTGGAAAAGCGACAATGATTTGGATACACTACGTGTGGAAGCGTACTGTTTTTTTAAAAAAGAGGAAAAAAAATCCGTTTTCCAAAATATTTGTGTGGAAGGAGTAGGCTTTTGTACATTATGCTAGCATTTTTTCGAGCATTTTAGTGAGGCAAAAGCATTGAGCATTATTCGAGCATTTTAGTGGCATTTTCCCCGGAAAATTAATTTTTCCGAGAAAATAAAATAGAAATTAACTTTTTGCAGGAGCCCATGCCCCAATAGCCTCCCACGCAGGCGTTTTTAGGGGAGCTCGTTTTTCATCCCTGTGGGGAGGGATGAAAAACGAGCTCCACTAAAAACGCCTGCGTGGGAGGCTAATGCCCCAAGAGCTCCTGCGTTTTTAAAGAAAATGAAGAGTAAAACTCAAAATTCACAAAAAACCTAATACAGCTGTTTTTTTTGGCTGTATTTATGAACTTGTACACGTTGTAGTTGTTACTTGCAACACTTGCACGTTTTTGTAAGTGTAAACTTTGAAATTAATTTAAAAAAAACCTTTTGTATAGAGAGCATTATCCGAGCATTTTAGTGACTTTTTTTGGAGACCGAGCATTTTAGTGGGAAAAATGGAGCATTAAGGTGGAGCATTTTAGTGGGGAAGCAAAAGCATAATGTACAAAAGCCTAGGAAGGAGCCTAAATCATTCAGTACCTATTACAGTAAATATACACGAGCTAACGAGTGCTTTGTACAATAAACACAATAAAATCTAGGTTGGTGAACGTATGTTCTTACAATGTTTGATTTTTTTTTATTGCGCACTGTTTTTTTTATAGACTTACTATCTTTCTCTCCTTAGGTTATTACATGTACATAGAAACATCCAGTCCACGAGTGCAAGGTGACAACGCTAAATTAAAAAGTCGTCCACTGAAATTCAGCGGAACCATGTGTCTTAGCTTCTATTACCATATGTACGGTTCAGATATTGGGAGTCTAAAGGTCAGCATTAATGGCAAAGAAGTTTTCAGCAGAAGTGGTAACAAAGGCAACGCATGGCTTAAGGCTAGTGTATCTATTTCCTCTATTGGGGGAAGCCATCAGGTGAGAGATGTTTCGCTAGGCAAAACTGTGTACTTAAGTGGTTATAAGAGACCGTGTGGGCGCGTGGTTAGATTGTAGCAAGGTGTATGTACTTCCAATTAGCGATGTTGTTCAAAAGGTAGAACATTGTCTCTTTGTATTTCTTAATCTTTCAGTTCTTATTCTGCACGAATGGTCAACGAATTCAGGTTTATTTGTAACTGTAAAATGTAACGTTATGTAACTGACATCTGCTGTAGTTGTTGTAGCATACGTCAGATGGCAGATGGTGTGGAATAAGGAAACGAAGAGTTAAAACCTTTTGCGAATAACTCTTCTATGGATAAACGTAGTTCGAAACCATTTGTTTGTGTATAGACACTGTAGGATTCGCTATAGATAACCGAAATTCCTTGTGCTGTTAAAAAGAAACATATGGACACTCAATGATACAACTTTCCGTTAAAGTGATTCTAGATCTCTCTTAGTAATCAGTTCTTCTTAACCCTCGGACGAACATTCAAATTCATACCCCCACCGTGTTACAAGGGGGAAGGGGGGTGGATGGATCCCCCCCGCCCCCTAGAAATGCACGAACTATGAGCGAGGTTTGTGATAGACTAATCACTAACAAACACGGTGGTAAAAATAGTTCGACTCAGTAAATCCACACTATCGCCTGATGAAGACCTGCAGCAGCTAGGTCCGATTGTTGTTCGATGGAATCGGCAATCGAAAACAATCGAACTGGAACTTTGCGGTGAGTCCACTGTCCCTGTTGATATTGTTAGTGTGAAGTCTGATATTATGTGCATACCCTCCTTAACTCTACGAGATTACCAGTGAGGGTCTCGGTCAATAAGTTTAACTTCGTCCCAGAGCAGATAATGCTCTGTCTTATTGGCGTGTTCAGAAACGGCCGAAGTTTGAGTTTGTGAAAGCAGTATATCCCTATCGTGCTCCTTAATCCGTTCATGCTTCACCTTCCCGTTCCGCCGATGTATACTTTGCAAGGAATCTTAAACACCGTGACTGTTTTGGTGGACCCGTTCTGCCAACCACTTATCCGTTTTTTAATACTTTCATTTTAATTAAAGTTTAGAAACTTGTTTTACAATCTTAATGACTATACTACATATATTTAAAAAAATCATTAATAATGCAGAAAGAAGAAATACAAGAAATTAATGTTTAGCGAGTGTCTTTAGATCTGACTGAAGACAAGGCTGAGCTTTACGTCCATTTTCTTGGAACAAAAAAAAACCTAAATCTAAATATTGGCGCTAGAGATTTTCAAAAAACTTGCAGTCGTGTATTATCAAGTTTAATCGAGTTTTTAAACCTCATATTTATATTCTATTTTTTGTTATTCTTCTTTTACAGTACATTATATAACGACCATCTCTATGCTTTGATTGACAGATTATATTTGAAGGAGTAAGGGGTAAAAGTTTCGAAGGTGACATAGCAATTGATGACTTTTCTTTAACATCAGGGTCTTGTGCAGGAGGTTAGTTAAACTTTTCTCTTTTTATAAACGGTCCTCAAGCGCGT